CCAATCCCCAATTGGTGTACTCGACACCCGCGAAATGTGTTGCGCCGCATAGCACTGTCGACGAAGCAGTATCACGGATCGCCAGCCGACGAGCAGGGCCGTCATATTGCCGGTCGAGGAACGAAGCACAAGCTTTGCCTGATGCTGAAGAGGAAAATGTGCTTGCTGCCAGTACGATCATTGAGTCGAGAATTCCCTTGCTGGTGTAATTGCTGGTCACGACGTTGATGACCAACTCGCCGTCGCTCTTGATTACGGTGACTTTCTCTGGTTTTTCAGGTGTTGGAACGTCTAAGCGCTTGTCGACATGCGAGGTCTCTTCTCCCTTTGTAACAGCGCCTTCAGCGCTATCAATGTCGCCAACAAGATCATCTGCATCTCTTTTGACAGCTGTGATGGTCTCATTGTATGTATAAGAGACGCCAGTGATAGTTGCCGCAGCAGTACAATATGTGGATGATCCAGTAGCTGGAGGCGGGCATATGCTTGTGAGTGCATTCGAGACGGCAGTATAGAGTGCAGCCGAGGACAGGGTGCCAACATTTTGAGTGCTGCTTCCAACTTGCACGGTCGCATGAGGCAGCTCACTGATAGTGTAGGTCGAGCCCGCGCAAGAGGTTGTGGCAACGTTGTCTTCCCTGCTCACGATCGAGGATTGGCATCCAATGACATCGTAGCCCGCAGTGTACGAGTACAGTGCCGTATTGGTCTCGGGAGGCGAAGTGAAGGTTGGCGCTGATTTGGCGCCGGTGATCGGTAGGGCCGTCCAAGGACATGGCCCACCACTACCGGTAACAGGGGCGACGCTGGTTGTCAAGGTCCCTTGCGAGCAGTAACAAAGGTCGGGGCCGGCGTTGTCTGGATCTGCTTGGTTCTCGCAGATTGGATGCCCTGAAGAGGCTGGGGCAGAGGACGAACCAGATGTCAGTGAGGTGCCTGCGGTGTACGCCGCAGTGTATGATGGAAGTGTTATTTGGCCGGTGCAGAGGTTGGGCAGACCAGAGGCTGGTGTTCCGCACTGGTCAGAGGCGAAAGAGACGGACGTTGATGAGGTCTGCCGCTTTACAACAGCGAAACGGGATGGGCTTGGGGTCTGGATAGGTTTACCAGGCATGGCCAATGCGGGGGCAACTGAAAAGACTGCCAGCAGCCATGGAGCCAATTGCCCACGAAATATTCCCTCAAGGTGCATGATGAGGGTCTATTGGGACTGTCAGGCGGTAAACTTGGTATTGTGTGAAAGAGAGAATAGTAAGTGGAAGCAAAGGAAAAAGCGTGCAAATGAAATGTTGATGATATGGTGAAAGACAAGAAATGGGCTTCTATACAAAAGAAGCATGGTAGTCTTATACTTGACACACTTAAGCTTTCAACCAAGCTGACTTGCTTATGCTCCCACGAGACCTTGTCTATGATAAAATGAAGGATGGGGCACGTAGTTGCGATATTCTAAACTTAATAGTTGGTCTTCCTTCTTAGCTTCCTTCGGTCACAGTCGGCGTAATATGGTAAGCAAAGTGGCCGCGTCGCGATTTGTTTCCTTATTAAAATTGCAAAAGAGCTATTTCTACACCTATTTTGCACCGCTTCCTTACTAAAAAATTGTTCTAAAATACTATGTTTAATAACTTTTAAGCTATGCAGCCCTTTTAATTTTTATTTTAAATTGTCATATCACTAGATATATATATAAATATACCTTAGATAATTTATTTTATTATGCATCTAAAATGTAGTGGAGTTATATGTACTTTAATCTATCTTTTTACACCTAAATTATCATAGTCACTTTGCTTATACCGACTGTGACCGAAGAGAGCTAAGAGAGAAGGAAGACCGACTATTATGTCAAATACCTAGTCACGGATGAAGCAAATCACAGTACACCATCAAGGTAAAAGCCTAATGTAGTAATATTATTCTCACTGACCTATGAATACGCGTCAATTGATCCCGGATGTACTCAATGGTACGGATCCTTTTTAACAAGCCTCACGAGCAAATACGCATGTTTCCAAAAAAAAATACGTCTCATCATTCAAAGGATTGCTGCAAGCTGACACCTAAGTATTGGTATGCAATGACAAGCAAAAGCAAGTTCAAGCTGTGAAGGATTGATCCTTACACATCAGGTGAGGTCCATTAAAAGGTCCTTTGACGTAGCAATATATATGTCTCTTACTGTCTGCTTCCATCTCTCTCTGCATTTATCATTCTCCTCAAGATATCCCAACTTTCTCAAGTCATTCACTCAGCCTACTATTCTCTATACTTCACCTTTCATTGCACATTTTGTTAAATCATAGAACATGGTCTTTATTGCAAAATGGAGTAGTGTTTGCACTACTGTCCTGCTTGCTAGCACCTGCGCGTCGGCAGCCTGGGTTCCTGAGTACGTTCAATGACTACAATATCTGATTATTTCGCTGACAATGACAAACAAGCTCGTTGCAATCCCGCTCCAATTCCCTAACCAAGCGATCACTTCCAAAATTTGTCAACTTTGGAAGCAATGCTGCTGGCCAGGCACAACTCACACAAGCATTCAAAGATATGGCGACAATGGTCAATGCATGCCTAAAAGCAGATTCCGACATCTTCACTCGTGTATATAGTCACTGGTTCCCCGCCAACCAGCAGGCGGCTGTGAAGAGCGTATTGGGAGGGATGGTCAACCCAGCTAGCACGGATGGGACAGGATCAACAACTTTGTCAAAAATCACCATAGACAACGATGATCCCTACGGAATATGTGCCCAGACTGTTGCATACACCATCAATTCTGCCCCTGGAGATGGTGCCAATGATCCAATAGCCCTCACCATGCACTTTTGTCATACCGACAATACCAATGCTTATGCCTTACCGGCTCTGAGCGGCGTTACTTGCGGTGATCTCGACAAATTTCTCAGTGTGAAGATGCAGACGCTTGGTGGATATGCTCTTGTACACGAGCTATCTCACGTGGCAGATATCTCCAACGCGGCCATCGCGGCTTTAAAGATTCCTATACCCATGCAGCCTTCTTCAACTTGTGGAAATGCGGAAGATTTTAAATACGGTCCCCAATCCTGTCAGCAACTCGTGACAAATAAGGCAACTTCAAACGACGCCGTAGCAAACGCAGACAGTTATGGCTGGTTTGTAACAGTACGTACCCGCTTTTTCCAGTCTACCTTTTCGAAGTGACCAGACACTGACAAGCCCATAGGAACTCTACTGGACACTGCAGTGCAATTTCGCCTATGATTCTCCAAAGTCAGATCTCGTGGTTCTAAACGCAGTGTGCGATGAGTCAAAACAGAGTTGTAACATGAGATAGAGCGAGGAATATGTTGAAAGTGTTAACGAATTAGGATTGCAATTGAGAGTTGAAGATTTACTATGTTCATTCTAATTCTTGTTTTTATTTACGCCCCAGATGTATCTGGTGTTAGCTATCGTATGCAAAAAGTGACACTCTAGTGATACCAGCAGAGATGAAAATCTTCACAACTGAAGTTGAGACGACGATGGTGATTTATCCTGATAGCATAAGTATAAGCGGAGCCAAAAATGGCTATCTCAAGCGCATGGAAATATTGGGAGTAGTCAAGTTGCTCAGTGCTGGATGTATAAACTGGACTGCAAAACGATGGCAGAGGGGGGAAATGCTTTGGCGTCAATGCTGCCCCTCTTTTACAGGGAGATGCAGTGTTGGGGCTGTTGCGAAAGATAGAAGAAGGTAAAGGGGCGAGCGAGCGCCTTCTTCATGTCCCGCAAAAGGGGCAGCGACGGCTGGCCCGTGCACCACCCTTCTTGCCCTCTGGTAGTCGACAAAGTCAAAGATCATGGCCATGGGTTCTTTGGATCGTCCGGATAAATTCAAAGATGGCTGGTTAAAGTCAAAGATCGAAGTATAACTCAAGTTATAATTATTGTACGTGCAAGTCTGCGAGCTCTCATCATAGGGATCGCCGCATAATGATGTCGACGCTAACCAATAGCGAAAGCTTGGCTTCTTGGCTGTGAATAGCTACTTCGCTACTAAAGAGGCAGTAAAGTACGATATTTACTCTTATTGGCTATTTTACATCCAGAAGGACCTAACTGTGCGAAGGATCCGAAAGGAAGGCATGGCGAACCACAGCAAGCCGGTACCTCACTAATTCGGGAGTTGGCCGTCAATTGCTTCGGCTAGTAATTGGACTCAACTTAGTAATTCATATATAAAGGCATTAGCGGAAATTGGCTGCTATAGCTTTCCCCGGCTGATAAGGAAGTAGCTATTTACATGTATTCTAGCATATAACTGTTCTTCTAATTAGTGGGGTAAATACTGGAGGCCAGTCAGGTGATTTTGAAAGAGGCTTCTTTTGGGAAACTGGCCCCTTTACAAGTGATTAGATCAGCCTTTCTCTACCGGGAGAACCCATGAGAGTTGCAGAGGTATTGCTATCTGGGGAGATTCAAAGGGACCTGAAAGGAAATCACGGTAACGAGCCAGATCCACCTAACATTGCATAAGCCATAGTATCTTGTTCAGCGAGCTGTGGCTTATGGTGTCATTCTATCCTCGCTATGACTATGTCTGTAGCTAGGTGCGATTGCGTCTGAAAATGCGTTAGAGGTCTTCAAGCAAATTGCGTATACCAAAGTTGTTACAGGTACCCATTGCTAAGCGACCTCGGAGCTCTTTCGTCGCTTTTGAAATTGGCATCCCTTGACACCTCCAACTTGAGATCAATCAAACAGGAAAACTTTTCAGCAGAACCTCGGCCCCCATTACCCGTTTAAGATAGATTCTTGAACTAAGATCGAGCATTTGTTGCACCGACTCGGGGCACGAATCGTTCCATTCTCCGACAGCAGTGGCCCTCTTTTTCAGGCAGAACATTGTTGCCTATTACGCAGCCTTTGAAGAGTGTGAATTGAGTGCTATATTACACCTGTCGTACCCGTCTGGCATACTATACATCTTGCTCAATCTTCAGCCTTCTCCCGCCTGCATCTAAGACGCCATGGCTACATTGACGACCATCCAGCTCCCTAAAGAATATGGGTAATTAACAGCTCATGCCGTACACAATTCCCAGGATTGACTGTCCTGGTAGCTATGTCCTCATCACGGCAGCGAGTTCTTACCTTCTCTCAAACTGGCTCGGAGCGCGCATTGCTCCCTTTCGTCGAGCCGCCACAGTTGACCACCCGAACGCCTTCGTATCTGTAGAAACCATTGCCAATGCATCGTCCGCGGAAGAGAAACGTGCCTTGTATTTGTTCAATTGCGCCCAGCGTGCGCATTACAACTTCCTTGAGAACTATCCGGCTGCCTTGACGGGCATGCTCATCAGTGGATTGAGATATCCTATATTCGCAGCCGCAGCGGGTGCGGTTTGGATCTTTGGGCGTATTCTATACGCTACGGGTTATACTAGCACAAGCGAGAATAATGTCAATGGAAGCGGTCGGTGGGCTTACGGGGGATTTCGCCTGTCAGCAATTACCCAAGTCGGATTTTTAGTGCTGGTGGGCAAGATTGGGGTGGATTTGCTAAGAGTATAAGATCAGCACCGTCGAGTGCAGCATCGCTAGGGATTAGCCCCAGCATCGAGGTAGAAGCTTGGTCCGCAGCCTACAGTTTCATCTGCGAGCCGATTTTGGATCCACTCGGCAAATGTCTGCCTAAATCCAACATATACAGCCTCATTTTAAGAGCACGGCTCTCGACACATATTTGTGGAGCTTCTAATAGTACCACCTTAAGCTTCTGTAAAAGTTGCCGTATTCAAGATTCCCAGACAGTCTCTAAAGATTTGTTTTGGAACAAATTGGCATTTCTCTGCCGGAGCACCCAAGGATGTCTGAACAATATGTCCCATCCCCTTACCAAAACCACCCACTAAAACCACACTCTCTCGAAATCCGGCTCCTTACATTAGAGCCAGCAGTGTCCTGGACAGATGAAATCTGCTGCACCCTGACCATCGCCAATCTCCAATATTACCCACAATTTGAAGCTCTTTCCTACACGTGGGACGGAGGCTTCAATACCGAAACCATCAAGCTCTCGAACACACCCTATCTTGTCACATCAAATCTTAAATCATTCCTCCTCCACCGTCGTTTACAAATAGAAGCAGTCAATCTTTGGATCGACGCATTATGCATTAATCAGTCCTCCAATCCCGAGAAATCTTCCCAGGTTCGCATGATGAATAAGATCTACGCCTGCGCAACAAAATTGATGGTTTGGCTGGGTCCAGAAGCAGACGAAAGCTCTCTCGCCATGGAAGATTTACAACGCCTTGGTGCAGGGTCACCGTATGATAAAATGCCAATCCTAAGTGGCTCAGTTTTAACGGCCGTCAAGAAGCTCCTCACTCGCCGCTGGTGGTCGCGAATCTGGATCATCCAAGAAGTAGTCTGGGGTGGGCTAGGCCACAAAGTTCACGACATACGCGTACGGTGTGGGACAAAGGAAGTATGGTGGGTGAATCTTGTCATTGCAGCTGCTCGAATGCAAGCTCATGCCGATGATCAACGGCAATATTACCCCGCCATAGAAAATATTCTAAAGCTTGAGGAAAATCGTAATCAAGGCGAATTGTTTGGGGAAAGTGTTGCAAATGAGATGATGGTAATGGATCTAGTTGCTATGCATCGCCATTTTCAGGCTACCGATCCGAGAGATAAGATTTATGCCTTGATGGGTATGGTTTTTGGCGAAGGCCACAGACCTTATTCTGGGATTAGGGTTGACTACTCTATGGATGCTAGAGAACTATATGTGATTTTTGCCATGTTGGCTTTGCAGAACGGACCAGGTTTGGAAATTTTGCGCCATTGTCGCTCTCCGGCCGTGGAATTGCTGCCTTCTTGGGTTCCGGATTGGTCCCTTGGTAGAGTTGAGAAACCTCTTCCAAGCAGGAAAATTTCAAGAGATAAAAATAATCCATGGTGGCTTAGGCTAAAGCATTCTCTTAGCAAACACGAAAGTGAGGAGCAGGACAGCCCAGCTTTCATAGAGGAAGGCCTGGGAAAAGGATTGCGGCTAAACACTGGTTTACCCGGCGACATTCAACTTAACACGATATCAAAAAGTTTCGCAGACGCTAGTTCGCCAGAAATACTAGGCGTGATAAAAGAATTGATGGATGCTGGTCGATTGATTGGGGTCTCGACGAACGACGAGTGCGAAGACGAGGTCGTCAGCAAAAATGGCAATAAGACAATTGAAGATGTTGAAAAGCGAATTGTTAGAAGAAGCGAAAGGATAACACGCCAGAATACAGAATCCAAAGCAAAAGCTTTCTCAGCTGACCCGGTTGTAAGATATGCAGCAGCAGGTGATACAACAGCAAATTTTTCAGCGGACCAAGCTACGAATACTTTAGAAGCTGAAGGGATACTATTCGACGTCGTTGGCCAAACTCATGATCCATTCGTCGATAACCTCAATGCAGAATGGGAGAATTCAACCCATTTTATGTTGGCGATCGGTCAATGCAAGCAACTCGCGCTTAGTGAGTACATAGGCCAAAACCCATACATTAACCTTGAAGCACGAGTGGAAGCATTCTGGCTCACGCTATTTGCCGGCCGAGTAACAGATAATTCGGGAGCAGAACTCAGTATCGATGAGATGCCATTTCACGAATGGCTACCACCTATCCCTATTACCTGGGTCCCAGGGCCACCTCGAGTGACTGTCACCAATACAGGCCGACTGGAAGCAGGCGAAAATCATAAGGCAATGGAATCTATGCTCAGCGAGCTGAAATGTAGACATCCGGGTCATAATTTTAAGATAGAATCGCCCGGAGCGAGGATGTTAAGCAATCTTCAGCCTGAAGAATGGACGGATATAAATTTGGAGTATCATACTACCAGGTTCCAGCAGCTGGGTTCCTTGTGGCTCCAACAACCGTTCGATCTGTACCATCGGCCATTCGCTCTACCAACTGTTATTCCGGATCCATTCTGGGAAACAAGACAGACAGAGGATCAGGTGGCACTTTTGAGGCTCAAAACTCAAGAGTTCGAAGGCATGATAGGCTACAACCCTTCCAGTGGCCCGGATGAACAGCCATGGAATGCACGCCAATGGTTTGAACAAGCCTTACAGAAAGACGTACCGGTTGTACCTAAAGGTACACTTGATCCGGGGTTAGAGAGTTTCGCGCTTGGACGGAGGTTTTTCGTTACAAAAAAGGGGTATTTGGGACTCGGACCTAGAGATACAAAAGTTGGCGATAGAGTGAGTGTGTTGCTAGGTTCGGATGTGCCTTTGATTTTGAGGGAAAGAGAGAGAACCTCTCAAGGGGGATGGGAAGTGGTGGGGGAGACATATGTTCAGGGAATTATGGAGGGAGAAGCCATTGAGAAATGGAAGATGGGGCGTTTGGAAATTCGGAAGTTAGTTTTGCATTGAAAACTAGTAGAAGCCTTCGCAAGGTTGCTGCCCCTCTCCGCCGAGCGATGGAAAATGATGAGAATCCCCTTTGCACTGACTCTTAGCTCGAATTGATAAGTTAGGATAGCGAAATGGTTATTCTGTTTGAGTAATGATGCAAGTGGATGAAAGCCGATTCTATTGTTTACTTGTAAAACTCCGCCAGGTCTGCATTCTTTTGGATACGACTCCGACGTTGTACGCATCAATATTTACACTTAGAAAACATAGAAACTGTAACCGATTCTCTAGGGAGCCTGAAGAGGCCCCCTGAGCATAATCCAGCTGACTCATTAGCGTGCGTAGGACTTAGGGCTCGGCTCAGGTTAGAGCAGCGACTGCTCAGGTCTAAAGACAGAGATGGACTTTAGTGAGGGCAAGATTCGGTGCAGATTAATAAGGTAATCAATAAGCCTTAATGAGACAGGACCAAGGGTAAAAGCTTCAAGTCAATAAGGGACGTATATGTGCTATAAAGAATCGCATGGTTTTGTGAACATTAATAATTCCATCTAGCTTGCAGCTTACACTTATAGTAGGACTTAACGTCTTTACTAAAAGGAAACATGCCAGTGGTACAGACCAGCCGCCACCATATGCTCAGCAAGAACTTAACTCAACTAATTTTGCGGACTTAGAAAAATCACAAATTATATATACTACTGAGAATTATAGTCAAATGACTATATAACGCTGCTTTGCTATATGTACTCGAATTCCAAAAACCAACATCTCAGATCTTCACTTCACCAGCTCTAAGGGAGCCCTAAAGTCCAAAAGCACGACTCGCCTCCTCAAACGCAGATTTATCAGGCATGCCTAATGCCCCACAAGTCAGCCATCCATCTCCACTCATCATCACTCACTCAACTCCTGAAACGAAAGATTCACGTGATGAAAGGATTATACATACACAACAAACACCTCTCCTCGCAATTCGTGCCTCCGCCCGGTGCCTTGCCGCCCTTACAAGAGCAAGTAACCTTATTCCCGTTCGCGCTACACGTAGCCGTCTGCTCAGACGCACCACAGAACTCGGTGCAGTCATCTGCGTCTTCTTTCTCGCACTCCGAGTTGGAGATTGCGAAGGGGGCTATAGGTTGAGGATAGTTAGATTAGTTTAGATTGGAAGGGCTTGGTTGATAAATGGATGGATGGGAGAGGGGGAAGATGGGATGGGATATGGTGGAGGGAGGGAGGGAGGTTGGGTTTATATACCTCTGTAACCATGAGCCTCTACATTAGCCTCGAGGATAGACGCCTGTTCGTGAGCTGGAACTGCAGCAGTATCGCGTCAGTAATCCTCATTCATAACCCCATCTCCCCCCCTCCCACCCCGAGACAGCTCTTATCTTACCAACACGCTCCATCGTCAACGCGCTTGCCAATCCCACCAGCGCCGAAATCGTCAAAGCCGACTTGATGAACAACATATTTGCGAAGATGGGCGTACGGAGGTATGGGTTTGGTATTTAATGTGGTATGTGAGAGATGGAGAGAGAGATGGAGGATGAGGATGAGGTCGTGGCTGTTGTCTTATCATGAGGTTGAAATAGGCGACGGTCTGATGACGCTTGTGTCTCACTGAGGCCAGACCTCGGGCGCATCGCATGTGGCGTGTCACGAGATCCGAGGATAGACCCCGGCAGGTCACGGGAGCGCGATTTCGAGTTGAGTTTAGTTGGGTTTGTATCTAGACTTCACGCAACTCAACTTCTTTTACACGCTGGCACCGGTAATCACACTAAAAGCTATCACTGACGATGGTGCATAGCGGGATTCCCTTTAGGATGTTTGTTATTTCTTTACTATTAGTCTCGTGACATTGCCCAGATACAGAACGTTGCATGCCATGCAGCATTCCCGTACTTTTAAAAGAAGATGGAGAGTGGCGTAGGACATTAATAAAATGAGATATGCTCCTACGAGTAAGCAGATGAATGAACAAAAAGGGCACTTGGCTTAGGGGAAGAGTATATAAAGCGTATCTTGCGCATAGCTAAATACAAATATATATCTAGTACTGTACCGTCCATATCTGCCTATCCCTAACGCAACCCCCAAAAAAATTGAGTAAGTAGTCTACCCCACAACACAAGACGCCAATACAGTGCAGCAAATCAAGCTTGCACCTGTCTCAAAATGCAGCCGCCAATGCAAATTTCATTTCACCTCATCAACTCAATAAAGCCCCCTCCCACTCGCCAACCTCACGAAACTGTACGGCACGTTCTGCCCAACCAACAACCGCAACGTCTCCACCGTTGTAAACGCACTCGTATCCGCAACCCCATACGCAGTCCACCCGCTCTGTTCCGCCACCGCGATCGGATCCCCCTTCCTCGGTCCATTGGCCAAATCGACGAAGACCTTGCCTTTGCCTCCTATTCCAGCTGCCTTTCTGGTGGGCGTGAGTCGGCCGTTGGAATTTGAAAAGTGGCGGAGGAGCGGTTGCACGAGATGGGATTTTTCCGGGGGCAAGGCCGAGACGATGGCGAAGGGTTGGTCAACGCGCTGTACGCTTTCGATGGATGTAAAGGGCTCGACACCTGATGCGAGGGGTCCTTGGGCTTTGAAACCCACGGTGTAGATTTTGCCGATATTAAGGCTTCTCAAAGCAAATATGATGGTCGCTGCGTCTTCGCCAGAGCTGGACAGGATGATGGCGGCGCGGTCTTTATAAGCCGAAGGCGCGAAATCCCGGGTCAAGGTCGCGCGGATGCCTTTCCAGGTAGCGTTGTCACCAACAAAAGAACATGATGCACCTTCGCCGCGGACTACGATGGTATCGATGGCGCCGATGGTGCGGGCTGCATCTGAGAGGATGGGGATGTATGGCTGGTTGGAGTGGAGGGGTGGGTTGATATAGGCACCACCAAAATTTGGTTGCAGACAGAAGGCTTCCACGGAGCCTTTTACGCCTCTGTCTACACTGGCGAAGTTGTGCGGGAGGCCGAGCTCGTTGAAACATTTCTCGAAGAAAGTCGCTTGGGGTGTGGAGCGAAAGGAGCCGATGGCGTAGATGTTCTTTTTAGGGAGCTGACCCATGGTACTCAGTGCGCCGTTAATCTCAGCAGCTGATAATTGGCCTGGTGCTGCAACGATGGGAAGTAGTGGATGGGTGATGGGCGAGAAGACAGTGTTGAGAGCACGCGATAACTGACCTAGTTGACCCATGTTGACAGCGGATAAAGGGGGCCCATCTGGATTGTTTGCTTTGATTTGAGACCTGAAGTATTCCAGCTCATAGTTCTCGGACATAGAGCTGATGATGGTGATCATCTTTACTATGTCTCCGTACTTACGAGACTCATCGAAGATCTGTTGCGCTTGCAGCGAAGGCCATTTGAACGTCCCGGAAAAATCATGGAAGGCTGATATGATACGACTGTTCCCTCTCTGCTCATACAGACGCCGCCGAATATCTTCCGGAAGCCAGACCTCAACATCGATATACTCACAGCCCCATTGTATCGCTCGGTAGAGGTACTCATAGTACAGATTTGGGTTATCCATTGGAAAACGTCCATTTTCTCGAATACATCTGGTGGTAAAAATTATAGGGAGCTCGTCCTTTGCCGTAAAAGCATGACTTGCTCTCCCACATAGCTCATGCTAGGAACAGCTCCGAATGTTCCATCCGATAGTGGTTCTTTCAACAAATCTACTCGAATCTCTACCGCATCTGACCCAACGGAAAGGATATCCAAATTCGAAAGTGCCGTCCGTACGTCTGGAAATGTTGTGGATATAAAATATGTTCTTTGTTTGGTGATTAGAGCTTCATGGTGACTGATCTGCCCGAGTGTAAATGCAATAAAACGCGAAAGGTCTCTCCGGAAAAATGGTGTCTCTGTATATAAGAATTCGTAGTCTGAAGCAGCCGACAGGTCAACATCTGGAGGCATTCCCAAGTGCACACAGTGCGCGTTTATGGCGACCATAAGCATCTTGTTCCGGGACCCAATATCAACCTTGGCGTCGCTGCTCGCCATCCCTATTACCGTGCCATGATCCTCACTTCCTACCGCGGAAAAGCTCGAGGCTATCCGGTACGGTTTTCCTAGCACATCCGCAAAGACAGACACAATCTTCTCCTGATTCTGCCCATATATAATGACCACTACGCGAGTGTCTCCAGTGCCAGCTTTTGTGGTATTAATAACCCCGTTCGTGCTCTTTGGTCGAGCAGGCGTCGGCGCTGACTGGAGTTGCTTGGTCGCCATGTGTAGAAAGGTGCTCGCAACTAGGAAAATTGGGAGGTAGCGCTGGTCTCTTGAGGCCTCGAAGGGGTTGTAGGTGGGGTGGGAGTCTTCGAATATAGAACTAGTGGGGGGTAAGAGGTCCACAAGCCACGAGCCTTCTCGCGTTACAGTGCAGCAGCCCTTCTATTCTCGGAGAATTTGGTCTTGCTTATCCGTGGGCTGAGGCGCAAAAGCTATAGCTGCTATATATGCACGGCGACGAACATAAACAACTACTACTGGTATCTCGGATGGTAAAATCTTACTTCCGCACGTATCGTCAGGGTGGAATCTGTCTCACACTCGAGATCGCTGTCATACATGAGCTCCCGTGATCCCATGGAGCGGGTCCAGTGGTATACATGCGTAGTCTGATTGTCGGACGCGGCGGACACGAAGCTTTGCTGGAGTGTCGTTGAAGCAAGCAGCGGAGGGTGTCGCGAATCTCCTGCAGATCGTGGTCGTGCAGGCAACGGCAGGAAACACATTGGAATTCCGCCGGGGGTTTCTTTCTTCGAACTGAACAGGCTGCGAAGGGAAATGTGCTGGGCCCAGGCTTGACTAGATTGGATTGGTGTTCCTATTCTTCCAGTCTCTATGGAGCGGGCAGCCAGGGACTGGGGGGAAGGGGAGGGGGGGATAGAACCAGAGCGGGCAATGGGGAAAAGAGGAACAGAATATGGTTTCTCGGTGGTGATTGTTCCACCGACGAGAGGTAAGAATATGGCAAAGGGCAACCTTGAAGCGCAAACAGCATTGACTGCGCCCAGTCGATGAGGAATTGTGGTGACGGATTGGGGCAAGTGGAGACTCTCCAAATCCCCATTTGTGGGGGAGAAGGCGGGCATATGTACCGAGGGGTCAAAACTTCCACCAATAGGGCAACAGTATCACCAATTGGAGCATTTTCTTCTATTCCTCCCTGGTAGTAAATACTCGTAGTTATCAGATTACTGTACAGCAACAGGACTACCAGACTTATCAATGATATGGCATTCTTCATCAAGACCGGTTCTTGGTATTATAAGCATCCTATACTATATCACATATTACAGCGCTTTCCACAAAACAAGCATTTTCGGTGCAGTAAACAATCTAAGCGGAAGATTTAAGGTTCAATGCATCAAATATCAGCCTGTTGTCGGGAAAAGGGTATAGCCGCTGCATAATCCTCCATGGAGAACATGGAGAACATGGAGGACATGGAGGACATGGAGGACATGGAGGACATGGAGGACATGGAGGATATCAAAAGACCAACTCCTTGGGCATGTTTCGTGAAGTTGGCGTGTTCATGTTTCTCTTCTCATCATGCCATGAAGCGGGGAAAATCGGTGTTTCAAGCTGGAATACTTTGGTTTCAAGTCTGGCAGTAGGATTTGAGTTTGTCTAGCGACGAGGGGGTTTGTTTCAAGGCCAGTGGTAGAGGCTAGGCTAGTTGTCTGCTTTTGTATGTTGAGCTCGTGGAAAGGAAGAAAGGGAGGTTGCAGTGATGGATGTTTCTCTAGGTGTTTCTCCAGATCGCGGGTCTTGTCAGTATCAGGACTTGTACAATTGGTGGAAGGGACGATTGAAAACCTCCCTCTTATTGAGCTCACTCTATTGGTCTTTTTCTTCCTTTATGTTTGTTTGCCTACTGCAACTGCTTTTCTCGTTTTTGGCCAGTCTCAATCTCCCAATTCGAAGTGGAAGTGGAAGCAGCTCGTTGTCATTATCGAACACTAGAAGTTCACGACACGATGGGACTATCGAGAGATTCTAGACCGGGCTGAAGTTCAATGTACCCAGAATTAATGTCAAAGGCTACATACATCCCTCACCAAAATACGTACGTCGATTAAGTACATTTAAATTACTGTTTGCACTCTGTCATAGGATCATAGAAACCTTTGTGAACTGGTCTCGAATTCCTTTTGCCAGACGTTCTTTTGGTGCTGGTCGTGTGACTCGGAGTCACGAAGTCCGTCGAAGCCGAAAAGGTTCTCCGCTTCCCAGTGCCCACGTCATCGACCCCAACTACGATACACACCACCCACGCTTCTCCCACGCCTATCCCGCATTCAACGTACTCCGTAGATGGAGAGACCCCAAGATGTCCCACTGTCCCACTGTCCCACTGTCCCAGACTCCCAGTCACCCAGATTAACCCCATGGAGATTTACGGCGGTACCTTTTGTATGGGATACTCACCGGGTAGGTACTTCAACTTCGAAACGCGTCTTACAAATGGCACCGAGAAACGACCGTTTTTATACATGGCAAATTCGGATGTACGAAAGACCCGATTTTGTCGGCAAGCCGGCCAAAACAGCATTGGCTGGAAAGAGGGAAAAAACGGAGAATGTCACGTGTGGGAACCAGCTGTGAGGCTGATCGGGGAAATCCCGGCTTCACTGTCCCACTGAAAAAGCTCTTCCCACGTCACATTTTGCACGACTAATGTTAATGCAGTCCTTCTTCTCCATCATGAGGATAGGACATTCCACTTTGCAAGTTGGTACAGCCCCGTACTCTTCCTCTTCCTCTTCCTCTTCCTCTTCCTACCGCAGTACCCGTTCCGTCAACTCTGGTCTGGTATGGTCTTATGTGAAGCTGGTGGCGTTTACGAGTCAGAGGCCAAGGCGCACGACGTCAGGGCACGCTCTTTTTTTTTTTTTGCTCGTAAACTTCACTTCTACTTCAAGGTACTTCGACCATCACATTAATCGGCCCGCCGTTTACCCACTGTAAAGTATTCTCCGGTATTCTCCAGTATAAGTGCCTAGGTAGGTTGGCGTTGGCGTACAATACTAGGACCATCATTCCCTTTCTGCTCCATAAGTAAATATATAGCTCCGCTCTATCCCTCTTCTCCTCCTCTCCCTTTCTCCCCAGGTTCTCCATTTTCTCGTGCGCACGACTCTGCACCTTTGCACCTCTCTCCCGCCAACCGTCACCATGAGTCCACTTAATATATTCAAAAAGAACACTGCTGCCAATGGCAATGCGGCACCTTCTCCCTCTGAATCCGTTGTCCACGATAGCTCCAAAGACGTGAGTGAGACTGAGAAGGGAAATGGAGGTCTCATCACAGGGAAAATCCCTACCGTCACTATTCGCACTGTTATTATGACCCTTTGTGTGTCCATGGGAGGATTTATCTTTGGTTCGTATTTATCCCATCATTTGCGCCAGCACCGGGAACTGATTTTGGCAACCACAGGTTACGATACTGGACAAATCAGTGGCTTTTTGGAAATGCACGTTTTCCTACAAAGATTTGGCGAGCCGACTTCCGACCTCGACACATACTCCTCTGGCTATAAATTTAGTAATGTCCGATCGGGATTGATTGTCGGCCTTGTAAGTTGCCTAGGCTGATATTTATGAGACGAATGCTAATCGCAGCAGCTGTCAATTGGTACCTTGATAGGCGCTCTGATCGCAGGACCTGCATCAAACTACTTCGGACGGAGACCCTCCATCCCATTCTGGTGCCTTATATTCTGCATTGGTGTTGTCGTACAGGAGGCTGTTGGAGATGGCATGTGGGTTGGAATTGCTATGGGTCGATGGGTTGCAGGTTTGGGTGTTGGAGCGTTGTCCGTTTTGGTACCTTTATATATGACTGAGACTGCACCTGTGCCTGTACGAGGAGCTGTCGTCTCGTAAGCCTTATACCCACGCGATTTATAAGAAACACGCTAACATTCTTGCAGCTGCTACCAACTCTTTGTCACAATTGGTATCTTCACAGCAGACTGCATCAACTTCGGCACCGAAAAACGCAACGACACAGGTTCATACCGTATCCCGATGGGAGTTGGCTTCATTTGGGCGCTCATTCTAGCTATCGGAATTGTATTTCTGCCCGAAACTCCCCGTTTCGATTGGAACCACGGACGTGCCGAACGCGGTCTCGACACCATGACAAAATTCTACGGCGAGCCAGCATCGCATCCGATGATCCAAAACGAAGCCGAGGAGATCGAAAAGGTCATGGAAGCCACAAAGGGAGATCATCCTTGGTACGAAGCAATCACGGGCCCGCGCATGTTCTACCGCATCGTGCTCGCCATGGGATTGCAAATGTTTCAACAATTGACGGGTGCCAATTACTTCTTTTACTATGGTACCACTGTTTTCAGCGGCGTTGGCATCAAGAACTCCTTCGTTACATCTATGATCCTTGGCGGTGTCAACGTCGGCGCAACCTTTTTCGGTGTAGCCATGGCGCGTAGATTCAGACGTCGCGAGTCCCTCTACATCGCCGGGCTATGGCAGTGCATGTGCTTCCTAGTCTTCGCCTCTGTCGGCCAGTTCATATTTAAAGACGCAGTCGAAGGCTCCAGCAAAGCCAAGACATCCGGCACAGTCATGATCGTGTTCGCATGTCTCTTCATCTGCGGATTCGCCAGCACCTGGGGCCCCCTGGTCTGGGCTTGCATCGGAGAATTATTCCCGTACCGTTACCGCGCTGTCGGAATGGGCCTCGCTACAGCATCAAACTGGTTCTGGAATTTCCTCCTCGCCTTCTTCACACCGTTCATCACCCAGGATATCAATTTCTCGTACGGCTACGTGTTCGCGGGCTGCAATCTCTTCGGCGCCTTCATGGCCTACTACTGGCTCATCGAGTCGAGCGGCAGGACGCTAGAGGAAGTCGATGCGATGTACCTGATCCATGTGTCGCCGCGGAAGAGCGCTAAGTTCCAGTTCGACGAAGATACGAAGAGGGATTTGGGACATATCCTCAATACGGATGCGATGAAGTTGGAGCGCAGAGGGCGCAAGATTAAGAAGATCAATGAGGCGGGGCAGGGAGGTGTTTTCCACGAGGAGGGCGCCCCTGTCCATCACACGCCAAACGTCACGGATATGAGCAACGGTTCTCATCCGATTACATCGACTGGCGCTGCCTAGGTTTCCTCTTCTCCTGTTATGCAATTTTGAATACCTAGTGTTGATAGAAAGTTTTCGCACGGCGTTTTCTAAAAGGGGTTTGTGACTTACGAGTGTACTATATATACCACGGAGCCTCTGGGCATAGATGTCAATTAGAAAACATCTCTTCAAATATTAAACTTTCATCATCCACATTCATTCCTACATATGACCCAATCTGTAGATAATCCCCCCGTAAAAACATAATCGGTGGCTCCCCCTGCCTTCTCCCACCACCAGGCAGGGGCACATTTAATTAGTCGCTCACTATTGATTAGTCGCTCGTCACAGGGGAAAAAAGAATACATCTCGCCGATGGCTGATTATAAATTGCAAATCCATCTCTTCGCACTACACTTTATATAGGTATCAGAATCCCACTTCTACTCTACTACACAACTCCATCCTTTCGTTTCTTTGCTACAGTATATACTTATCTTCTTTACGGCGTATATTGAAGTTGGCCGGTCGGCCTCATATCCACGGCCAGCCGATCGTGAGCTGCACTGTATGTAAGCATGGAACCATCCTATGCGGCATGATGCAAGGTACGCTGGTGCTATTGATTGTGTTGATAGAGGGTATGGGCGAGACTTCCATCTGCCAACTCTTATCATGGGATGACGGCCAGAATCCTTTGCTTGCGAATCTCAGCTCTTCGAGTTAAATGATTAATTGATTCATAGCACTTATTGTGAGACGAATTGATTTCGTTTTCTAACAGCGCCAAGTACAAGATCAAAAACTCCCAAGTACAACGATCAAACAACGTCAAAACCCGGGAAAGTACGACAGTATGGAGGTAACGGATGGAGTGATATGTATACGAGTGGGGAAAAGCCGAGGCCGAATAGCCGAAATTGAATCGACCAAAACCGACATCTTATCAACATCTTCACCACATCTCGAGCTTCATATACTGTACCCGACCTATCCCGCTCGAGCATTCGTCGCTCGTCCTTTGAGAAGAACAGGGCCTGTCAGTGGGGATCTGCATAGATAAGAATCAAGCGTCCAGGACTCCATGTCAACCCGTGCACGCGGTTCAACAAGGATACGTTACTGTACGATACGATACGATACGATACGATATGATATCGACGCGGAGTCGCGGACGGCGCATAATCTTTATGTCTTGATTATCGGGTTGGACAACATGAGAGCATCGAGTACAAGCACAGAGCTATCAGTATTGTACGGAATATGGATCCACTGACGCGCCTAGAGACTGTAATAATTGCCGAGCCATCTATGCTGCCCCTCGTACTAAAAGGGAAGGTCAGTAAATAAGAATATGTGCCAAGGGAATTCTGGAAACTGTACTCAGTCAGTACCGTAGGACAGACCAGGTACATGTAGGTGGCAAGAAGCAACGATAAGCATCACTACCAAATGCTTTGAATGCGCATGGCTAAGTGCTTGAGAACTACAAGCATTGTTTTTGGAACGATGATTATCATTACTAGATCTTCTTTCTGCGTTTTCCAAGCTTCTTTTCAGGGGTGTGTTGTGGCTTAAATGCCCGCCTGTGCGACAGTGAAGCACGTTGATTTGATACCATTTGATGGTATCACGCCGAGAACATCTCGGCCGGGAATCTATTGGTCGTTGTACTGTACATGTTACTTCCCGCTGTGATGTTCTTTGTGGGCACTCTTATCGAGATGCAGATGCAGATGCGACCCGCCCGCATGGGTGATATTTATATCCAGATTGTGCTCCAACCAGCTGGCCGGCTGATAAGATATGTAACTTGACGACCCCTCTTTGACTACAATATCTCGTCTTTCCCTGTACCGGTATTCTCAGCTGGCAGCTTCGTTTTCTACAGTACACAATGGCGATATCACCAGTGTCTTCAGGTTCCGATGCGGAAAAGGGCATCTATCACTCAGACCAGAAGACAGCTCAGTTTGATGGCGAGAAAGGTGCCCCTGGCTATGCGGAGGAGCCAGTTGCTGAAGATGTCATTGATTTTGAGGAGACCAGGGAGTTGAAGTAAGTTTGGCTATCAAAGAAGCAATCGTTTATGGAGGCTCACTTCGTCTCAGGCAGGGCCTCAACCAGCGACATATTCAGATGATAGCTCTGTGTGGAGCTATTGGCACGGTATAGTTCTCCAGATGGCTATACAGAAAGATCAACACTGAAATATAGTTTATAGGGATTGTTCCTTGGATCAGGCCAGGCTCTTTCAAGGGCAGGACCTCTGGGAGCATTGTGAGAGTTTCGACCTTTGCAATTATATTGTGTATTAACACCGCCGTCAGCCTAGGATACTGTTTCGTAGGAGCCTTGGTGACTGGAGTTGTCTTGTCCATTGCAGAACTCAGGTAAGATGCCCATCTACTAGTCTTAATGCCTCCACTGACACTGTAAGTGCCCTCGTTCCCCTCACCGGCTCCATTATCCGTCATGCGGAGTACTTTGTCGACCCTGCCCTTTCGTTCGCCCAGGGGTGGAATACCGTCTACAACCACATGGTTACACTTCCCGCAGAACTTGTTGCAGCAGCCGTGATTATCCAGTTCTGGTCAACTGTCAACTCTGCCGTATGGATCACAGTATGTGGCATATTGCTCGTCATCAGTAACGTGCTCTTCGTGCGAGTCTATGGAGAGCTTGAATTCACATTCGCAACTATGAAAATTATGTTGATCGTTGGACTGAACATCATGGTAAGGAACGAGCTTCTTAATTGCATGATCCGTGCTGACTTTTTTAAACAGGCATTGGTTGTAACCTGTGGTGGTGGACCGGATCATCACAAATATGGGTTCCAATACTGGAGAAATCCCGGTCCATTCGTCCAATACCTTGGCTACGGGGGCTCGCTAGGACGTTTTATGGGGTTCTATACAACATTCTCCAACGCCGTCTATGCTTATTCGGGAGTTGAGACCATCTCTGTGGCAGCGGCTGAGACCCAAAACCCGAGGCGCAATATTCCCATTGCTGCGAAGCGAATTTTCTGGAGAGTTGCGATATTCTATTGTATGTTCTTGGTCAGAAAATTGGTCACATTCAGCGTTCTAACTTAGCCTGACAGGCCTTTCTATCTTCATGGTTGGACTCATTGTCCCATCAAATGACCCATCGCTTCTCAAGTCCACGGGGACCGCAGGTAAGATTCACAACTCTCGAGTCATTTCTATCCACTTCACCTTGAATCTATAGTCAGTCCGAGAAAGCACTACTAATTGGACGTTCTTCACAGCACAATCGCCATTCGTTATTGCAGCGACGAGAGCGGGCATCAAAATCGTCCCCTCCATCATCAACGCCGTAGTCTTAACCAGCGCATGGAGCTCCGGTAACGCTGGTAAGCCGCTCCCCCCTTTTCCCATCCTCCTCTTTCCCCCCTCTCTAACACCATCCAGGACTCCTCGGCGGATCCCGAACTCTATACGGCATGGCGAAGGAAGGCCACGCGCCGAAATTCTTCCTCCGCGTGAACCGCATGGGAATCCCCTATATCGCCGTCTGCTCTCTCGCGCTATTTATCGGTCTGGGCTACATGACGCTATCGGACTCCGCAAGCACCGTGTTCGGCTGGTTACAAGATCTGGTCTCCGTGTCTGCGCTTGTCGGCTGGTTGATTATCTGCATCGTGTATCTGCGCTTCTACTACGGCATGAAGAAGCAGGGCATCGATCGCTCCGAGTTGCCGTGGAAGGCCCCGTTCCAACCATTTGCTGCTTGGATTTCGCTGATTGCTTTCACGATTCTGCTGTTGACGGGTGGATATACGGTGTTTCTCCATAAGCAGTAAGTTCCCTGTGCCCTACTCACTCACTTATTCTTCGAGATGTGGATTGATGTGACTGACTGATCGTACACAGTTGGGATACCGAGACTTTTGTTTCTTCATACATCAATATTCCCATTATCTTAGGCCTCTACTTCGGTTACAAGTTATTCAGGAAGACCAAAATTGTATCGCTTGAGGATATGCCGATTCGCCAATTTATCGACATCGCAAACGCTAACCCGGAGCCACCTGCAAAACCACTCACCGGCTGGAGGAGGTTAAACATCCTTTGGAGTTGAACAGCCAGCACACGGTTTAAAGACTGAGAAGTGGTACGTTGTAGCTAGAAAGAGGAACAAACAACAATGCTTGTGAATAGAATAACAAATAAGCGTTCAGACCAAGTATGTACCATACGTGCGCGATATATACAAATTTCCAGCATCCCCATACCCCTTTTCCCACTCCTTCAATAATATCTTCCCTCTTTCATTTTTCATATACTCATGTCTAACCTCTCTCTCCCTCTTTACAAACACTGAGAATAATACGCGCTCGAAACCGTACACGTCGTCCCCGCAACACAAGCCCCGCTACCCGTCCACCCCGTACCACCGCATTGCGTGTACTTAGTCAGCGACCCTCCCGTTGTCGTCGGCGCAGCGGCGGTACTGCTACTAACAGAACTAACAAGTGTAGTAGGCGAAGCCGAAGCCGAAGCTGAAGCTGAAGAAGAACCTGCAGCGCCTCCTCCCGGGCTATTGACCGAAGTATCAAGGGATCCAGACTCGACATATACACCGCTAAAGTAAATATCCTCATCGGTATCCGCCTGCCCTGTTACAGGGAGTTCGAGAACCCCTAGATGCCAGTCCTCGCCATTGGAGGACGTTGAAGCCGAGACGGCGGGTACTGTAAGTGTTAAGTCGGAGGATCCGGTGGAGTGCCAGAAAGCTACTGTGTTGGCTGAGAAGTCCTATTCAAGTACCGCCTTGTATCAGCATGTCGGACGGTGATACCTCCGTACATATATATATATATATATATACGGATCGGGAAAACGAAAGGAAAGGGGAACGGAAACGAACATACAATCTCATACGCAACATTATGCCAAACATCCGCCTCCCACACCACACTCCACTGACTCGTCCCCCCCACATCCCACCTAAGCGCCGTATCCTCCGTCCCCGCCTCCCCACTAATCCACCCGGCCTTCAACTCCGTAAAATGGCTCTCGAAGAAGCATATCTGATGCTCGCGATACACGCTCGGCGCATTCGTCGCACTCCTTTTGATGCTGAAATGGTACCACACCAGGCCACTGTTAATAGCCGCAGTGGTCTGCGGGATCAGCTCCGTGCGCCGCATCGTCTGTCCGTTCCAGTACGCCGTGTCGTCGAGCGTGAATTTCGCGCCTTGCGTGGAGCCAAGGTCGGCGGGGTTCTTGTAGCTGGGCGAGAGGTTGATGTAGGAGGTTACGTTGGAGGAGCCATGGATGTAGTATTGGTAGGGTCCGACTTCGTTGCTCCAGGACCAATTGTTGAGATCGGCAGAGGAGGTGAAGTCGTTGAAGCGGCCGTCCCAGAGGATGGTTCCGGCTTGGATGAACGGGAGTGCTGCTGCGAGGGTTGCGAGTGTGAAACGCATGTTGGAGGATAGATGGAGAGAGACGGGTGGATTTCTTGGAATAGGGGAGGGGAGAGGAGAAATGTGAGTAGGAAGGAGGAATTATAAGATAAATAGCCCTTAGTCCAGAACCTCCTGCAAATAGCACCTCATTTACCTCTCAGGTCATATGAGCAGGTCATGGCACTTTCATTCCCATTGAGTGGCAAAGCACTTTACTTACAAGTGCTCGACTGGAAGGGAACAACGGACCGCACAAGAAATTCTCATATATAATGTTGTTTTCATTCGATAAACAACCCTAGGTACACGACAGTACCCGGTAGTCATCTATCGATTTATCCGCTACCAGAGAATGCCACGTTAATGCGGAACATCTATTCCGAAAGAGATAATTACCGCCAGGAACGCATCACTCATTCATTTATTCTTTCCTTGAAGAAACATCCTAGCTGGTGGAAATGACAAGCCACTTGACAAAGGGAAGCAAAACACAATTCATGAGTAGAGCTGATAATCGCCCTTCCCTACCTACTGTATCCTCAACCCTGTATCGTACATACCCCCCCAAAGCAGCAAACCCACAAGTTCGAGCGGGCCGTTCTGCCTCAATACGTACTATACAAGGTGTAAAGTACGCAGCCAAAAAGAACTTTATTCCGCGGCTGTGGGTATAATGCGGGGAGATCATCTAGATCTACCTTCGTATTTTCCCTTCCGGACCAGGGTGTCTGCGGTGTGGGGTAAACTGTTTGCGCCACTTGTGGCTGTGATATTCTCCCCCCTGGATGTCCATTCCCCTCCCCTTCCTTCCCCGGGATTTAAAAGCGCTTGACTAATCTATAGCTTTCAAAGAGCACTCGGGATAGAAGCACTCTATATAGACTAGCTAGGGCATACATCTATTCTCATAGAAAAACATAGCAGTACGGCATTACTAACGACAGAAGCTTCATTCAGCTACAGTACCTAAGCACTCAATTCCAGCCCCCCACCACATCACGAATCACGGGAACCCATATATATATATATATGAAAACGCTTTCATTCATTCATTCATTCATTCTAAGGTCTTCGCATGCATCAGACTCTAATTAAGTTTCGCACTGCACCACCAGGTGGCAATATCATGCATGTCCATGTCGTACCATCCATCCCAATCATAAAGTCCGGACTTTTCCTTCCATCCACTTCCACAACCAACCAAGCAACATACACGCCCCATTCCATTCCATGCCATATCCCTCGCTTCTAACGCCCACCAAAATCCATGCCATGCCATGCAGCTCATGCTCATCCGAACCGAAAAGAAAAAAAAAGAAAAAAGAAAAAGCAAACCATCTCTCATTATCTCATCGTTCAAAAAAAAGAAAATAGTGCTCCATCGATTCTAATCTGCATTGTTGTACAAGGAGAAAGAAAAGTTCTGTGTATGCGTTGCGTGTTGTGCGTGTTTGTGTGTGATTATCGTATTACTGGTAGGTTATTCGTTTAATCAAGTGAGTCTAGACAGAGACACGGATTATTTATAACAGCCAGTGCGGAAGAGAAGTTGTAGCGCTCAAATCATCGGACGTCAAGTTCTCATTGACGTTTGTCAGACAAAGGAAATATACACGGTAGGGGGAGTCTTGCTCCAAAAGTATGGCGTGGGTGGCGTACGTAAAGAAGTGAAAACGTTGCATCGTTAGACGCTGAATGAAGAACAAGGTGAGCTCTGTGTGCGAATTCAACAGCGACGTTGAACCAAGCGAAGACGCATTGCGGGAACAACGAGGATATATTTATCAATTAACGGCGTTCGCGGAATATGGAGGCTTCCTGAACGGATTCCGTAACTTGGATAACAGGAGGGAGAGTGTTGCTGTTAGATAGAGATTGGTTGATGCTTGGAAGACCCCGAGAAATGTCCCGGTCCCTGAACGTGCCAGAAGGGCTGCGGTTGAAATGGGCCATCGGAACGCTCTGATGACGAGAGTGACCCGAGCGACCTGAGTGTTCAAGACTTGGCAATTGCTTAGAGGAAAGCATACTTGATTGCTGAGATGGTCCTTTAGAGAGCTGTCCACGCGGTTGAGTCGGGTTGATGACGAAAGAGTTTTGAGGGGCTTGCTGGAAGGGACTAGGTCCGTAGCCGTTCATACCGGAGGGTTGTGCTGAAGTGGTATATTGAGAGCCACCATACATGTCATTGCTTCGATGGAGACCGGCCACATCTGACTGTGAACGATGATGAACAGGGCGACGGGCACTGCTTGTCTCGAGGTGTGCAGCCATTGAGTGACCACCGTGGCGCTGCGGCGTAGGTGCGACAAGATGAGGTTGATATGCATTAGGGTGTGGTCTCATCTCTCCCATGCGTCCACTCTCACTGTGGTTTTCGGCGACGCTCGAGTGGCCTGAGCGGTTGCTTCCCAGAGAACGACGTCCAAAGGTTGGAGTGACACTCTCAGGAGCCGCTTCAATATGATCGCTTCGACGCTGACGCTTTTGCATTGGCAAGCCATCTGCACTACCCCACCCATTTGTCCGTATAGGTCCGCTAATTGGTGAGTACATGTTTGGAGTGGCACCAACACCCAAAGATTGGGAGCGCTTGTGGCCAGAGACAGCAACTGGACGCTTGACAAAGGCCTTGGGTTGTTGCGGCGCCTCCAATTCGGTTGCGATATTGGGCAAGATCTCGATGTCGGGAAATTGGGGCATCAGGTCAGCCAAGATCTCTGTATGGAGCCGGTTGAAGATACTGAGGATGCTATGAGTGTCGTATCCTTTACCACAAAGGCCTCGCAGCCATTTGGGGACAGCAGTTGCTGGAACAGGTGAGTCGTCATCTTCCTCGGTGTCGTCATATTGCGACGAGCTTCTCTTACGCTTAGAACCGCTGAGCCCATCGATTCGTTTCTGTTCACGCTTTCGAACAGCCAAGCCCCAGTCTTGGACAACACCGGGGCGACCATTTCTTTGATTGAATAAACTCCAGTCATGAATCCGACGGATTTGTTTCTGGACCAAATCGCACTGCAGCTTGGCATACTCCTTGGGGTTGCGATACCTAGAGCGTTGATAGTGCTTGCGACAATAGTGGACCCAGACTTCCGGAGGGACAAGCCTAGTGCACATCTTGTTGCGGCCGAATATATGTGAGATGGCCTTACGCAGCGCAGAATTAGTGTCGCAGGCTCTTTGAAACATGCATACGATGTTATGCTCATTGGCCACCCTATTCAGAACGTCGCCATGGTTGCTGGCTTCTTGCAATGGTGTAAGAGGGGTGACGGGCGGCGCAGTTAATACCAATGGAATTGTTGGAGAGGCGTTGTCGGGGTGGAGGGAAGAGGGTGGGGTAAGCTCGCCCTGTGGACTGATGATTGCTGATTCCTTCATGATGATGTTCCCTGGGGCCGATAATGCTCTTTTGTGTAAGCTCGGACGACACAACAAATGATGTGTATTCTCTGGGGGAGCACTCAAGTAGTGCTTGCTACTAAAGCAAAGTATTAGCAGGGTTGTTCCTCATATGTTTTTGATCATGCGAAAGAAAGTCTGAGGCTTTGAAGATGGGGTGAAAATTCCGACGAGTATTGAGCAGGAACTGATGAGTTGGCGTAGCAATCAAGTAGCATACAAGGAAAAGCGTTCCGAGGAAATTGCCTCCGAAAACGCGTCAGAACTCTCCGTGCGATAGAAAAGATGATTCAATCTAGCCTTGTACTCAAGGTACAATGGTGGGGGGAGATTTCAAATATGTGACTGGTGTCAGAAGACTGTATAACGCTTCGTACCTTTGATGGTGGGTTGTCTTAGTCAAAGAAAGCTCTCAGACTTGAGATATGGGTGGAAAGTTTAGATGTGTAGGTAGACAGGAAGGGAAGGGAAGGGATGGTCCGATGTTCGCGATGGAAGTTTTTATGCGTTCGTCGCGAGGCGGTCCACACTGGTTGATCGATTCAATGTGTGAATGATCCACGCTAATACATGACTCTAGACAGGCCTGACAATGGCCGGCTGTCATTCACTTATTGACGGCCCACCATTGAAAGCCTCCTTCGGCCCGTTTAGCAGTCAATACTTCAGAAAGAGGCATAACTGTAGTAAATACAACAGAACATTGACTGTATTATACAGTCCTCCTTTGACTCGGGGATGCAAAATATGACAAAAGCTCGGAGTGGAGGCTCAGGGTGCATAGTCAGGGGTGCACCTCGTGACCTCGGCTAAACCCCCTTTTCCCCGCCTTGCTTGTAAAAATCAACCGGGGTATGGAAATATCCACCTGACAGCTTGTCGGTGGTGTTTGCTCTGTAACACAAAAATCTGGGGGACTGAGTAGATTTGAAGTGCTTGTTGTGTGAATGGCAAAACATCCTTGCTTCGCACATCTCGTTTTGCCACAGTCATTGCGCGCGGAAATGCAAGGCAAGGCAGTGGCACAAATACCAGGAATGAAAGAACCAAGAAGTGCGATCTGGTTCACATTTTGGAGATATACCGGGTTGTTATCCACTTGAATAATACAAGGTGATTGTTCGTGACTGATGCTCATTCCCCGGCGCCTAGTCATCTCCCGACCAAAGAGAACCCGTACCGATGCAGTTGACTTCAACTGCGAGTTTTGTTGTCGTATACGATCAATACCGCGCGGAAGGCTAGCCTTGAGCTTTGAATCCGAGGCTTGTACAAAGTGTAGATAATCCCTGACGAGAACTGTATAAATTTTGGTCACTTACATATCATGCGGTTCTAGCCGGTTGAGATTCTGGCTACAGGTATCTAACCTCAGGACGGGGACAGTTGTACGTCGGATCAGGATTGCGTCGCTCGGTGAACTGGGCCGCGGCAGCGTAGTTGTCTGATTTGACGGGCCCTCGCTGTCGTGCTCGTCTCGTTCTTGCTGTTCGAGTTCCGGTGCAATGTGGTGCTCTGCGATGGTAGAAAGGATATCGGAGGCTTCGTTGGTCGTCGGTGTGGGTCTTGTTTCGTTGATAAAGGCGTCGTTAGAAGGGCTGGTTAACTCTAAGGATGTAGGCGTTGACTTGGGAGAGAAAATAGGATAACAGCCGCTAACTGTTGACGTTGAGGAAAATCTTGAGTGTGTCGATGAATGTATCGAAGAGGTGAAAGAAGACAAGCTGCTTCGGCTATCTGAGAATTTGTGACTCGTTGGCGGTGATTCTGCTCGTGAATCATCCATGGGAACTGTGAAAGGCGATATTGTTGCTACCGCTCCCGTCCGCGAGGCTGGATTACTCGACATAATGGGCAGTGAATAGCCTCCCGCATCCCACGGTGTCCGACTTCGAATTCGTCGTGAGCCATCATTCTCCTTCTGGCCATCATCTCCGCCGCCACCAGCCATCGAATTCGCGTTCAAGAGCGAGGTGACGTCCATCTTGAAATAACTTCGTCGTTGGGGTTTGACAAGCTAGCCAGCTACTCTACACCAAGGACGAGGCTGTATGTTCTCTCGCAAACGGGGCCCAAGTATCCGGCTTGAGGTTCGACTAAAGAACAAGAATATCGTCGTCGCAATGAGAGGTGGCTTTCCAGAGCCCAGCACTTATCATCTAGTCGAAAGAGATTCGAACGTATACAGGCCCGATCTATAAGACCTCTCTCTAGGGCGTTTCCAGTATCTTATCTTAATCTAGAGCTTGTCGTTTGGAGGAGTCCGGCTCTCGGTCCAGGTAAACTTCTTCCCCAACGTGGCTGTGACTGGATGCCGAAGCAAGTCTTGCGAGCAGATCTGGAGAGGTTGACGGGGGAGAGATCGACGTCCGAAATGCTTTGACCTCACCGGAAACGTTCGAAACACCCCAGATGTAGCGTCTGAACTGGTCTTAAATGTTTGGCATATCAGGTCGAAGATTAGATCCACCAAGATACCTTTAAGGGTCAACACAGTGCACACTCTTTTCGCCGAAACGTTCAGGCTTGATATTTTAGATAGATCATACGGGTTTGATGTTATTGATCAGAGAAGGCGTCAACAGACTTCAGCTAGAGTGGTTACGCAACTCGACATGGACGACCGTGTGTACAGTCTGTTGAGAGTAGGGATGGGAAGAATAGTCGACGAATGAAGGACGTGGATAGATTACTTGTCTCCTTTAACAATAACAATGGCAAGATACGAAAACATAGGATGAAGACCTAGGCCATTCAGACTCCCTGGACGACGATGTAGGGCTACTTCGGGTATGCAGGAAGAAAGAATGGCCACGTTGGGTCGATGGCTAGTGGAATAGACAGCAGAAGAGAAGCAACAAACGGCGACCGACATTAGCACACATGTGGGAAGAGGAAATGATGTGAAGCTCGAGGGCCATTTTGCCGTGCGCGTCGTGTGTGTGGTGCATAGTGCATTAATTATGTCCAAGTAGGGGGACTCGACCAGTGTTTGACGTTAAGATTCCCCACACTATTCGAGAGCATGACCCCCAGCAACTGGGCCCATCTTCGGAGCCTTGTCGATAGTGGGCAAGGGTCTTGGATCAAGCCATCGACAGACCATCTTGGTTGAGGGTTCGACAGACCCATGCAACTGGTCTCAGCGTTTCTAGCATCCTGACGCTGATCATAACTACCAGTATTTTATCGTCCGAACTGAACCTCAGATCTTCTCAGGGAACAGATGTTTTCTGAATCACGAATGACACCACACGCAAATCTGACACCACATTCCCTTTCCTCCAACAGCAATTGATGCGAGAGATAGGAGATTCTAGCAGGCCTCGAGTTTGCGGCTCCCGGGAAGTTTCCGTGGCTCAGATCGTCCTCGTAACGGTCCTCGTAATTCTGGGGCAGAGATGTTTGACCCCAAGGCGATTTGGGTACAATAGATCTAGGCAGGTACTTGTGACTTGAGGAAGCAAGCATCTGACCGTCGACCTACGGAATAATGCAGCAAGACATCGGCAGTTTAGATGGCTAGCAAATTAGCTATCAAAAGATATCTCGAGATTGGAAGGTTGCTGGACTGGTTACGGCAATAGCCTTCTCGAATAGCTTGCCTTTGTTGCAGCGGATCCAGGTAGCCTCGTGTGCACTATGTTTGTCGGCGCATGAGGCTGGGAAGTTGCTGGTTCGTGACGCTGTCGTGCAACGGCCACTCCAAGTGTTGGCGGAGGTACAAAGTACTTACGAGCAGAGCAAGCTTCACTTTCTCAACACTCACACTCGCACAGCTTCAGCTGCCAGCGCATCTTTGCATCCCATTCGGAGCTCATATCGGAGGAATAGCTTGTCTCGTATTGCAACTATGATCTGGGACTTCAATTTGGAGATGCAACCCGCTTCCCACTGCCTGGTTAGGTGCACCAGTGCCTCCAAGAATCCAAGCGTTCAGCACAGGAAGCGGATTCGGAGCACCAGATGTACAATGAGTAGACAAGTGCCGTCTGAGTTGCGATTGGGTCGAAATCTGAAAGCCCCGTGTTTCATCTTCTGCGGAACATCGCTGGGATGCTGCACCGCCGACACACCACCAAGCCCGTTGGGGTGCTTCCAAGCTTAATTGGAACAGTTGCGCGAGTTTGAGCTTTAAACTTTCAACCGATCTTTTCTCTCTGACGAGTTCGAGAAGGCGCAGTGTTCATGCCTTCAGCCAGATACCCACCCGGAACATCCCTGCACCGGCATGGAGATCTCTTTGGCGGCATGCGGGAAGACATTCGCACAGACAACGGCTTTTGAGGCTGTGTTGATTGATGGTGCTGCAACTTGTTCTGCAATTTCTCCTAGCTGAATGATCCGAGAGGCTCTTTGACCTCTGACGCGAGCTGGGACACGGTCTCGCAACTCCCTGGAACACATCACGGAGTGTCAATCAAACATCAGAAGTCTGTGGGTACGCGTTTTGCAAACGGGATCTCGATTTTCTATTTCAATCATCCGATGTAACCTTATTTGTTGTGCAACCTGAGGCAACGAGCGGTGAGTTTGCTCGAGATCACGTGGCATAGCAAAAAGGGGGGTTTTCTGAGCTGTGCTTTTGTGCATCTCGATGAGATACCTACAGGTGATACCTCATATTACCGGTAGACTGGAACTCTCATTAAAAAGTCTGTGTGATCAAGTTTTCTTCACCGCCAGACTTATGTTTTATGATTGAAAAACTTTCTTCCGCTGGTCCATTTATTTGTCTTCTGGTGACTCGAATACACAGATCGAAGTGAAGAGACGTTGCCGTCTTTCTCTTTCCACTTGGAATTATTGAACTCTGAAGTCATAGACTAGTCCCTTCTTCATCTTCTTCTTATTCAAACGTCTATATAAAGTTGAGATAATATCGATCATGTGTCTACTTCATACCCATGCTACTAGTACATATGTTTTAGATATATCAGCATGCATGGCACGCGTATACACTGCAGCCTCCATATATGTATATCTTCTTTAGTTGTATTAATGCCGTTCGCTAAGGATTACTTTCTCATTGGCAGTATTTAAGGTCCATCTACATATTGCGCAATGAGAAACAGTTTGAGTAAATATGTGATTTGTTGTAGGAATGTTACGAGTATAGAGTACGAAGTACGCTCGTATCTTGTTAATATATTTCTCGTCCTGATACATCTTTGATCTTTCAGTACAAGAAATATACATGAAATAGAGTCCAACTCATCTTGGAATATCCTCTCGACCACCTCAGGAACTAGCATATTCCCAAATACGCGAGCATGCTAGTTCAGGGCATTCTAAATAGCAATTCAACTATTCACTCCTAATATGACCAGGATAATATATTACGTTGATATTCATAAGATCTATCTCTATCTGACTAGTATTTCTCTAAATCGATTTTCACCTCCTACGGCTTATAGAGACAATGACTGGAGAGGAGCAGTATCGACTTGGCCTTTATGGTAATAAGCAGACTTTAAAATATTGAACCAGGCCTTTCCGATTCCCCCCGCAAAACCGACGCCGGCGCCGCACGCTGTTTTAAGATCCCCAAGCAAATAAAACAAACGTGGACCCCCTCTGCCTGAAGTGGCATTTCTCTCTAATCTCCCCTTTCTACTAGAGTTCCAAATCGATCCCGAGATCAATCGCCCCAATAATATCGTCATCCATGAGCGGTCTGCGAAGTGTAGGGATGCCATTATTCTCAGCTTGCAGCTTCGCAAGGTGAGGAAGCGGAGTAGAGGGTTTCTTCGCATTGAGCTTGGGCGTCCCAGAGGTCGGCGTGTTAGTGCCGCTGCGCTCGCTGTCCGTCTTCTTCATCCCTGTGTCCGTGACATCGTGCTTAAACTTCGCACGCGTCTTCAAGCGGCGAGAGGTATCTTCTGCGACATCTTCACCACGGGCTATGGCAGCTTCAGTCATCTTGACCGCACGTCTCTCGTTGATCTGCGCTTGGCGGACTTCCTCGGCGTTCTTGCGGCGGTTTTGTTTGTTGAGAATTGCCAATCGCTCTTGTTGGCTCATCCCTGAAGCCGAAACGGTGGACTTTTTGGGAGATGGTCGCATGGAGGTGCTGTATGCAAGTTTTGGACCATCGAGGTCTTCCAATTCCTTCTTGAGTAATTCTTCCTTTTCAGTGTGGCCTGCATTCTTGGCTTCCTTGATGAGGTTGGTCAAGCGGCTACGCTCGATAGGAATAAACCTGTTGACAAGAGCACCGGACTTAGTGAGCTTCTCTTGAAGCTCAGCCTCAGTCCAAGAGCGGTTCACTAGATTATTGATGTCTGCGACCTTTTGTAAAAGTTTCGGTTTCGTTGGTAGTGGAACACCTTCGACTATGCAAGTCTGCTTGTATCGGTTCCATTCGGCCTAAGAAATCGTCAATATGGGTAATTAGCTTGCAGATACTCTTTAACAAACCTCAGTGAACGGAGAATCTGAGCAGGTGATGAAGGGCCAATTCCGCTCCGCCTTCCCATGAGCAGCGCGTATGTATTGAGTCGTTTTAAAGTGCTTCCCATTTGCTGTTTCCACGGCATAGGGTCTTTCTTCTCCGAAACCTTACAAGAGTCAGTACGAATGCAAGATCCTAAAATTCTTCTACATACCCTTGATGAGAGCCATTCGGTAGATATTTTGTCCATTATCCTTGTCAATGCCAACACTGATGCGGACAAAGCATCCTGTGATCGCCTCATCAAAACCTGGGTAAAAGCAAACCATGGCGAACCTTGTTCTCCCAACTCTCACGCGCTCAATGTCGTGAAGGCCAGCAGGCTCGGCATCTCGATATTCTGGGGAGCGACTCCTCCGCTTGTTCTTCGATTTGCCATCATCCCATTCCACCTCTGAGTCTCCATCGGCATCAGCATCTGAGTAGTCTTCGTGTACAACTCTGCGATCCTTGTTGCGCTCCTTGTCTTCCTCGCGGCGGCGTTGGCGATCATTCTTCTCAGCTCTTGCGCGCTTAAGACTATCGATACCTGTGCTTGCTTCCCCAACCTTACCACCACCGAGCTTTGTGCGTTGACGAGAGGTTTTCCGTTGATTTTCGTCCAGGTCTGCTGCTCCAGCCTTACGCTTTTTATCCAGTTTCTTCGCCTCGGCATCACGGGCATTCAAAAGCTGACGAAGCGCCCGGTTTTGCCTTTGTGTCTCGACTTCCGTAGCACGCTCAGCAAGGACTTCTTCACGCTTAATCTCGGGCATAGCCATGATTTCAGCTTTGTCCGCGGCGTTCATATACCTGCCTTCGAGGGGGTATTTATCGGCTTCGTCGAACATGGCAGGAGAATCTGATTCTGAATCCGATTCGTCCATCGGAGCGGATCTTAAGGAGTTGGGAGATGATGCACCTGAGGAGCTGTAGAATAATGAGCTACTGCTGAAGACATGTTTTATTGAATTGCAAGCTGTTTCTACTTACGCTTCGCCCTCTTCCTCGGAGTCATCATGTCGCTTTGATTTCCTGCCGCTAGATTTCTTCGTGCTGGTTTTACCCGATGTATGAGCTTCTGGTGATGCGGAGCCTGCTTTGCTGATATTGGTAGGCGCCTCGTCTTCCTCATCAGAAGAAGCATCTCCTGCAAGAGCAAGAAGCTCGTCGTCGATGTCTGCCATCGTGTATAAATGAGCGTATGTGTGCAAGTATATTTGCGATAAAGCGTAGAGACTGGACTCCGTTTGTGGTCTGGTCGATGTCAGGTAGATTGGTGTGTGCGCAATACCTGATTTGTTTGCTTGCTTGCTGGTTTGGAGATGGCAGTTGGTTGAAAAGGAGTGCTATCCAAATGAATGAGAATTCGTATTAAGGGAAGTATTGCCAGAGATATGGGCGCAACTGTCGATAATAGGAGGGTTTTCGTAGAGCCTTGAAGTGAATGAAGCTGTCGCCGGAGGTTCATAAAGGGGATTTCAATCATGAGCCTTTACCTGAACTAGATTAGCTTGATATAGCTAGCCCGCATCGGAGTCTACAAACGCCGATATAAACTGTACCTCGCAATTTATTAGATGGAAGCGTCATAAACCATAAGACCACTCTCAATTTACTAATAAACAAACAAACCCGCACCCAATCCTTCTGTTTCTTTCTCTTTCCAAACCGAATACATATAATGGCTTTATTCTCTGCGTTTCGCCCAGTTTTCTCATCACACTCTCTCCCAGTCTACGATTTCTTAGCTCCAAGTCTTTTCCAAATACACCGAGCTCCTCGTTCAATTCGCCATCTCTCAACCACCCCTCAACGCCATACCCTTTCCAATTTCCAAAATGACTCCCCATCCACCGCTCCAAGGACCCCCAAAACCGGGACAGAAGCAACCTCAAACCCGGCCTCTACATCTAAACCGCTAACCCAAGCCCAGCGCGACTTCCTCTCCCGTGCCGTACGTCTTTCCCCCTCCCCTCCTCTCCCCTCCCCTCTTCGCCCTCTCCACGTTTTCCAATACTCTCTCATCCTAACACAACACAGCTACGAGTGAACCAAACCGGCGAACTAGCCGCAGTATTAATCTACGCCGCTCAAACCCCCGTCATCGTCGCATCCCACCCGCACTTGCGCCCGCTAATGAAACACATGTACGACCAAGAAGCTGGGCACTTCGTCACCTGGAACGCGCTGCTCTCGCGCCACCGCGTGCGCCCAACAGCCCTGTACCCCGTCTGGACCATGGCGGCCACCGTGCTAGGATGGGGCACCGCTGTGATGGGCCGGGAAGCGGCAATGGCGTGTACAGAGGCTGTGGAGACGGTGATAGGCGGGCATTATAATGAGCAGGTGGGCGGACTGCTGGAGATTTTTAAAGAGATGGAGGCAGAAGGGGTGGAAGTGGGGGAGGATTTGAGGGTGTTGGTGGAGTCGGTTAGGAGGATAAGGGATGAGGAGTTAGAGCATTTGGATCATGCTCTTGAGAATGATGCGCAGAAGGCGGTACCTCATGAATTGCTTACGGGTGTTATTAGGGCGGGGTGTAGGGGAGCGATTTGGGTTAGTGAGCGAGTATGAGATGATGTGGATGTATATCAAAAACGAGTGTAAGGATTTTGATGCATTGATGACTAGTTACAATATAAATTTATAAGAGGGTAAAAAAGGAACGCCTCGCTGGTTATGCAGAAAGTGTGAATAAACTCCAATGGCAATGCATCCAATCCTTCCCACTTTGTCTCGCTTATGCCTGTCTACTCTAACAAGTATCAACAAAATATACAAAACGCTCTCGTAGGCCGTAAGGTCTTCTTTAATCGCTACGCAGATAGTTAGTATTACGTTTCTTCAACATGCCGAGGTGATGCGACTTACTAAATCTGTAGAGGGGCTACTTGATCTACCTGGTAGAGCCAATTTGAATTCAACTCCTCTTTGATCAGCCAGTCATATGGGAATGAAACAAGGTGTCCTTGAATCATGCTGAGCAACTCTTCAACATCGCTTGAACTGAGTAAGTCATCGCTAGCATTAAAGCCTCTTCGGCTGCCTTTCGTCCCTCGGCGACGCTTCTTCATGGAGTTCTGATTAATTTGCGAGGACGGGGCCTTATCTGATGGCGTCGAGGAAGAAACTGTGACTCTCCTAGCGTCAGGTTCTGTGGCTTTTTCTGCATCTGAGTGCGGGGGGTTCAGGGTAGAGTCCAGAGAGGGGAATGCCTCATTCCCGGTTGGTTGTTCTGGAGATGCGGCTTCATCTGATCTGCCTAGAGCGGCTTTCTCATCTATCCCATCGACCTGGCCATTGATTTGAGTGTTCTTGGTGTTGCTGGTGTCAAGAGGCTCAAGTCCCTTGCTGGCATTGTCTGCCCAGTCTGCCACAGTGCCAAGTGGATGGTGACTGTCATTGGAGTGTGTGTTAAATTTCTCGGCGATGCTGCTGAGTCCTTGCCCAATTGCACCTACACCAGTGACCGATGCTGCCACTGCTGCTGTCGTTGTCGCTGTCGCTGATATTCCAGGGGGTCCACTTTTGCTAACCGTTTCCTGTTCCTCACGCTCTGTGCTCTTGACTCCCTGAGACTGGGCAAATCTCTCGGCGTAGGCAATAAATTGTGTGTACTCATGCCAGTTGGTGACCTCACTGTCGGGATTGCATCGGAAGACCCGCCTGAATATCTTCGTATTGTTTTCCGCAATCAGACGCCAGGTATGTTCGAAGAAAGAAAGGTTCAGAGGATCCCGCATGCAATCTTTATCAACCTGAGCGAGTTTGAGATCGGCAGTCACAGGGTTGAAGGCCTTCGGCGCAGCATTCCCATGGGAGTCTACTTGGACAGGCGGCCCGCCAATATCTGTATCATCAATGATAGGAAGGGAAGGAAGTTGAGATAGCTGAGGCAGACCCATTTGCTCTGTGGTCCTTCTGAATAGCCCAGGCATAGGTGGAAGGACGTCATGAGTGCCATGCCCTTCGAGCCCGTGATCATAATGAGGTGAAGAAATGCGAGTGTGGCGCTTTTTTGGATGGTTCACAGTTCCTTTACCCTCTGGTGCGATATCTGCAATCAGCACTTCTCGACCTCCATCCACTACTTTCGAGTCCCGCCCACGAACAGTCCCAGTTTGCTCGGCAGCCTTTAGTTGATCTTCACCCTCCCCATCGACTTCGGCAGCATGTTCCTTGTTCCCAGTGACTCTATTGTCGCTGGTGACCCCCTTGAATCTGCTTGGTTGAAGATTAGGATTGTCTTCTTGTTCCCAATCAATATCATGATTGAAACTGAGGCTGCGTTCTGCATTGGCAATCCTTGCGGCTTGGTCGGGGGTTAGAGGTTGTACTGCAGGTCTAGCCATTCCCCAATCGGAATCGGAGTCATCCTCTCTGTAGATGTTGTCCATCTTTGATTCGTATTCGTCTTCCTCTTTGTCAAGCTCTGCTCTTCGATCGTCCTCCATGACTTCATCAACATCAATCCCAAGATGCTCCCTCATCAGTCGCATGCGCAATGTATGAGCAAAGCGTCCCACGAGATATGGTTCTCCATCCATAGTCGACCAAAGCATATCGGTATCGCGAACTACAGCAGCACACTCGGAATCCCTGATACCCAACATAGATCTTTCGTTGATGTTAGCTGAACCAATCAGCGCAATTCGATCATCGACAATGATGACCTTGGCGTGGATATACAACTGCTCAGTGACCAGCGTCTTCTTAGGGCCAATTCTACCCCACGATCGCAGACTGTAGAATGAGACGAAATCCTCTGGCTCAATTCCCTGGCTTCTCAAACGGCCAAAGATGGAGCCCTCTCCGCGACAGATACTGCGGAATTGGCACTGCATGATCAATCGAACACTAGTACCCTCGGGCTCATCCACCGTATTTTGGAAACCAGGCATTAAGGGGATGACTATAACACATCTCCAACTTTCATTGTTTTGAAAGGCACGGACTGCTCGTTCAACTATAGCGTCTCCGATTTTATTGATAATCTTGACGTTCATCGTTTCAGTACTAGTGATGAAGAACTGATTTTCAATATAAATGAAGTGCTCCGATTCCTCAATCATTTTGCAGTATGCATTCATGATGCTGTGCTCGGTTTCTGTGACTCCAAGAGACCAGTCTGAGGCTGATCGCAAAATCTGAACTTCACAAGTACCCGTGAGGCCGAGAGCCTCGAGGTCTTCTGGTTTGTAATCAGGCGGTGGAAGCAAAAATGGCGTTGGTCTTGTGGGCTTTCGTCCTCTAAGCACGTAGTTCCATCTTTGGACGAAATGGCGGGTCAAGTCTCGGGCGGGTTGACCAACGACCTGCATAGAAACATCGTGCCATGGCATCCTAGGAACCTTAGAACGATCATACATCTCAGCATATGGCTCATTTAATTGGTAGAAATCCTGGACTCGGGGGTTGGAGTAGTCTTTTCCAGGCCACAGCTGACAATGATCAGCATCTTTTGGCAAGTCCGACTGCTCAAACCCAGTTGGCTTATCATCCACGACGGAGTGTTGCGGTGTATCCCAACGGCCAAAGCAGAGATCGATACCACCTACAAAGGCAACAGTGTGGTCAACGATGCAGATTTTTTCGTGATGTGCGAAGAAGAACTGATTCTTCTTAAATTGATTGGGCGACCGCTGTACGAAGATGTTCGGGTGCAAGTCAAGCATAGAGAATTTGGTGAACTCGGAATCGATTGGGATAGCAGCTTCGACATTCCTGTAAATGATAATGAAAACCTTAACGCCTTCTCGGGCCTTTCTCTGGAGCAATCTATCCAATCGCCACTTTTGACTAATCGCGGCAGGCCTTCGCATGTATAGTTGGGGACTAAGCCACCAATCGTGAATGTAGATCACGTCTTTAGCCATGTTGATGGCTCTTGAGACATTCCACATGTAGTCTCTGCCGTCCACTAACCACTGCGCGTATACACCGGTTCGAACAGGGGCGAAACTTCCAAAGCGATTTTCTTTAGCCCAGGGCGTGTTGCCCACCATGTATGTCAAAGACTCTTCAAATTGCCTAAGTTGACGCTCGTTCTTTGCCAGAAGCTTAATCTTGCGTTCGGAATTCTGTAGCTTCAGACTGTGGTGCTGTGGGTGTTTGGCGGACGATTCGGCTTTAGCTAGGAGCTCTTTGCCGCCCATCTCGGTGATTTTTCGACGTTTCTTTTGTATTTCGAACTTGGGGTCTACTAAGTAAACGTCGTAAATGTGCATATTTTCGGGAGAATCGATGCAAACGATATAGCTATGTCTCACTAAAAACCATTTGGGTGAGTGCCGTGCGAAGACATTTTTTGGAGTCAGCAGTCGTCTGAAATCCAAGCCCTTCGAAGATTGGATGACTAGAAAGCCCTCCTTGCCATGGTAGCTACCTTCAGCAGCCAGCCGGACTCCTAAAGCAGAAAGTTCCAAAAATCTACAAAGTCTGTTGCTATCGGGTCGGAAAATGAGCCAATGGATCATTTCTTGAAGATACTGCTCTAGCCTTCGTCGTTGCCTCTCATTGTATTGTTTTGTTCCCTGCACGCCTCCAGCTGCCGCATTTGGTCCTGCCACGATGGATTTCTTTCTTGAGCTGCTGAATGAAGGTCGTCGCTTGCTCTTCTTTTTTGGCTCGGTTTCGCTATGCGTAGCTTCACCCACGGTTTCATCCACGCGGATGGGATCTGCTTCATCCTCTTCCTCATCACTGTCGCCCAACCCTCGGAAGCCTCGGAAATAAGGGAAAGCCGATTTTGGAAATCGAGGTTGCTTCGCTTTCTTCGTTCTTGCAGTGGTGTTGGTTGGGTTCAACCTGTCGCTGCGTCCTTGAATCTTATACCGTATATGTAGGTTTGAAAAGTCTCGCAGCGAACGATCAATAACCCACGACATCCTATTTAGGCCATTTCCGTACTCTAGCTCAATTCTGAAAACAAGGTGCCTCTCATTATCACCGGGGTCTTCGATACTAGGTCTGCTATCGGTGACACGCAACTTGATCTGTTCAAGAATGACTGGTATCCTCCTGTTTCCGTGATCGTCCCTTTGAATCATACTCGCAAACATGAGTACAGCTGGAGTTCCAGCACGTAGTTCAGCCATCAGCTCAGTAGATTTAATATAATCATGCCTGTGCTCCTTTTCCTTCGCCGACCCTAAAAGCTTCAAACCATGCTTGAGCATTCGCCATCTTTGGGCCCCGAAAGTAGCAGCCCGCTCGCCAGCCAGGAAAGGTCGCCTTGGCGTGGTATTCTCGCCTTCGCTCTGACCACCTCCAAATCCAGTCAACGCGCGCCTAAAATTGCTTGGTCTCCGTGGTGTTGCGGTTCCATCAAAATCACCTGGAGTGTTTCCACCGGAATTTGTCAAGCCACGAGGCCCAGATAACCATGAGCTTCCCCGCCTCCAACCACTTTGATTGAGTCGATCTCGACCTTCGCCTTCAGACAAGTGCCCCCGCTGTTCCAATGAACCATCCGTAGCCCGTCGACTCAGGAAAGGATAAGGCCGACTGCTCCCACCAGGAGAATCTGCATTCCCCATGCCACGAGCTCTTGGTGTATTTGGAACCGTTTGACTTTGACCGTTGGTTTCATTGTCTTGAAACTTTCGCATTCGGCGTTTCCGTTTGGTTCTTTTGACATCAGCTGCAGCATTTTCATCAGCGGTCTCCTCCGCATCAGCATCACTATCTTCCTCTTGTAATGTGTGTGGAAATCGATTCAGACGGTCTGCGCTTGGTGAGAGTGGAGCGGATCCTGTGCCATCCTCGCCGTAATTCGTAGGATTGCTCTGACTTCTCATATGTGTCTGCAACCCGCTTGTAGAAGCCAATGCCTTCAACTTTGACATCAAAGACTGGCCTCTGCGGTCCCTGCCAGCCGCGTCGCCATCTTCCGCCAAGCCCCATGAATCTTGTCTGTTATGACCTGAACCACCAGCGGTATAATCCGGCCTTACAAACTGTACACTTCTTCGTCCGGGTGGTGTTGCAGTGCCTGCTGTTGTTGCTGCTGGTGCTGTGGCATCTTTGAAAGTTGCGGGTGGTTTCAGCGCCGAATGTCTTACGGAAGACGTGACATTGTCGGTCGCAGAGCCGTTCACCACAATTTCTCCGTCGTGCGGGTGGCCTCTATTCAAATAGTCTGGCGCTTCGATGGGGGACTTGCTCGTATTGACATTAGACGCGGTGGGAGAGTGTGCAAAATCATGGGAGGTTCCGTCGGGATTCAACTCTGTCCGCAAACCTGAATGTCGTACAGTCGCTGACCCGTTCGCATGTGTGTAGAGCGGCGATTCTGCCCGTGGGCTCTTAGAAATGGGTGGACTAGATTCCTCATTGTGCTGTGCCATGCTGAAGCTTTGCCTTCTTCCCAAACCCCTTTCCACACGCGCGAATCCCAAGCAGTGTCCTTTGAAGGGCTACACGTAAATATTTACACGTTGTATGTGTAGTTCATGGCGGATAATCCAGTCCACTAAAATGTTCAGGGTCCAGGGCACAAGTAGACGGAAATGGCTAAGGGTCTAGGGGTTGTTTTAGGGGTGGTGTTGGATGTTGACCGGGGATTCGTGGCACCGTCAACACGAACGCTGCGGGATTGAACGGTTCTCTTCGCGGAACAAGCAGGACAGATTCCAAACACCAAGTAGATATATCAAAGCAAAGGCTCGAATTCCTGTCAAACAATTGCAATGTTCTCGTACTGCGTCGGGAGGTCGGAAGTGAGCATCGAGCTTGCGCTGATCCAGTGGAAATTAAATGTTTGGCCCGAGCGAGTACTGGCGACGGCGGATGACGTTGTGGTGTTTGGTGTTTCTCGGTCGACCTGCACTTCTTACTCCGTACAATAATATAGTGTATGTAGTACAGTATGAGAGTAAATAACCCTACAAGCTCTCTTCTTCCATAATCCGACAAGAAGAGCCTCCAAGGTTATATTCATCAATTTCGAGTGTTCTTGTTCCTATCATATTTATTGACTTGTTTGTTTGTTTATTTCCTTCTTCATACACTTCGATTGCTTCTTCCCCTCCTCTCCTACCGCAACCATGGCTACTCCAAACCCTCTTCAAGATCCCCCCTCAGAAACACCTCCTTCTGTCTCCATGAAGACCTTCCATATTGCCGGAATCCTAGCAGATGTATACGGTCTCGACGAAGTATCGCCATCCTGTAAATCAATCTCATGTCTCTGGCTTCTCCATCCTCGACTGCAGACAAAAGAACTCATGGGGACAGTGGCCTCCACATGCATCAGTGATTGGAACCAGCGCGCCCCAGGAGACCGCAAGGTCGGACTTATTGCATTAGCTTTTGATCAGAGGAATCACGGGACTAGAGAGGTCAAGGCAATTGCAAACGAGGCGTGGAAATCAGGGAACGAGACTCACGCACAGGATATGTTCAGGTATTTATTTGGCTTTCCCGTGCTTGATGTTTACTTCTGACTGTATCAGTATTTACCACGGTACTGCTCTTGATACCAGTCTCCTGATAAACCACCTGGGCTCATATGTCTTCAATGAGCCAGATGCTCCGCCAATCGAGCAACATCTAGTTATGGGCATTTCATTAGGCGGGCACGCTGCGTGGCAGGTTTTATTCGGAGACCCAAGGGTGACGGCAGGAGTTGTGGTTATTGGTTGTCCGGACTATATGAGTAAGTCATTTACTGCTTTCTTTCCAAAAGATTTCAAGGGCGTGGAAACGTGCTATATGTCAGATCATCCATGGAGGACCAAAGTATCAAATATGTATTCCTTGATTCCTCTTCTAGTCAAGTGACGTGGACAATTCTCGCTCATGAACAACTCTTGTAATTCTTATATTTGACTTCCTACATCTTCATTTCATAGTAGACTTCAACAACTAAACCTCAAACCCAGGAATAATGACCGATCGAGCCCGCCTCTCCAAACGCTCCACCTTCACCACCACCGAGGACACCCCCGAAGCATCCTTCCTAGGCAGTCCCGACTTCCCCCGCTCCCTCATCACCGCATGCTCCAAGCATGACCCCAAAGCCCTCCTCTTCGGCACCTCTCCCATCCCCCCTTCCTCCTCCTCTTCCCCTTCACCTCCTCCTCTCTCAACCTCGGAACAAAACCGCATCCGCCCCCTTCTCAACACCTCGCTATCAGGAAAACGCATCCTAGTCTGCTCCGGCGGCGCAGACAAGCTCGTACCGTACCATTGTTCCGAGCCTTTCCTGCGCTTCTTGAAAGACGCTACGGAGACGGGCGGCTGGTATGCGGATGGGGACGTGGTGCTTGAGGATCGGGTTTATGAGGGGGTTGGACATGCGTATAGTGAGGGCATGGTGAGGGATACGACGAGGTTTGTTAGGGATGCTTTGGTTGATGGGGCGAGGGTTCCGATTAGTTCAAATTTGTAGTTGGGTATGTCATGGCTTCTTTTAATGATTTTCGGTTGCTGTTAAGAGGGGTTAAGTTCGTTTTCCTTTTTTTTTAATTTCCTGAAGCGGCAAATCCATAACAGTACCCCGGTTAAGCTCTCTCGCGCCATCGTATCCATGATACAAGATACCACACCCAATATTGATATCTCCAAGCCTGCAAGCCCAATTCCACCTCTGCAGCATTTATCAAATCCTTCTCGACCACTGCCCCAAGCCCTTTTCATCATCCTCGAAAGCTTTTAACCACACCTTTTAACAAAGCACCTCCAGCGCTCCTCATCCTGCACGTATCAAAACACATGAGTCCTTCCCCAAAACCTCTCCCAAGCATCATAGTCCACCTCCCTCAACGAATCATTCATGATTAGATCTCTAGCCTCCACATACCACTCCATTCCCATCCCAAAGGGCCGTGGTAGCAGACTCTTGGATAACTTGTGGTCCTTCCATCTAGCGACTAGTTCGCCATGTCGACATACGTACTTCTGTTTATCGACGTCGTGGGTTCCTGAGCTTCCGTATGTATCGGCGTTGAGGAACATGGGTGGGAAGTGTCCCCATTGGCTGTGGATGCAGAAACCTGTAACGGCGGAGCGCCATGGCATATGAGTGTTCGTTGTTAGTAGTACTCATTGCTTATTCTAAAGAAATTTGAAGTTCGGAATTATCTTGCAATGGCTATCAAACTCCCTCAACATTCGCAAATGATATCATACTATGTTCACAAACGCGTGCTTGGAAAGGTTCATCGGCTTACCTAGAGAAGAAAGTATATCGAGGGCCAACCCAGTCCCCTAACAATTCATAGAGAAATACTGAATTATCCTTGCCCGATGCATGGGCACCGAGTTTTGTAGAACACGTGAGGGGTATCCTATCAGGATGAATAGTCTTGAGGAGAGTCCATAGAACGCGGCAGGTAAGACCAAGACAGACTCCCGTGGCAGCATCGAGGTTTTCGAAAAGAACTAGCAAGAGGTCCGCAGAGAAGTTGTGGAAGTTGAGAAGCTGATGGGTAGAGTGGCTCGACTTCTCCTTTGAGGGATTAGACTTCTCTGGAGAATGATCCATGGATGTTTCGGGTGATATTTGTTAGATACCGTATCTATACCGACTGAAAATAATGGCAAGAATTCCAAAAGAAGTTGATAGTTGAAGTTTGTAACGTTGTTGCAGATAACGAAGGATCTGGTAGGCAACGATGCCACAATATAGGCATATTTCCTACCATTTGGGAAGGCACCATCCTTGAAGCTTCTGCTAGCTCTTTCAACCTCTCACGAACCTCAACTCAGATCACCTGTCTACTTGAACGCCTATCACCCCTTCCCAAGGCTTTCGATCTTCTACCAACACCTCTTCAACAACCTCCCCTCTCAAAACCTCACTTTTCACTCCGCTCTTTCCCCTCTCCTCCTCACTTTCAAAAAATAACTGACTCACCTTCCACGGATTCCGTTCCCTCCTCTTCCCCCTAAGCTTTTCCCCCGTCCCCATCAGATCCTTCTCCCATTCCCCAAACCCCCTCTCCTTCTCTCCCCTCCTCACACTCGCACACCGCTCTGCATCAAACCCAACACTGCCCTCGTCCATATACTCCGGATCCACCCCCCACAAACCGCACCCTCTCCCTCGGCCACCTCATAGCCGGCACATGCAACTCCAAAAACCTCGCCTCCTTAAACGCATGACTAACAACTGTAACCATCTCCGGCCACTTCCCCACCTCCATCCAAAAACACAGCACGCCAAAAACCAGATTCGCAAAACTATCCAAAGCCTGCTCCTCAAGCAATATTCTCCCCCTCAAATCCCCATCTCCATCTAGTCCCCAAAACCCATTATCGACACACAGATCCAGATAAGACCTCGCCTCAGACTTCCTCGTTTCAGCCCGCGTGCTCGAGCCTGAGAGGACGAGGAGCGCGGACGGGGTGGATGAGAGGAGGGCCAGCGCGGTTGTGATGTGGGAGGTGAAGGTTGGTGTTTCGTTGGTCTGGAAGGGCGCTATGAGCCATTCTGATTCTGAGATGCCGTGGGTTGGACCGCCGAGGTAGATGGCGTGGCAGCAGACGAGGATTAGGTGGGTTGGTACAACTACTGGTTTATTTGAGGTCATGATGGATTTATTAGGGTGAGAAGGCACTGGGAGTTTATTTGTGGGAATTCATAGAAAGATGAGTGGAAGGGAACATAATATAATGTTACTATATATGAAAAGAGAAAGTTGGAGATGAGAGAAAGATCTGGGCTGTCAATAAGTAGGAATATACGGAGGTAGTTGGCGTGGCTCGGGTCGTGCCGAGATCAGATCGAGCCAATCAGGACTCGATATAAGGCTGCTCACAAACTTACACCTTGTATACTGTGCCTCTTAGCTTGTATGGTGTGTGATCTATGCAAACCGCTTGGTAATTTCTGTTGATGTAAATCAGAAAAAGACAGAGTTATTAGAGCAAAATGAAAAAGTTCCTTCACAACTAGCCGCTCTCGCTTCCCGAAGCCGAAGCAAGCCGACCCCAAACCCCTGAAAATCTTCCCCCTCCAGCTTTCTTATACACTCATCAACCTCCACGTGAGATCAAAAAACAACCGCAATCATGGCAACAGACCAAATCTCCATCCTCTTCGTCTGCCTAGGAAACATCTGCCGCTCCACAATGGCCGAAGGCATCTTCCGATCCATGGTCTCGAAACCACCCTACAAAGCCCTTGTCTCGGAAGTCGATAGCTGTGGAACTGCAGCTTATCATACGGGATCGAGTCCTGATTCTCGAACCATGTCAACGTTGGAGGATAATGGGATTACGGACTATGAGCATGCGGCGAGGAAGGTGAGTGGAGTGGGGAGAGGATGGGGTTCAAGGTGCTGGATATTTGTTGACGGGGGATAGATTCACGTGTCGGATTTCCAGAAGTTTGATTATATTTTCGCTATGGTGAGTGAAGTGCTTTTCTATTCCTAGAATATCTTGCAGGTTTGGAGATATTTAATATGTGCAAAAGCAAGCTTTCACCAAATTTCCTTGTTTTCATGTTATGGGGTGGCAAAGAAAGAACCCTGGCTCACACTTCATAGGACCGCGACAATCTTCGAGATTTGCAGAGAGTCCATGCAAGAGCGGGTGGCAAGGCTAAAGTCATGTTGTTTGGAGAGCATGCTGGGAAGAAGAAGGCTGAAGAGGTTCAAGATCCTTATTACGGGGCAAGGGACGGGTTCGAGATTGCCTACGAGCAGTGTGTAAGATTCTCTAAGAACTTCTTGCAGGAGGTCTTTCCTGATGTCAAGGCTTGAAGGGTGTTTCCTGTCAAGGACTGGGGGTTTTGGAGTATGGAGTATGGGAACAGAGAGAGGCTCGGGCTGGATTGGAATGAAGATAGAAGGGATAAGGTATCTCAAGGCAACAGTCAGCCTGCCTGTCTTAGATAAACCGTCTAAACAGTCTGAACGGCATAACCATTCTCGGCATGTTTTGAGTCCCGAGGGCTTAGCATCGAGATCTCCTCAGCATGCGTCGTCACATGCATCTGAGCAAACAATTGATGGTTAACGAGACCCAATGAGATTCTCTCGATGTCTTTACCCTTTGCATGTTCTTCAAAGTCATGCCCCAGATGGTCGTGGTCTTGGCTACCAAAGCACTAACCCGATCTTCTCCATTACTCGTAGCGGACACAGCCTCGCAGCTTTGACGTTGAGCTGACGCGCTACTGGGCGTGGCTTGTTCGTGCGGGGAGGCTGATTCGTGTTCTGTGGCGTCGTTTGCCTTTGCTGATTTGTTGCATGCAATCTGCTATTTCAAGAACGGAAAAGGCTGGAGAGAAATGGTGGTGATACGCAGTACTCCGTACCTCGTATTTTTGATCCGTAAGTCTGATATTCCCGCTGTTTTTACTCCATATATGTCTATTCCGTACCAATCAAAGAGCTCCGATCCGACAATTAAAGGGAGTTTAAGCGTCTATACTAGGGTGAAGAGCCTGTTAGACTTGGAGAAATCTATCTATGTACGCTAAGTGTCAGCTTTAGAAAAAGGCGAGTAATTTCAGCCCCATGTCTCAAAACCGTCTAGATTGCGGCCGTGATACAGTATCAGCTCGTACTTCGTACATTATTACATAAACTAACGACCTCTGCATTTTCTTTCTTGGAGTCTTCTTGAACGAACCTGCTCTCCTCTCCTCTCGTCTCCTCTCGTCTCCTCTATTTCTCCTCTGGTTCGTTGATTGAAGAAGGTGGCATCCTGTAATTAACTTACTCTGAAACTGTGGTACAGGCCTTGGCATCTCAATCACCCGCATCGGATTAGAAGTATCTGGCTAGCCGACCCCTGTTGCCCAGGAGATCTCCTGAAACACCTCTCGAATTGAAGCGTCACCTGCACTGAAGCCTCCTATTATTGCTATCATTATTCCTACTCGTACCCAGAAAGAATGAGAATCTAGCCAACTAGGAAGTAAGAAAGGCGTCCATCCATCCATCCCAGCCATACCAAAAACCGACCGGTTGTGTGCACATCATCAACGCAGGCTGCGCGGCATTGGCATTGACATTGGCATTGGCATTCCTCTCTGCCCCCCGTCTAGGATTTCTCCAACCCCACCAGTGCAGCACATATAACGGACCAGGATGTCTTATAGTCGTTTAGGTAAGTCCTTCATTTCTTAGATATATTCACGGCTCTGCCAGCTACTTTCAGTCACCCGCCGGTTCTGTGATGTGGTGGGAATGTCCTCAAACCGATCAACATTCACAGCTCGTCCTTTACGTACGCTAGTCATCCAGTATATTTAGATCGGCGCGCAAACTGAGGATTCCTTGATGGAACACGTACCTTCTCTTCAAACATCTCCTGCATAGTACAGGATCTGCAGAGCTTTCTTCGACGTTCGCATAGAGTCTGCGACTCCAAGACTTGTAAACAACATCTAACCTCTCCCCTCAAATAGACGAGCCGGACCATCGTCCTCACCCAGACGACGACCACTACGAGATGGCGGGTCGCCCAAATCCAGCGCATCAAGGGTACCACTTGGAGGATCCGCAGCAGCAACCATATCGAGCGCATTCTACTTCTCCAGGACCTGGGCTCCAGCATAATCTAGAGATTCCTATGGGACCTGGACCACAGCGATATGGAACACCCAGCGACAGATTGGCGGCACAACCTACAGTAAGTTGCTGGCGCTATATAAAGCAGAATATAGACTTACCAGAGTGCTGTAGTACTCGGTCGAAAACATCAACAATTCATATGGCCATAATGAAGAATACGAACAACACTACCCCCTCAACCCCGATCATAATTATTCCCAAGACTATGCATTAAATCCCCAGCAACACCACGATGCATACTACCAACCCCCCTACCAACCATCCCCGCACGAAGAACACCCTTTGACGACCTTCCCCTCCCAACCTGATGGCTATTTCGACGATGATGACCATCGCCCAATACTGCAAGCACAAGACAACGCTTATGGACCAGACCCTCACTCTGTTCCGGAGGAAGAGTACAAGGACTATGATGGATCAGGTGTTTCGCCTGCGCCAACTCCAGTTCCTGGACCTGGACTCAAGAGATATAAGACGGTGAAGGAGGTACAGCTGTTCAATGGTAATCTCGTGCTTGATTGCCCAATCCCACCAAGACTTCTGAACGCGGTGCCGCATGCTCAGCCGCCGGAGCGAGATGAGTTCACCCATATGCGATATTCAGCGGCAACCTGCGATCCTAGCGAGTTCTATGAGGAGCGATTTACTCTGCGACAAAAGCTATTTGCGAAGCCCCGACATACTGAGCTTTTCATTGTGGTTACCATGTACAATGAAGATGATGTGCTATTTGCGCGGACAATGAGTGGTGTTTTCAAGAATATCGAGTATATGTGCTCACGGAAGGATAGCAAGACGTGGGGAAAGGATGCGTGGAAGAAGATTGTAGTTTGCGTGGTCAGTGATGGTCGTGCGAAGATCAATCCGCGAACAAGAGCTGTTTTGGCCGGTATGGGTGTCTACCAGGATGGCATCGCCAAACAACAGGTCAATAAAAAGGACGTGACAGCACACATTTACGAGTACACTACACAATGCTCGATTTCAGTCAAGAAGGACATTGTGGAAATTCGCCAAGGGCAACAGCCAGTACAGATGCTTTTCTGTCTCAAGGAGAAGAATCAAAAGAAAATCAATTCCCACAGATGGTTCTTCCAGGCTTTTGGACGAGTTTTGGACCCGAATATCTGCGTTCTTATCGATGCGGGTACCAAGCCTGGCAAGGACTCAATTTACCACCTGTGGAAAGCTTTTGATTTGGAACCCATGTGCGCTGGAGCTTGTGGAGAGATTAAGGCCATGTTGGGAGCTGGTGGAAAGCACCTGATTAACCCGTTGGTTGCAACTCAGAATTTCGAGTACAAGATGAGTAACATTCTTGACAAACCACTTGAGTCCGCTTTTGGATTCATTTCGGTCTTGCCAGGTGCTTTCTCGGCATACCGATATGTGGCTTTGCAGAACGACAAGGCAGGTAATGGGCCACTTGAGAAGTACTTTGCCGGAGAGAAGATGCACGGTTCCAACGCTGGCATTTTCACTGCCAATATGTACTTGGCTGAGGATCGTATTCTCTGCTTCGAACTGGTTTCGAAGCGGAATTGCCACTGGATTCTCCAATATGTCAAATCTGCAACTGGAGAAACCGATGTACCTGACACCATGGCCGAACTTATCTTGCAGAGACGAAGATGGCTGAATGGTAGTTTCTTCGCTGCCGTTTACGCTTTAGCACATTTCTACGAGATATTCCGAAGCGATCACAGTTTCTTGCGGAAGTTGATGTTCTTGGTGGAGTTTACATATCAAAGTATCAGCATGATCTTCGCTTGGTTCGGAATCGGCAACTTCTTCTTGGTTTTCCACATCTTGACTGTTTCTCTTGGCTCGGATAACCTGCTTGGTCTCGCTGGTAGGATTCTCGGTGTCGTCTTCGAATGGCTCTATTTGTTCACACTTCTTACGTGTTTCATACTGGCATTGGGTAATCGGCCGCAAGGATCAAATTTTGCCTACATGTCTATGGTTTATTTCTGGGTTGTCATCATGCTGTAAGTGCCTCTATCTCTGATAATTTTTTACCGAAAGCATACTAACATGTCCAGCTATCTTACATTTGCCTCGGTATTCATCACTGTCAAATCCATCACAACAGAGCTCAAGGACAACGACAACAAATTCAGCATATCTGACCTCTTCAAAAACCAAGTCTTCTACACCGTCATCGTCTCCCTGGCCTCAACCTACGTAATGTGGTTTGTAGCCTCATTCCTCTTCTTTGACCCCTGGCACATGTTCACCTCCTTCATCCAATATCTCCTCCTGACGCCCTCCTACATCAACATCCTGAACGTCTATGCCTTCTGCAACACCCACGATATCACCTGGGGTACAAAGGGAGATGACAAAGCCGAGAAGTTGCCTACCGCAACCTTGAAACCTGGTGGCAAAGTAGATGTCAACATACCGACTGATGACGGCGATCTCAACCAGCAGTACGAGAAAGAACTCGATGTCTTTAGAATCAAAGCTCCCGAGGAAAAGCGCGAGATTTCACCCAGCGAAAAGCAGGAGGATTACTACAAAGGATTCCGTTCCCGCGTCGTTATTTTCTGGCTGGTGTGCAATTTCGCCCTCGTTGCTGCTGTGCAGAGTACAGCTGGTGTAGAGCGCCTTTCTACTTCTAGCACGACGGACGACGCTACCAAGGAAGCCGCAGAGGCGACGCGGAAATCAACTATTTACATGGCTGTTGTGCTGTGGTCTGTTGCTGGGCTTAGTGCGTTTAAGTTTATTGGCGCCATGTGGTTTTTGATTGTCAGGATGTTTAGGGGAGTTTAGGTTGGTTTGCGGCGATTAAAGTTGGTGATGATGGACGGTTCATGCATGCGTGTTTTCCAAGAGATGAAATGAAACGGATCGCTGGATGTTTTCATCATTGTAGTTACACTAGTGTAGAATTTGCGTTTCCTTTGTTTTGCTGCTTGATTCTTCTTCTTCGGTTGAGAGCATGCAGAGGAATATCATGAAGTGCGAGGGCGCCTGGTCTGGAATGGAGCGCTACTGGAACGAACGAACGGACGTGGACTTACATAGTGGCATGACAATATACCCCTAAAGCATTATGTTTCTGGAACTGAGTACACAGCAGTATATCTGCAAAGCGAAGCGAAATACCTCTTTGTGAAATGTGTGAAAATGAATGAATGAATGATTGTTGTGGAATTATGGAGCGCTTGTCTAGTTTTCTAGGGGTTTATTTGCATTCTCGATTTGTAGGGTTTGATCTGTTTGGTTTGTTTGCTTGTGATATATCATTATCATCATCATATTGTATAGCATTAATCTCCCTCCCTGTATACACAAGAACCGGTTAGCTCTTCTCTATCTCCATCTCCATCTCCATCTCCATCTTCACAAAATAAAAGCCATTACAGTACTCGGAGACGCCTTACATCGAACAGAATATCGACACTTGTTACTATAGTAAGCTATCTATCATTCATCGCCTTTTGACTTTAATGTCATTGTTAATATCCAACACCACCTAGCATATATATATATGTATATATACTATAGTCATTATAACCGATGCCTGTCCTGTCGCAGCCACTTTTTTCTATCTATCTATCTCTCTATCTATCTATCTCTCTAATATAAGAAATTATGCAGAAGGGAGGAAGTATAACACCCACGCCATGAAGAAAGAGTTTACGCAATGCATGAATTATTATCTCCAGGTCATGAGTGTTGGTTTTATGAGCGAGATCAAGAAGGTTCTAAGATTCCATTCCATTCTTTTCAAATATACGAGTAGTCGAAGAACCGACTTGGAGTTCCCTCGCCGTCTCTTATACCCTTCCTTCCTTCCACCTTCTCTCCTCCATCTACCTCTCGTCCACGTAGTGATTCACAAGCATCTTACCCCCTCTCCATAGCCCCTTAATTCATACCCCCTCCATCACCTCCACTACCACCCCCATCAGTAGGCCACCCACCTCTCCCTCTCCTACGAACCCTCGCTCTCGCACGTCTAGCGCGTAGTCTGCTATATACAAGGCATGCTGCTATTAGGATGAGGAGTGCAGCTAGACCTTGTGTTGATAAGAAAGTAAGTTAGTTGGCTTTGAAGCTTGGGGGAAAGGAAAGGGGAAGTACAGATAATGAGCACGATTGTCGGGATTGAGATTTGGTGGAGTAGGGTGGTGTCTGGTTCGCGTTTTTAGTGTGAGGGTGAAGGTTGGGGTTGGACATTTTCAGGTTCGGTTTGTGGTGTGGATTGATAGATGGATGTGGACGTTGTTAGGGGTTGAGGTTGTTTGTAGATGTTGGTATGGGTATAGGTGTGGGTGTGGAAGTTGATATGGGAGTTATAAGGATGTAGGAAATGAATTGGGGAAGGGAATGGATGGGTAGATGGATGGATGGGATTCATAGGATTAGTTGGTGGGAATGTGATGTGAATAGCGGTAGAGAATGAATACATCGGGACAGACACAACGCTGTAACTTATAAGTCTTCTCACATAGTGTAATGCAATATAGCGAAGAGAATCAAGCATCTCTTCAACATACTGAGCCTATTACTCTTTCCCTATCTCTTAAGAGGATGTCAAGTAGATTACTCACTTACTCACTCAAAGCTAAGCAACCTCACCACCCAACCTCTCCAACTCGCCCTTCAAAAACTCCCCCGCATTAACCAGCTCCGTACTCCCCATACACAACCCTCCTCTTCCCTGCGCCCTTCTCAGCTCCACTTCCCCCAGCCCCAGTCCGTTTAGCCCACTCCTGCAAATTCCCATACTCGTCCATACTCCCGCCCCCAACCGTAAACACAACCGCCTCGCTAAACCCTTGGCGTCTCTGTCCAAACGTAGCGCCCATACCCGGTCCCATACCGCCCGGCATACTACTCCCCTCCTTCCTCGCCGCGCTAGGAGGTGGCATCGTACCCCTCGCATTAGCGCTTCGTGGATCGAAATATAGATAGTTTTCCGTCTTGGCTATAGCGGAGGATGATGCGGAAGCAGGGTCCATGAGTGACTCTGTGATTTTGGTTACGGTAAGATCCCGGTTTGCGGGGAGGAAGTTCTTCACGCCAGAGATTAGGGAGTCAAAGTTCGCGCCGACGCCGGTGTCTTTTAAGGAGGAGGTTAGTCGGTTGGAGATGCTGGAAAAGCGGCCGAATAGTTCGGTGCTGGCGGTGCTGGGTTGGGCTATGGCTTGGGAGGGTGCAGAGGTCATCATTGTCATGCGGGTTGTGGCGCGGACTCTGGGTGGGGATTAGATTGTGCTTGTAGAAGGGGGTTGTAAGGAGGACTTACTGTTTGACGTATGCGAGGGAGGTGGTATCTGCACCAGCTGCCTTGAGAGATTCCTCGAATTTCTCCATGTCGGTTCTGGAGACGTCTTGTTCGGTACTTAGGAACCAAATAATGAACAGTCGTAGCTTATCTGAAGGTTCTTTGCCCTTCGATTCGTCATTGAGAACTTCCAAGATTTGAGCTTTTGTCTGTTTCATGATCTGCTCTTCCAGTTGGAAGAAGTTGTCCAGTGATCGATTTTTGATACCGTTCAATAAACCGGCCAAGATATTCATATGCATATCCAGCACAGCTTTCCGTTCCCTTAATTCTGGTAGGAGGGTAATGGCTGCTTTTAGGTGTTGCGCCGAAGCGCTGGTATCGTTTTGGAGATCTTCTATTGATGAAGCTCCTGTTTTCTTCGTTATTTCGTTCGCATCATCCTTGTACCGTACCAACTCGGCGTCGATATCCTCTGCGACTTGCGGGAAAGGTACGCTGGCATTTTTGCTCCAGAAGAAGTCGTTCGATGTGAGATCGTATGCTTTCTTGGTCGTGCCCTTGGCAGGATTCTCCTCATCGACTGGAGTCTCGACAGTGATGCGGTTGAGTTTCATGTTCAAAACGTCATGTACAAGCGACTGGTAGGTCCATGAATGTGAAAGCATGGGTATTAAGTCTACATTCCGGTCCAGAATGACAAGGACGGGCCGCGATGAAGGTGTTCCTGATGCTGTCGAGGGTCGGTTTGACGGCGCAGAAAATAAGTTATCTTTCGAGTTTAAGATATGGTCTCGAAGTTTTCGGTCCAGCTTGGCAGCAATCATTTCCGCTGCCGCTCCTTTCGGGCAGCGTATAATGGGCATAACAGCTAGCAAAGGTTAGCAGTAGCTCTAGTAACATGTATTGCCAGGTGTGCGCACCCATAGTAACCATTACACTGAATAGCCCGCTCACAATCCTGTCTATTACATGATCTAATTCCTCGTCTTTCGTCTTTGCGCTGTTCAATGCCCAATATGTGTTTTCTTTTCCCATTCCCAGACTGAACAAATCTGGCTCTCCAACTATGAAGTTTAGGTATTGGTCGTAAAACTGTGAAATGTTTTCCGATGTCCCAGCTTCTGCTGTTTGTCTCGCAAAGTCTTCGAGGAGGGGTCTAGGTATTGAGGAGAGGAAGTTGATGTAGGCGGGGGAGTAGAGGCCACGAGAGAGGTCGGTGGTAATGGCATGTAGATTTGAGGGCGTAGGTTCGACCAGATATAGAACGGGGACATCTGGGATTGGATGGCGCGCAGAACCTATGTGCCTGACTGGTCAGTATTCTGTTTGAGTATTGCCAGTATTTCAAGCTCCTTCAAACATACATATGCATCGTAACCCCCCATGTTCGCAGATCATTGACCCTCAGCACACTACTGATTACATCTCGGCCCAAGTCGTCAAACACAAGAACTTTCCATATTGGATCTCCGTCCGAGTTCAGTAAAGGCGTGGATGGGACAGCTAGGCCATTGCTAGAGCTTTGTTCGGCGTGGCCATTGGCTGATTCTTCGGGTTCGTGATTCAAATTTAGCATGCGCTCAATCGATCCTAAAAAGGTATAAGCTTAGGTAAGTATCGGGTAGGTGGCATAAAGTCATACTGATCTGGCGGTCCCGCAAGGAATTGTGAGCGGATGCCATGGTTTGGTGAAGAGGGAAGGCTGCAAATCAGCCAGACTGTTGAAACGGTCGCATGTAATTTCCTCAGCTCCAGACGGGGCAGTTGGTATAATTTGGGACTGTAAAGTTGGGCCTGCGTATTCAGGCCAGATCATCAATCAGTGAAAGGACAATATCAAGTTCTTGAACTTCGAATGTTTCTGTACACCAGTCCAATCCAATCCAGTGTTGAAGCATGCGCTCACGCTAAGGATGTGAGAGGACCAATGCAGGTTAGCGCATAACCACTTGGCCGCCGCTGGTACCAACATTTAGCTGTCTCCTCATTTTCCGCGCCCGTCTAAAATCCATCCTCCTTCCCCAACGACATCCCTTCTCTCCTCCCATCCATTTGTTGTCCCCTCCAGCTCATCCATCCGGCTATCATGGCCACGACACTTAACAGATACAAATGATCGTATTTTATGAATCTTAACAGAACAAAAGTGAAGCAAGCGGGTTGAAGGTGTTGATTACGGTCGCTCGTGTCGCGGGAGAACAGACAGAGCAAATCTTGCCTTTAGAAAAGCAAGGGGTACGGTAACACCTTAACACTACACTACACTACACTTCATTGCACACATTCGTCTGTTTGAGGGTGAGAAGGAAGGAAGAAAGGCAAAGCGAGGCACAAATCATCATCATCATCATCATCGCATCGCGTCGCATTGCATTGCATTGTCACCTACCTGTCAAAGAAGGGTGGTGATGTGCGCGTGGGCGACAAGCCAAAATTCCATCCTCAAATTGTCTAGACATAAGCTCGCGCTTCTGCTCCAGCACTTGAAGGGTAACACTTTCTCTATACATTGCACACTATACACTATACACTATAACAGGCCACACGATTTAAGTTGCCGTACCGTACCGTACCGTACTGTACCCGTACCCTACAGAGTTGCGGCAGGCAGGAGACAAGAGGCAAGTCGATCGCTGAAAGATTGTGCTTGCTGGCCTGTACTGCCCTGCACTCTGCACTGCGGGCGAGTGCCAGACCGGGTTCTACGGTCGTGTCGTGTGGTGGGCTTTTGGTGTGGTGAGGTGAAGGCTTGTTGCGCCCACTCACTTGCTCCACCCTGGTTGTTCTGTACTGCGCTGCACTCAGAGACTCTGCTCTTGGTACAAAGTCACTAAGCCAGCCAAAGTGCAAAAACTTCCTGGGTAAAGTCAGGCAAAGCATTAATTCCTTCTTCTCCCAGGACGGGGCAGGGAGCACTACACTATACAATATTGTTTTTATTTTCATACATACTGGCCTGCATACTTGTCCTTTCTTTGGCGCCATTTCCTCAGGTGTCGAATCAGATTGTCGGAAGTCGGGATTATAAAGTAGCCGATGCTAATTCATCCTCTCGTTTAGCCAACCAGCCAACCACAGCCGCCCATTCCCTTCACTCCAATCCACACCTTCGTTCCCGATAATCCCCTCGTCCTTTTCTCTCGACACACGCCCCTTATTCACAGCCTTGCCTCAACTCCACCTACGCACGTGATAACACCCCCTTTCACCATGATGGATGGGAATAATGGCCACGGCTATATCCAGGAGGATAATAGCTACGATGAGTTGATGAATGGCACGGGGTGGTCAGGTCCCGATGACCACTTCCTTTACACACAGCAACCACAGGATGACCTTTATTCACGCTTCGGAGCCACTCAACCAGCCTTCGATCAGTACAATGTTCCACCTCAGCAACAGCAACAGCCTACATATCCTTCGATACCCTATTCCAACTCTCCGTATGCCGCGCAATATCAACATGCCAGGCCATCCGATGTCTTTGGACAAACTGGCAATACCCACGTCGACCCTTCTCTTCAAGGTTCTGGCCAGTTCCAGCCTCTCGATCGCTCCTTCTCGGCTGCACCCAACACAACGATATCGCCCCAGTATCTTCAGTACGGCATACCCACCAACCAACCCACTAATCGTGCTGCCTCGGCTGACTTCAACCGCTCGGCGAATACAATGAGTCCCAATAACTTCAACCATCAGCAGCAAGCCCCCCCGGGGCTTTACTTCAATAATGCCTCCCAGAATATCAATGTGCAACGCCCTCTGAGTAATCTCATCCCCTATCCAGCACTTCCTGTCGATCAGCAGAATGATTCCAGACCGGGGATCAAGAGAAACATGGATGGAGAACCCCCATTGAAGGCCGCTCGCGTCCAACAGCAGAGAGAAATCATCCCTCCCAACCCATTGAGAATTACCCATCCAGAGTTGTTAGCCAAGAGGAGTAGTTCATCCAGACCGCAGATGCCGTATGCCCCATTTGTGTACTTTGAGAACGAATCGGTTCAGGTCCCATTGGGTCTAAAAAGTCAGTGGACATATATCTCTCACCGGGCCCAATTATCCCCTTTTCTTTTTACTCCTATATTTCTATACTAATGCGAGTGATCCTGCAGATACTCTTCCTAAATTCCATCCTCGAAAACCAAGAAGTGGACGAGAACTTGTCCCAGGGTTTGATATATCCCGTAAGTACAGTCCATCCGCTTCGTTCCTGCCTTGCAGATCCGAGTTCGTCATTGTTTACATTCGCTTAGGTTCATCCGCACCAGCACGAACCATCAAGAAAGATCGCGCCTCCCAAGAAAAGCATGCAAGCAAATGGAAAGGCACGAGTCAAGGACCCAAATCAGCAAACAAATTAAGTAGTCTACGGGAGGAGAGAGGTGTAAGATCGACCAGCAATACCCCTACCACAACAGAAACAAGTTCTTCCGAAGGCGAATCCAGCTCTGACGAAGAATCTGAATATGAGGAGGACAGCATGCCTTTGAAGGATGTGAGCGAGGTGAGCCACACCCCCATTCCTCATAATATGAAGCGGTTGCATTATCGTCCGCTGTGCAAGATTTGGCGCTGCTTGAGATGCATCGCAATTCTTATTCTGATCCACAAGGCTTGATATCCGTTCTATGTGACGTTTCCAACCAGCTATAATTGAATAAATCACCTGACGTCCTTTCCTTAGATCCGTGGAGCCCAGCGGCCAACTAATGTGGTTGAGGCTACATTTTACGATGCTACTGGCATCGTTTGGAGAGATCCTCGCTATAGCCCCTATCCAGCTGAAGTCAAGACAGCTATTGAAAAATATGGAAATTTTGTTATTGCTCTTCGAACGCAACTGAAAGACAACGCGTCTGATATCACTGCTCAACCAGCCAACGCCAACAATCTTACACAAGCTCGCGCGGTCCTACTTGAGCAACTATACCAAGCTATCGATGCTGCTAACAAGAATGGTTTCAAGCCAGTTGTAGAGAACTTAGGAGGACATCAGAGGCTGGTGAATGGGCTGACAACTACCTTGATTGAGTGCATTAAGAGCGACGATTACCTAGGGAAGCTTCCAAGAGCAGTTTTTGCGTTACTTGCCAAATTTGAAACCATGTCTGATGATCTGCTGAAGAGGCTCAAATTTGATAGCATTCAGAAACGTTGGAGCAAGAAGAATGATAAAACCATCAATGAGAACATTGCCTCCATCCTCAAGAATACAACAGACGCCAAGAAGAGAGCCGAGAAGGAGAAAGTCAAGGCTGAAGAGTCGAAGAAAATCTTAGAAAAGATTGAGCTTGCCAAACAACGTACTGTAGACGCCAATAAAGGCGCGTCTGCCAACCCCGGGAAGAGACCACATGATGGCGATGGGACAAATGGGAAGCCAACTAAGAAATTTGCCTCTGATGCTTCTGGTACTCCGTCCTCGAAACCAATTTCCAAGCGAAACAATCTGCTTGGCATATCCTCCAAACCTGCACCAAAGCCTGTTGCCAGAAAGCGAGACGTCTCTCCTCCTCAAGAGTCAAAACTAGGTGCGCTTCTAGCAAGCATTGCCAAGCCCCCCGAACCACCCAGGGCCCCCGAGGCACCGCCTCGAGCACCTGAGACGCCTGAAGAGAAAGCCCGACGTGAGAGAAAGGAGAGCAGACGTCACTTGAGGGTGAAGTTCAAGGAAGGAGCGGAGTTGGCGCTTATCAAAATCTTCAAGCATGAGCAAGCAGAAGATGAAGGGCGACAAGACGATATGCTTGTTCGCGACGCTCACGACGATCGTAGCGAGGGTATGATGCACAAGAGGCGCGTTTCGGAGACACTGGACGAGGATGATGATAATCAGGGCGAGTGGGAGGATAAACCATATCCAGAACTGATCCCAATTGACTTTAGTGGTGTGGAAAAGAACACTACTTTTGGGCCAAAATATGTTACCCGCGGTGGAGACCTTACCTTTACAACACCAGAACAACAGCTACAGGAACGACGGGAAGCTTTGGAGCTTATGGCTATATATACTGATCCTGACGATATTCCGACCTCTCCAAAGGAGCCTCCTCCTGCGCCTTCACAGACTGACGGTGCTGAAGATATCCCAAAGGAACGCCAACTTCAACCACCGACTACTCCTTGGTTAGCTCAACGGCTACAAGAGATCGAACATCACGGTCCATACCAAGCACATCAAATTTCCATGAGACGTTTGGAAGCTGAGAATAGGGCTCGCGGTGTTGGACACGCATTTTCAAATTCACCTTCGCCAAACATCAATTCAATCCTTCAACAACTTGGAGGGCCTAATCAGTCACTGCAGCAGCAAGCCGAATCTCACAATCAAAATACCAGACAAGCCATGGATTCTCAAGCTCTAGAAAACCTCGAGAGCATCGTCAACTCTTTGAAGGGCAAGCCTTATCCTGCCAACGAACCACCGGATTGGATGACGAATGAAGGCCAGAGAGCTGCTTGGTGGAATGGTTACAAGAGAGACAATGCAGGCAAGGAGATAAGGCAGCCTGATCAAGTGGACAATGATCGATTCCAACCACCACCAGTGCTGCCAGCTCAACCTCTACAACAGATGCCGACTCAGCCTTATCAACCACCCCCTCCGAACATGTCCGCCGCAGCGCCTATGTTCGATATGAATCAAATGCAAGCAGCTTACGCCAGCTATGCCAGCGGCGGTAACGGCTTGGTTCAACAACAATACGATTATCAACAATGGGTCGACGCAGCAGCTGCTGCTCAGGCTCAGGCTCAGGCATATACCCCGCAGCCGGAACCACCGAGACGATATGATGATTGGAATGAAAGCCAACCGCCAAAGTCGAATAAGGGTTTCAAAGCAAAGCAGCGTGGTTACGACATGAAGGAATTCAACGCCGATCCTCCACGAAATACTGCCATCTTTGACGAAAATGGAGAATACAAGGGCAAGAAGAAGCCTTGTCGTTTCTTCCAAGAAGGAAAATGTGCCAAGGGTGCCAAATGCACCTACCTCCACGACTAAGCCTCCACGTCAAGTCGATACTTCGAAAAAGCCACATCTCTTGTCATATTCTGTCCGCGGCGGTCAGTGGATACCCGTGACAATTACTACTTCTTTTTACATTGTATTCTAGAAAAAAAACTTCTTCTGCTGCATAAGTCGTAGCGATTTGCTTTGGCGTCTTGCATGGTTTGGAGGGGTGGGAGGGATGGAAGGATTTGGCTTTTGCATGTTTAGGTGTATCATCAAATACATTAGCGATGAAGCTAGCTTCTAGAAGACAAAAATCATGAACAGGTTTTATAGAGATGCTCGGAGGGAGATCTGATGAATGAACTGTGATGAATGAACTGCGAAGAACTCGTTCACTAAATATACTGCAAATGTGTACATGGCAAGTGCTGATCGTGATATATCTATCTGCCTCATTCGCACCATTTTCCACGTCAGTCAGAAAGTGAGGGGCAATGCAATGCCTCATCTTATACTTTAATCTTCTACTCATAAGTGCCTTGACTAGATTTTCAAATTCCACATCTTCTACTTGAAACAACAAATATTCCCATTCATTCACCCACCTACAAAGATCTAGAGAGAAATCAGCCTCCATTTCATTTCATTTTATATAACCTGCCTGCTTGCCTTCCATCTGTCAATGGCCACCGCAGATCGCAGAGTCGCTCGTATGCTCAGCCAGGTAGGTAGGTACATCATTCCTCTATTTTTGGATCCTCTTACATCGATTGCCATTCGCTAATGAATGAAACGATACATGTGCACGTGGTGTATTTGCCAACTGTGGTTAACTGCGATGATATATACGGTGCTTGGATTACTGGCATGTATCTATCTCTTCACTGTCTCTAAGCGGGTTCCAGCGGATTCGGTGTAGCGGTTCATTGATATGGAGTGATGAATCATCTTCAGGAAGAGAGGAAGCAGCAGGCAGTTCAGGGGCCTCCTTGGATAAGGAGGAAATTAGGACCTGGTCACTTGGCACAGATGCCCGAATAGGGAGCATACTACACTTTTAGAGCAGCACCGTGAATAATCACACGTTTCCCCGCGGTACGATTCAGCGCTGCCGCATCCCATCCACTTGATATCACAACACATCACAGCATTTGTGGAACATGTATGGTATCAGCGAACTTTGCTATGCATCTTCGGCGATGTCATGTCGAATAAGATACAAGGATCGCAAACTCCGCAGTCCCTTGCTCCATCCATCTCAGCCATCACAGCCGCGCAAAATCCACCCAATGCCATGCCAAGCCCACACGAAAGGAGAGTCGTCGCAGAACATCTAGAATACCAGCGCAGCACCCTTGGTCTTCTTGTCACCACTGCAGAATAATTAGCCCCCATGCTTCCTGAACCATCGCAGATTACATACCCGAGTTCGAAATGCTTGCATCGCTTCAACGCCAATTGTGCCTTCGTCTTGCAAGCTGTGCACTCCAATCTCAACACAACCTTCTTTGTCGTCTTTGCCTTCTTGTGGAAAACGGGCTTGGTTTGACCTCCGTAACCGGATTGTTTGCGATCATAACGACGCTTTCCTTGCGCGAACAGGGACGCCTGAGTTGTATTGTTAGGTAGTGTCCTTCGGAGGGGCAGATCGAGAGCGTACCTTTCCGGCCTTGTATTGTGTGACCTTGTGCTGGGTGTGCTTTCTGCAGTCCTTGCCCTTGCAGTAGGTGCGTCTGGTCTTGGGTACGTTGACCTGTGGGAAGTTCTTGTCAGCTTCAATTCTCTAGTTGTATGATTCCCATCCTCGTCATCAGCGCGCGTCGTCGATATCTCTTTCTCTGCCATTCCGGGATATGTGATCGAGATTCACACACGTCTACGTGCGGGTTCGAGAGGTTGGAGAAGCTTCGGGGGCGAGTTTTTCAGTTCGTGGATCGAATTCGCGATTTGGTCTTGACGTTGCCCTCTTCCCTCCTCTCTTTCCCAAGCCGCGACTCCATCCATCTCAATCACCATCTCCTACAGAACATGGGAAATAAGAAAGGGATCCCTTACCATCTTGGCGATTTCGATTGTCGCGTGGTCGTCGAAAGATTGCTGATGATTGAAGTTCTTTGTCAACCTCAAATTTGATGGTTGAACATTGTGCGGCTAAGCGAGAAGGCTAAGGCTCCACACTATCACGTGCAAAGCCTCAAAATTGGGTTTCTAACTTTCTACCATACCATAGATTATTTTCCAGCGAAGCAACTTATAATTTTTGATGTTAATAATATTAAATATGGACTGCCCCATGAGCAAAAGCCCTTTTCGAAGTCCCAAATTCAGAAGACAATCACGCTTCTTCTCCTTCCATTACATTTGATTGAGTGCAAATCCGGTCACCCACAGGTAGGTGGGCTACAAACCATTTCAATTATTACCCCTCTACCCCTTCGAAACAATACCCAGCCAAGATGTTCATAATCAATACTCTCGTTCTTGAGATATAGCGCTTTAAGAAGCAGAACCACAAGCAGAAGAAAAAAGCCTTTCTGGTAGAAAGTGCGACTGGCCGAGAACTCGAGTATGAGAAGAGATACGAGAAGAGAAAGTTGGTGCAGTGCAGTATTGGCGGCCGATGGTGTTTGATGTTTGATGTTTGATGTTTGACATGTACGACGTTTCTCACCCTGCCCTGCCCCTGATCTCAAAATCAAAATGTAAAACATTCTGGCCAATGAGAAAAGAGGTGCCGCCGGCTCGTGTCCCTTCCGCAGTAAGTGACGCCACGATTTCACTCTAAGATCTCCCTCCTCAAGTCGAGCGTTTACCGCTTTTGGTGTCAACATACCTTGAAGGCGACGGTCTGTCTGTCGCATTCACTTGAAGGACATGCGCTAATTCTCTTTTCTTCTTTTCTTCTTTTCTTTTTTGTTTCTTTGGCAACTGCATGCTGAGTCTTCCATCATACCAACCGAGTACTATACTCTCTGCTACACCATTCCAGTGTTCCCACACCTTCAGGATAGCTTGGGCAAGATGTTTCCTACCTACGCAATCGCTCTGATCGGACTCGGCGTATGGTTGGTTCTCTCCAACATATCAGGCTTGCTAAAGAACATTGCCGCCGCCAAACGATCAGGACTTCCCTGGACTGTCGTTCGTACGTCTACGAGCTTTGAAATATTCAATTGCACAAGCTCACCACATTTTAGCTATCGATATCTACGGCCTACCATGGCTTTTAACCCATAAGTTATGGTTGCCATGGCTCAATCGTTTACCTAAATCATGGACCGAAAACTGGCTCGAGTAAGTGGCCGGTCGCGCACTCATTGAATTGGAAGCTAACCTCTCCAGCGTTATAACTCCCGATTGGGTCTGGCACCTTCTCTACGACGGTGTTAAACGCAAAGGAGATCTCTTCTTGACAGTTTCCCCCGGTACCATTCAGCTATGGGTTACAAATGCGGAAGCTATACATCAGATCACAGCGAGACGCGAAGCTTTTCCGAAACAAATCGAGAAATACAAAATTCTTGATATATTCGGTCGAAATATCCTAAGCACTGAAGGGAATGATTGGAAGCTGCACCGAAGAATAACGTCTCCGGGTTTCAACGAGAAGAACAACGGACTCATCTTCGCTGAAACCGCCCAGCAAACGCAGGGAATGCTGAGGAAATGGATGGGTGCTGATGGAACAGGGAATACCACCCTCAAGGAAGTCCCAACTGATACCGAGACGTTGACTCTGCATATTATCAGTGATGTTGGATTTGGAGTGCGATTGTTTTGGCCTGGGGAGGAACTAACCGAGAAGGACAAGGGAATCTACAGCGGCAACGTTCTTTCAAAGGGCCACTCGATGGGTTTCGAGGAAGCGCTGAGCACACTTCTCCAGAGAATAAACTGGGTACTATTAGTGCCCGAGTGGCTGCTAAGTAAGTCTAGTATTTGGAGACGTTCTCCGGGCTCGTACTGATTTCACTAGAACGGATTCCCATGCACAGTGCGCGTGAAGCCTATGAATCGTTCATTAATTGGCGCCAGTACATGCGCGAACTTTTTGACCAGAAGGTCAAAGAAACCCGAGAAGGCCAGAAGACGGAAGGTATTGATATCTTAGGCTCTCTCGTCAAAAGCTCTTACGGAGATTCCAGTCGAGCGAAAGGGGAGCAGCCAGTTCTTTCCGACTCGGACATTTTCGGCAACGCATTCGTGATGATCGTAGCAGGCCATGAGACTACCGCTAACAGCATTCATTTCTCGTTGATGGAGTTGGCAATGAGTCCCAAGTCGCAACGGCTAGTGCAAAGAGAAGTACACACCATCTTTGGGGACGAGCCTCCAGAGAAGTGGGACTACGACTCCAGTATAAACTCTCTTCTGGGTAGCATAATTGGCGCTGTTATGAACGAGCAGCTACGTTTGATGGCACCTATCACAAATCTTCCTAAAATCGTCACGAAAGGACAAGATCAAGTGTTGAATGTGGATGGAAAGAAGATCACGCTCCCTGCTGGTACCATGATCTATCTGAACACTGTAGGTGTCCAAAGGAACCCAAGATATTGGCCCACACAGCCGTCCAAGATCTCGGATCGCGCCGATGATCTCAATGACTTCAAGCCGGAAAGATGGCTTGTCAGTCTCAAAGCCGACGGCGAGCACGTCAGAAATGGCCAAGTGGGTGCTGAAGATAATGACGAATTTGGAGGTTTCACAGGTCAAGATTCTCATGCAAAGCTATTTCGTCCAGTAAAGGGTTCATACTTGCCTTTCTCAGAAGGTCCACGATCCTGTCTCGGACGAAGACTAGCGCAGGTCAAGGTCATGGCCAGTCTCGCTGTCATATTCCAATTGTACTCTATTGAGCTGGCTGTGGATGAATGGGCAACCGATGATCAAGTTGCGAAGATGTCCGATGAGGAAAAACGCATAGTGTATAAGAAGGCGCAAGTCGCAGCTCACGCGAAGTTGAGAAGCGCTACCTCACTTATTACGTTGAAGCTGCACCCCGGTTTTATACCAGTCCGTGTGGTTAAGAAAGGCAAGGAAAGATTCATTCACCTGATAGATTAGCTAGAAACGCGAGCATCATGGTAGAGCCTCATGTTGATCAACGCTTTAGATGGAGTTCAGATGGCATAACTAGCCGCGATCCTTGCAAGCTGGAGCATCAACATGGAGCACTGATAGAACACAATAAACCGAGCATAAGACCATTTCCCTCATGAGTGAGAAGTGTTGCTCTTGCTCGATGTAATTTGCTTCTTCCTAAACAAACCAATTAGATGTGAGGAATACCTAATCGTTACCATGTTGCGCATTTTTGGCGCTAAGCTGCTACGTATGTGCTGTATTTAGCCTTTTGTTTACATTCCCCCCACATCTTAAGACATCAACATTCGTGCTTCCCCCCGCTGCTCTCAATTATTCACCCCGAACTATATCCCTTGCAGTCGCATAATCTCAATCAATAAATTCTTCAAAATGTCCGGCGCATCAAGTTGGCTGCAGAAAATGCGCAAAGCAGAGCTCTTGGAACTGTGCGAGTCCGTTGATTTCAAAGAGTATGACAGCACCGCGCCCTGCAGAAACCCCAGCACACACAGCTAACCTTCGCGCAGCTACGGCGGCTTGAAGAAGACCGAGATTGAAGTCGCGCTCGACGATTACCTCAGAGAAAACGCCGACCAGTATTCGGGAGAAGCGCGTCTTGCGCCATTCTACAAGACGAGGGGACGCAGCGAGAGCTCTCCGATCAAGAAGGAGCTCACCTCGGCTATGTCAGACGTCGAGAGCAAAGTTCGGACTGTGAAGCGTAGAGTCACAAAGGCAGCGGAGGAATTGTTTGCGACGTAAGCAAAACGCGTTGCGATGCGCGTGGGCTTGTTCTTGAATAACCGCTAACATTTGCGAAGTGATGATTCCGAAGTCGAGCCCGCGACTACTCGAGCGCGTAGCGCCTTGACGAGAACCCCAGCCCGCTCTTCTGCGCTCTCAAACCTGTCTTTCGCGTCGAATTTGCCTTTGCCGCCCTCTCCGGCTGTCGTCGCAGACGCGATTGATCGTCGCACTTCTGTTTTGCGATCCAAGGTTGCTGGATACTACGAGAATTCGGGAGTTGTCGAAGGCGCCGAAGCTACGCGCGGAATTCTCTCGAGCCTCACTGCTATCCAGGGCTTGATCGTTTTATTTGAACTATTTCACTTACGACCCGAGCTCCTGCCACTCAGATATGCGTTTACTATCCCAGCTATCAAATTGCTGAACATAGACTCATATCCAGTCAAGATTCCAGACCTCTTTCTCCTCTTGACAAGCTCATTCTGGGGCCCTGCTACGCTTTGGGCATTCTCGAGCTTTCTAGTCCCATTGGCCGCGGCGTACTTTTTCAACTTGACCAGCAAGCCTCGTACGCGCAGCCATGGTACCAGATTCAACTACACATTCGATCCATTGACTTTTAACATCGCCAAGGCGCTGTTGACTTACGCGATATTCGGGCAAGACGTCACGTTCGGCGGTCTCGTAGATCTTGAGTACGTCGCCAGAATTAACTCAGCCTTGTTTGGGGGCTATAAGGGTATCCTCGCCGGAACTGGAATTGGAACCCTTGTGACCCTTTATGAAGCTGTTCTCAAGAAATAGGGTCTCCCTCAAAATGATTGGAAGCTTGATCTGCAAGTGCAGCTACAAGCAAAAACAGGGATTGAATTTGTACAGGAGGGATAGGAGGGTGTAGTCTGTCGGTTTTCGGTTTTCGGTTTTATTTTTATTGCAGCATGATAATCTTGGAGGTTGAACATGTCATCTTGGGGAGAAATTGAAAGGGGGGAGCGCTTTTTTCAACTCATTCGCTTTCTCTCCCGCGACGCTCTTTGTGCTGGCACGATGGTCTCTTGGGAGATCCATAGGAAGGCGTTAAGGCGTATCGATGGGATACCTATTTTTGTTTTAACACTTTGCACTATTGTGTACGCGTTGGGTTTAGGAATGTGTAAATGACTGGGGATGAATGGGGCTTCTGGTTATTGGTCTAGGAATATGCAAACTTATGTTTTGGTTCACCTACTGCATTTGCAAGACTATCATTTTGTGACACCTGTACTAATTCTGTCGACCTTTGCTTATCCGTGAAGATCTCAATGAACGATGGACTCTCGAGAGCTTCATTACCTATGACTTTGACGTGAGAGCAATCCATCACTTTGAGCCGAAACATTAGAGCTCCAGAATCATGATACAGTCTTATAAGTGAAGACCCCGATACAATTCCGTTTACATTTCATTACAAATAAATTATCCAGGGTAAGCAGCCCCATCACCCCTCGGATCACTTCCCGCTGAATACACATGAACACCATCCTCAACATGACTTCTAATCAACTGCCCCCTCCCAAACAAACCCCTCGCATACCCTGTCACAAGCTCCGTCTCATGCCCCATAGCCTTCAACTCAGCCACAACATCCTCACTAATCCCCTCCTCCAAAAACACCTTCCTCCCATTCCCATCACCAGGCATCTCCTCGGCGCCGATGCAGAAGCGCGGTGCGTCTAGCGCTGCCTGCGGGTTGTATTTGAACGCGATCATGTTGAGCAGGACTTGCACGTGGCCTTGCGGTTGCATGAAGCCGCCCATGACGCCGTATACGGAGTGCAAGCTCCCGTCATGCACATTCGTGATCATCGCCGGGATGATGGTATGGTACGGTCTCTTGCCCGGAGCGATCGCATTCGCATGCCCAGGATCCAACCTGAAATTGCCGCCGCGGTTCTGCAGGACGAAGCCGCAGCCTTTCGGGACGATGGCGGAGCCGAAACCGTGGAAGTTGGAGTTGATGAACGAGATGGCGTTGCCGTGCTTGTCGCTGACGGCAAAGTAGACCGTATCGCTGTGGTTGTGGGCCGGGCTGCCGTAGTCGTAGATCTTGTCTGAGGCTTTTGTCGCGTCGAAGAGCTGGGCTCGTTCGGCGAGGTATTTCTTCGAGATCAGCTCGGCCGTGGGGACTTTGGAGAGGTTTGGGTCTGCGACCCACCAGCTTGCGTCAGCGAATGCGATGCGGAGGGACTCGATGATGGCGTGGAGGTATGCTGTTGAGTTGTGTTCCTCCTGCTGGAACTTGGGGATTTTGCCTTGCTCCTCGAGCGCTTCCAGTATACCGAGAGCCATCAGTGCCACGATTCCTTGGCCGTTGGGAGGGTGCTCCCAGATTTCGACTCCGTGGTTGTCTTCGTTGCTTCCTTGGCCTGATATTCCATCGACGTATTTTACTTTCGTCTCCGTGTAACCTTGGCCTTTGAATTTGTAGGAAATGGGTTCTACAGGTTCACTTCCTGCCTCCATGTGTTTTGTGAGATCATCAAGTTCAAGAAACCCTCCTCGGTCTTTCGTAACTTTGATGATTGCTTCAGCAATCCTTCCAGTATAGAACCCCTTCTTCCCATCCTTGGCCAGAGCTCGAAAGGTTGCTGCAAGGCCTGGGTTCTTGAAAAGCTCGCCCGGTCTTGGCCCGCGGTAACCCTCAGGGGCGTTTGGGTCTTCTTTCAATAGCTCAGAAAAGTTGGGTGATGCCTCCTTTAAGTCCTTCTCTCCGTTTCTCCACTAGCAGGCATTTAGTAAAGGGGGCAAACGAGGATATCAGAGCGCGACTTACCATGGTGGAAGATAATTCAGACAATGGAAAACCTCTCTCTGCCAGCTCTATAGCAGGTGCCAATATCTGCTCCATGGATACCTTTCCACTTCCAAATCTTTCAACAGTGTCAACCCAGCCAGCTGCAGCACCAGGAATAGTAACTGCATGAACACTTCGTAGTGGAAGTTCACCCTTCTCTCCATCTTTCAAGCCGAGATCCTTCCGTATATGCTCGAGATTACATTTCATGCCAGCACGACCAGAACCATTCATAGCGTCAATTTTCTTCGTTTTAGCATTGTAATATAAACAAAACATGTCGCCCCCTATTCCAGTCGAGGTTGGCTCAGTCAAATTCAGTCCAGCAGCTTCGAACCATTAGTAAAGACCAATTCATCTCATCTTATAAGTTATAATTACCAACAGCTACCGCAGCATCCTAAAGTCATCAGCATTTTTTTGCATTGGAGAGTGGGGTTGACAGTATTCTTACAGCAGCATTTCCACCAGCATCAAGTATTTTGAGTCCGCATCTTGCAGCTAAAGGTTGTGTACAAGCAATCATGCCCTCAGTACTATGTACAACACTTCTTCTACTTGGAAAGGATTGGAATTCCGGATCCTCGGCCGGGTACACAGAAGCAAGATTTAAAGGCATTTTGATTCAGGTTAAAGTTATTGGAGATAACTTAAGTTTCAGTATAACACAAAAGTATGCTGGGTAAAATAAACATATAATAATAAATCAACTCAGCTGTATATGTAAAGATTTTCAAATCTGGTCCCTATGACTCCAATGGTGGGGGAAGACGGTCGGCACGCCCCGCGGCGAACGACGGCCCATCGGATGGCAGAAAATACGTTATTTCCTGATGGGGAGGCGGAGAAATTTAATGACAGGGGTATTGGTGGAAAAGTTTTGGAGACATTCAGGAGAGCGAGACAAGCTTCAGTTCAATCGATTATGTTTGGAGCTCCCTGGATCTGCAGACGATGTATAAATACATGTCTAAAGCCTGGTAGACGGCGACTTATACGATTCTCAAGCACTGGTAAAGGTAAATAGGCAATTCCCTCAGCCACGTTCGAACATGGTCTCACATCAACACAGCAAATCATGCTTCCTTTTCGCCGGCATTGCTCGCGCGAGCGCGCAACATGGCCTTGGAACACGATCGATTGAGCGAAGAAACGGCCGAGAAGTTTGATTCCAAGATCGCGAAACGAGTGGGGGAATTGAGTCGCGTCACAGAGGCTCTGAAAGAGTGGGAAGATACACAGAGCTCCATCGAAGAGCTTCGCGGCCTCATTCACGATCCCACGACCGACCAAGAACTGCGGGATCTCGCAGAAGATGACCTGGCCGAGACACGAACCCAATTAGAGGAATTGTCACAGAAGCTAGCTATTTCGCTTACGCCTAAGCATCCGTTCGAAGACATGCCTTGTCTGATGGAAATCCGGCCCGGGGCAGGAGGAGGAGAAGCAGCGATATTCGCGAATGATCTATTACGGATGTATAAGGCGTACTGCACGCGGAAGAAAATGCGCGTCTCGATGATGAAATACGAAACGGCGGATGGGGCTGGGGATGGCACCGGCCAAGCACCTCTCTCAGAAGCTATCCTAGAAATCGAGAGTGCAGGCGCATACGGACAATTGAGAAGCGAAGCTGGAGTCCACCGTGTGCAGCGTGTGCCGGCGACTGAAGCCAAAGGACGGGTGCACACAAGTGCTGTTAGTGTACTGGTTTTGCCCAGCTTGCCTTCGAATGGGAATGAGGGCCAGGAATTGAACCAGGCGGATTTGACGGACCCTGAGAGCGATTACTATGTCAATCCTACGGATGTGCGAACGGATGTTATGCGTGCACGAGGAGCAGGTGGCCAGCATGTCAATACTACGGATTCAGCAGTTCGATTGACCCACATTCCTACCAATACCGTTGTCGCTATGCAGGACTCACGGTCACAGCATCAGAACAGAGAGAAAGCATGGCAGTTGCTCAGGTCGAAGTTGGCGCAGGCGAGGAGGGAGGCGAGGGAGGAAGAGGTGGCCAAAGTGAGGAGGAGTGTGATGGGAGTTGCACAGATGGGGAGAGAGAATAAAGTGAGGACGTATAATTGGCAGCAGCAGAGAGTCACGGATCACAGGAGTGGACTTACTATTCACCATCTGGATGATGTTATGGAAGGAGGTGACCAGCTGGATACGGTAATTGACAGTGTAAAGACCTGGTTTGGAGAGCAAGAAATGCTCTCGTTGCTTGCTGAGGAAGAAGAAACGAGTAAAAAGACAAAATAGAAGGAATAGCTCAGTCTGCCTCATTCGATCTTACAATGTTACCCTGTACAGAGATGAAAATGCACGTGAGTCGTGAGAACATCCGTGAATCTCTTCTTTCAGCCGTCATGGATAAATGAAGCCTTTCAACCCCGCGCCGCCTATGAACTTTTAACACCACCTTGTCTTACGAAACTAGAATCGCCATTTGTCCTACATTCAGCTCCAAAATGCCACGATGCCGCCGTCTGAAATTTACACATCGGTCCCCAATGACGAGAACTCCAAAGAACAACCGCGCCTGAGACCACACACCCGCAGGCTCTTCTCATTCAGTGGCTCCAGTATCTGTGTCTTCTCGTGTCTCTTGACACTGACATTGATATCTTTCGGAGTGGGCTTTCACGTAGGGAGAAAATGGGACAGTTGGGCGTCGAGGAAGGCACCTTGGGAGATAAAGAGGGAGGATGGACTGGTAGATCCGCAAGTGATTATTGGTGCCAGTATGTACATCAGGGCAGTACACCAAGATGGCGCTGATGAGAGAATAGTCCCTAAGAAAGAGCTTATGTTCCACTTCCCGTCTGGGTATGAAGATGAAGGGACTGAGGGAGATGAACTATGGAACCATCTTATGCCCCGTAAGTTTGTAGAACTATATATGGGACATGTAATAACGGGCAATGCAGTCGGCTCGGGTTTCCTGCGTGTCCCTCATCCGAGGAGATATGCTATGCCGCGGAGTAAGAAAGTTGAGAATGATATTGAGGAGGCCGAGATATATTCGGTGTCAATGACACATCAATTACATTGCTTGGTATACAAATTCCTCTTCTATTAGATCCGTAAACTAAGACGTGTAATAGGGCGTTATAAGAGACATAATGACCAAGTATTCCAAGGGAGATAAATCGAGGTTTGCAGGCGCTCATGGGTATCACTGTCTTGACTATAGTGAGTTCTCCACGCTCCAACCTTTTAGAGCAGTTAAGTAACATGGGACTCAGTTCGGCAAGCAGTTCTATGCGCAGGAGACACGACCCTAGATCATGCTGAGATTGAGTATAATGCAGATGGGAGTGAGCTGAAGTATGGCTTCACTGGAGCTAATGCTACGCATCGATGTAGAGACTGGGAGAGTATTAAAGAGGTGCTGATTGAGAAACGACTGGATAACAAGACCGGAATACTGTTTTAGAAAATGATCTCCTATTTACTCTCTCGTATTGCCTACGAGAAAGATAACGCATCTTGGACTGGCAAAATCATTTCATTATACTGCAATCTCAAGGCTGCTGCGTGTGAGGTAAAAAGATATAATACTGTACTGTAACGAAGGGATTCTGTTCCGCGAATGCCGTTGTTCCGCAAATGCCGTTGAAATCGGCAGATTGGCGCGGTGGCGCGCGGGAAGAGATTCCACAGCGTTGAACGCCTTTACTTCATCAATACCTCAACAACATCTCGACTTTCGAGGCAGAAGACGAGAAGACGCGGAAGAACATTAATGCGCCCTGTTTTGATTGCTGGAAAAGCTTGTCAGCTTCACATCCCATTGTTTATAAGAGATTACCGGTACTTTACCAGGTAATTATTGTTACCTAAACGAGGAAGGTTATCGCCAGCCGATTGATTTGCGCCGGTACTGTGATAACGGTAGAATGTTGTCAGAGAATCATCTCAAGCCTTTCGCAGATGGAACCCGCCGCCGTGGGAAAGAGGCTTGTGGCATTTGTTCCAGCAAGGAAGCTGCAATCCGGCGGCAGCTGGAACTAGGGATGAGGCTACACTAGAAGCGGCATATAACTTGTATACTTTGCTACAAACGGCAGGTCCAAATGCCACTTTAACGGGCTAGGCTGATCAAAGCTTGGACGAACCACTATCCACTGAGAGCAGAGAGCTGTATCTCCAAGCGATGATCTTGGACAGAAATGCGGTATTCCGATTGGAGCCCCAGCACTGCACTGCACCTCCCATGTCTGGCGCAAGGCACGAGAAGCACGCCTGCGTACCCCTCCACGGCGGGGCCGAGGATTGGCTCAGTCGATTAATATGGGACAAGGCTTTATATCTTATGCAAGGATAGTACTTCGGAGTACCTGAATAGTATCTTGCACCCTCGTCATTAAGTTCTTTTGGCCGGGGGAGCTACTCATTTCTCAAGCTGTGGAAGGAGTCTAGAAGAAAATAAAAAGCCTTGTCCCCCCCCCGCCCCAGTTTGTCCTCTTCCGAGAACGATAAGAGATCCTGCTTGCTTCGTTGGTTTGTCAGTTCTTGTATATTCTTGTAATTCAAGTTTCCGATTGACCAATCTCTTGTCAAGATGCGTTTCTCAACTTATCTTTCTGCATTGGCAATCGCAGCTGGTCTAGTATCCGCAGCTCACCATTCGGGAAGAAGCTTGAAGCATGTAGGCAAGGCCGACAAGCCGCGGAATCATGTTAAAAGATCACAACCTCAAGGCCAGCAACAGACCCGCAGAGACACTTCTCGATACCTCACCAATTCCAGTTCGAGTAAGAAGAAATTTGATCCCAAGTTAAGGCTCGTACTTATATACTTTTAGAATACGTCGTTAATGGAACTGGGATTCCCGAGGTGGACTTCGACATTGGAGAAAGTTATGCTGGTTTAATGCCAATTTCAAAGAAGAAGAATGAGACCAGAGAACTATATTTCTGGTTCTTCCCTTCTGAAAATGTCGATGCCTCAGATGAGATCTTGATCTGGCTCAATGGCGGCGTAAGTACTCACAATTTCCATGTTATAACAACAGTCTCTGTGGCTTGCCAAACCGAAGTTGTGCTAACGCAATACTACAGCCAGGTTGCTCATCCCTCGAAGGTCTTCTCCAAGAAAACGGCCCCTTCATTTGGCAATACGGAACGCTCAAGCCTGTGTCTAACCCATATACTTGGGTAAACCTTACCAACGTTGTCTGGGTTGAACAGCCAGTTGGTACTGGGTTTTCGCAAGGTACTCCTTCTGCTACCAGTGAAAAGGATGTTGCAGAGCAGTTCCTTGGGTTCTGGAAGAATTTCGTGGACACCTTCGAACTGAAAGGACGTAAAGTTTTCATTACTGGGGAGAGTTATGCCGGTTACTATGTTCCTTATATCGCAGATGCTATGCTGAATAAGAACGACACCAAGGTGGGTTTGCCTAGACTCGCAAAATAAGGGAAATGCTAATAGATCTCAGTATTTCAACGTCGAAGCTACTATGATATATGACCCTTCAACCTCATCTGACGTTATTCAAGAGCAGATCCCAGCCGTCCAGTTTGTCGATTACTGGGGAGGCTTGTTCCCATTCAACGACACATTGTATGAACCCTCGCCCCTCAGGTTCGTCAAGATGCTAACAGGCCTCTAGTAATGCTCAAATCCATAACATGTCAGCCTCCTGCGGTTACGACGATTACATCAGCAAATACTTGACCTTCCCTCCTCCTGGGCCTTTGCCAGCTAAGCTTCCAGGCACTGATGAGAATGGAGATACCACCGACGAATGCGATGTTTTCGATGCCATCTACAACGAGATCTTCTACGTGAACCCCTGCTGGGATATCTATCAAGTTGCTACAACTTGCCCCGAGCTATGGGATGTCATGGGCTTTCCCGGGTCCTTCAGCTATCTCCCAGCCGGAGCAGAAATCTACTTCAACAGAACCGATGTGCAGAAAGCCATCAACGCGCCTCTGATCGAGTGGGACGAGTGCACGAACACAGAAGTGTTTGTAGGTGGTCAAGACAACAGCCCCCCATCCGGTCTGAGCGTCCTCCCTGGAGTTATCGAACGAAGCAAGCGTACTATTATCGGACACGGTGCTCTCGACATGGTGCTCATCTCAAACGGCACCCTTCTCATGATCAACAACATGACGTGGAACGGTGCTCAGGGCTTTCAAAGCAAGCCTTCTGATCCGTTCTACGTGCCCTATCATTCCGAGGGCTACTCGCCGGATTTCGGAGAGAGTGATCCCGCGCTCTCAGTCGTCGCCGCGTCCGGCGTTTTTGGAACCACGCATACAGAGAGAGGTTTGACTTGGGTCAGCGTTGATCTTTCCGGTCATAGTAAGTCCTTTCCTTTCCCTCTTTCCGAGTAAATCAATCTTCTCTTCACTAACTCACACATCACAGTGGTCCCACAATACGCACCCACAGCCTCCTACAGACACCTCGAGTTCCTCCTCGGGCGAATCGACTCCCTCTCCAGCACCGTCCCCTTCACCACCGATAATACGCCTCAACCAGACGGACCGCTTGGATTTGGCACCGGTCCACCTACGAGGAGGACAAAGATGTGAATGCGAGTATAGAAACTCATGCCTGGACAGACATGTGATTTTGAATTCGCAAGGTATGTTATAATTATAATATATGAAAAAGTAATATATATGATTTATGGTTTATGAAACTCCTTATATGGAGTAAGATGATTTCCACTTTCAGAAGACAGGTAGGCAGATGAATATCAGTCAGTCCATGCATCTCGCTCGGTATATGTTATATATATATACACCATACCCTGTCTTACAAGCACCTCCAAACCCAACCCAATCCAGTCCAGCTAGCCACGACGGATACAATACAATCATGTGAATCCCCCCTCCCGCTTACATGTAAGATCTTACTGTACTATAACCGAAAGGAAAGAGAGCTTTAATTTAAGCTTACTGTAGAATTCATCTTATCTAATCTAATCTCATTCCTAACTTATAGTACTGTACTGTATAACATACTTCATACCCCATAACTCATACTCACTCACTCACTCACTCACTCATGCATCGATAACTCCGTATACATACTTATACTTTAATAGCATAGCATAGCATAGCATCGTCATCGCTAATTAAGTAACAGTTAATACCTAACTCCCGTTTCTCTTTTTTTTCTTGGTGACAGACAGTTGCTCATAAGTATCCCAACGGACGTATAGCTAGCATATATAATAGGTTGTCCATGTTGCCACAATAGTCAAACAAAAATTATAATTCATGACACGTGTTTGAACAATAGTAGTATAAGTGTATTTATTACTTTGCTACCTAAAGGCATCTATCAAGTTCCAAAGCAGAAAAACCAAACCCGCCATCCCAACCATCCCATCCCAGCCCAATCATATCATCAATTTCGTCATGTTATGTGTACAATTCATCCATCGCTTAAGAAGGAGGAGCGGAAACGTTCTGGGTTTGCTCGGCTCTCTGGACAGCACCAAAGCGACTGTTGCCCTGGTCGAAGATCTACAATTATTAGCACGTCTTGTCATAAAAGAGAATCAAGCGAGTCACTTACAGCATAGATACCCTTGAGGAAAGTATCACCGAGAATATCAAAGGTCATGGTACCTCTGGATTGAATACCTCCATACACCATGTTGCTGCCCGCATCCGCAAATCCAAGATCTTCCTTCTGAACAGCAAATTGCTTGTCACCGACAGCAAATGTAACAACCGGGAGATTGTCTGCGGTGGTGCTGCTAGGATATGTCCAACCCTGCTGTTGCGAATCGTAGGTACTACCTGGAATGGCATTGTAGATAGCTTGGCAGACATCATCAGAGACCAAAGCGAGAGTGGTTCCAGTGTCAGCGATGGCAGTGTTTCCTGACTGTGCAACAGACTTGCCGTTCACGGTTGCGGACGTGGAATCGAACATCCAGAATCCCTGAGAACTGTCGATTGGGGTATAAGCAATATCTTGACCGGAGGCCGTGACAGTTGCTTGGTCAATGTAACCGAAGGTGTAGAAAGATTCTCCCTTATCAGGCTCGTTGGCGTCACGCCAACTACCAAGCTTGGCTGTGAAAAGTTCGGCATTCTGAGGGATATCTTGCTGGGTAATCATGTTCTCAACAGGGGTTGCAACAGCTTTGGGCGTAACAGTGTTGATGGAGCCAAATGCGAGACCGAGAAGTCCATCTCCAGCACCCTGAACGAACTGGGCTGACATCTGCTTCGCAAGCTCAATAGATTGGTTCTTGACTACGAGTCCACCAAGATTCACGTTGTCTGTACCAACATCACCGGAAGCGGAGGAACTATCTCCATATGAGATCTTCCAGGTTGAGCCCTTCACAGCCTGATATGTAGACGATTTTGAGGGGTCGAAGATGGTATGTCCTTTACCTTGCGACTTGACAGAAGCGGAAAGCTCGGTAGACCAGACCTAGGAATGAGTTAGTGGTTGGGCATGCTGCTATCTCAAATACATATATTTACCCATAGATCGGCAGAACCGGTATCGAAATCGAGGCTAAGAGTTTGAGCGGGCGTACCGATTGCTACAGGGCAGAGATATTCGGAATCGTTCTGCTGGTCATCTGCACCAACCTCTCCAGATTCTTCACCCGTGGCAGCAGCGCCAGAGGTTGTTGAGCCATGCTTCTTCTTTGCAAGAACTCGTTGAGTGGTAGCCTTACCACCCACCTTGTGCAGCAGACCATGGTGGCCAGACTGGGAGACTTTGTTTAGCTGGAAGTATGGGCCAGGCTTAGTGGGCTCGAAACCCCACTTGTTGAGCAGGTAGACTGTTGAGAATTAGTATGGTCATATATGATGGAGGAGCATTGGAGTGCTTCCAACACAGTTGGGGGGAGAAAAAGGGTGAACCTACCATAGGACTTGGTGCCGGATCTCTTGTAGTTCTTGTTGGGGATAAGCTTAACCTTCTGGAGACCTTGAAGAGCAGACATATTGAGATAGTCGTTTGGGTTTGGTAGATAAGAGTTGTTTGCTGGTGAAGTAGGAAATTGTATGTGTAGGTTGGATGTGAATGGGATGTATGAGAGGGGTATGAAGAAGGGAAGGCTAAGAAAGAGGCTGGACACCTGCCTATATACTTACTTGGATTAGGTCTGTGAGTTAAGCTGGCCTGTGTCTGGTGATCGCAGACAGGAGGGAGGAAGCAAGAGTCAAGCTTGCCTCACAGTTGCCAAAGCAGCTAGGATGGATGTATGGTTACCTCGAGCTCTGAGGAGCTGGAACGGCGTCATCGCGCCTTCCGAAGCTAAATGAAGCTTGTTACGGAGTATCATATCGTACAGGACAGTCAGTACCTTACTAGGGTCGCTGGCGTGGACACTTGTATCTGGGACGAATCGAACCCGTAGCCGCCCGCGAATATGGGGCCGCTGGGTGGTTTATTAGTAGCAAATCCAGCTCTGGAGATGTTGACTATCACTGGAACTAGATCTCGTACCCCCCACCTCGACCCGATTCGGCGAGCTTGGGGCGATGTGCTGTCTCTGGTGGCTATGTCGTTCATGCCTCCACGCAGCTTGTTTCACTGTGCCAAGGTCACCCAAGGGATACTGGGGAAGAAACAACGAGCCGTGTGCCGTGACTCTGGGAAGATGTGATGCAACAAGGGGGAGTTTATCGGCAATTCTGTATACTGTACTGTACTTTACTAGAGGGGTACCTGTCCTGTGCCTGTACACCCACCCACCCTACATACCATACATATCGACTGACAACCGAGTTAGAAACAAATACTCAATACCAGTAGAGATCCTTATCGCGCGCTTTGAAGACTGATGATCCTGCTTGCGACTGCACTCCGTATTTCATGCGCTGACGAGTCCTAGGGCGACTTTGACGTCATAAAACTTCCCCTCTATTGGCCTGAGAGATACTGTAGATGCTTTTGATACGTTTAAACCAGAACCTCTTACACCAGGTTGATTTAACGTTGGATCAGGAACATCAGCTGAAAGTGCAATACAGTAGCAGCGCACATCATAGAAGAATGTACGTAGAGACATCCATCCAATGATCAGGTCAGATCATAAACCAAACGCGTACGTATACCGAGTAACAAACAAGATGGCTGGCTGGATTGCAATATTGATCGTGGCCATCCATGTGGGTTGCAATCGATTCCCAGCTTCCTATCTCGGACGATTTCCACTGAAACATCATTCGGCAAGAGCGGGCCCGCCGTTGGAACATCACATCCACATCTCCCAAAAGACCATCCTGAATCCAGTTTTGGAGCTGGCGGCCACCACTCCACTTCCACTTTCACTTCCCCTACGGCACTTTACCTCCACATTCCGTCGCAAGCGGCAAATCTCGACTCACTCAAAGCCTGAAAGTAAACCTGTCTCTCTCTCTCTGCGCTGCTGATCTTATCGCACCTATTTCTATTTCAGGCAGAGGGAGAGAGGCCGTTCCTTGATCATTTGCTATCCACCTCTGCAGATGATGTATGTCTTGCGGCGATACCATACTCGCATGTACTGTAGGCATGCATGTCATGCAGTGCAGTACGCGGCACATGGCGAAAGCTGGGTGAAACTGGTTTGTATCTATCTGTGCGACGTGAATGAACGTTGCGAAGGGATGGATGATTGGGTTTTGTGTCACTGCTGCTTGCAACAACGCCGTAAAGTATGGTATAGATGCTCGAGGAGAAAGTACGGGACTGTTGGGGAAGTACATACGCGGCTAAGGTAGGAAGTCATAGGGTACCGAGTAAGACACCACCGGTCCTCTTCCCTGCGCAACAACGCGAGCCACAGTCCACAGTCTACCAAGTGCAGATAGAGCCTCGGTAAGAACTTGTGTTTTAAAAAGGACGTTGATCCAAGGTTTTGTAGCGAGGTAATACAACCTAGTCGTGGCTTCTGTCAGACGGAGCCGTGCCGTGTACGTGTTTCAGCCCTATGATATAATACTATAACTTATAAGTCAGGTATGATATCCAGGATATCGTATTTTCAAGCAGAGCTTTCCTTGTACGTACATACCAGTAATAGGTCAAAAAATAAGTTTATGTGATACGATGCACGAGACATAAGGTTTTTGCTGGTGGGAGGTTTGAAGGTTCACGCCAATGAATGTTCTTTTGGATCTAGACTATTGCACAGGATACCGGTGAACGAGGCGTAGCATGACAGGTGATATATGTGTGAGTAACACGGAAGAGAAATAGTATGGTGATAGATTGATTGTTTGAGTCTTTGGAGAAACAAAGTGAGAAGGTAGGTACCTAACTAAGCTTTTAGAATCAAACCAGTGACCACTGGTACAGACATACATATCGGTAGCATTTAAAGAGCTGAGCTTAGAGCAAGGCTTCAAGTAGCTGGGTATTTATCATTTATTCATCAACATCCTTTTCAAGAAGCTCCCGCCTTAGCAGCCTTCTTTGCATCTATCTGCTTCTGCTTCTCTAATTTCTTCAATTGGTTTTTCGTCATCCCTCCCTCTGCAGGCACTTCACTCGTTTCTCCCACCTCCTTAGCCACAACTATAGGATTTGGATTCCCCACCCACTGCAGCTTCTTTTGCGCAAAGAAATCAGCCACCAGTTCGTCCGTGACAGCGGCCCGTCTGCCTTGGAAACTCTTAACATAGGTCTGCAATTCCTCAATACACTTCGCCTTCAGCTCCCCCGTCAGCATCTTCCCGGTTGTATACGCAACCCGTATGCGCTCCAGCTCCTCATCATCTTCCAAAAAGAACGTCAGGTACTGAAACGAAACATCCTTCTCGGCATCTCCTCCCAGTTCCCTTTGCTCAGCCTCCGTCACCTGCCCACCGGAGAAGGCAAATCGATTGATCTTGTTCTTGATCTTATTCGGCTCGTCTGTCATGAAGACGGCAGAACTGTCGACCGAAGCACTCATCTTCGATCCAGGGCCCTGCAGAGCATCGAGGAAGCGTGCGTGGATGAGTGCCGGTTTGGCAAAGTGCAGGCGCGCTGCTACGTCCCGCGTCATGCGGAAATAGGGGTCCTGGTCGATGGCACAGGGGATTAGGCAGGGGATTGCATTTGTCTTGGATTCGTCCTCGCCAAAGATGTGTGGGAAGGAAGATGCGAAGGAGGTGGCGCCTTGGACGGCTCCGAAGTGGATTTTGCCAATGCAGGAACTAGTCCAATTAGTAAGTAAGTCATGTCAAAAGAAGTAAGGTGTTTTCTTACCTGTCGTTGAATCCAAAGACTGCTTTTGCAACATTGTAGGTAACGTGCTTGGAGATTCGAGTTATATTTCGGTACCATGCTCCACCCATATACTCGTAGTCGCTAAATATGAAAGTTTTTTTAGGATCGAATCCAACGGCAATGATATCCTTCGTGTTGGCAATTGTAAATTTTTGTACGTCCTCAATCGTCCGCTTCTCTGAGAAAAGGTACTTCTCATCGTCTGTAAGCATAATGATCAATGGTACATCGAATACATCTTGCAACCACCTATGAGTCATTAGTAACAGCCCATATCAAATTGCTCCAGAATTAAAACAGAATCTGCCATTGCAATCCAGGGAATTAGAAATCCTTACTTGGTAAATTCGAAAGGAACCGTATGTCCAATGTGCATACTATCACTGCTCGGTCCTCGCCCTGTGTACAAAAAGAAAGGCTCCCCCCTCTCATGACGATCCAGTATCAAATTTAAATCCCGATGACTGAACACAATTCCCCTCCGCATGAACCTATGAGGCCGATGTCCAGTAACCTTCTCGAACCTCGCCAGATCCTCCTCCAATATCTTCTTAGTCCCGAACTCGTCGATCAGAGTCAAATAATTGATTGCTTTGGCAACTCCATCGGCTCCAATTTCTCCAGCGACATTCCATGGATCAACAGTCTGTTTGGAGGCAGTAATAGTTGGCGCATCTGCTGCCAGTGCGGCGGTGATTGAGGGTTCTGGGTCTGCCATGGTGGGGTGATGATTCTCTTGGAAGGAGGGGTTTGTTGATCGCGTGAATGTGGGATGAATTATTTTGCCGGAATGGTACAAACGAATCCGTCAGCGGTGAGTCAATGGTGTCACGTGATAATCGTACAATATTTGCTGTCCTTGGACAGAGAGAGTCTTACATGAGAGGTTAAATGTGGATGGAATATTAATATCTATAAAAGTTTGTTTATAAAATGCAACATGTTTCAGGAGGAAGAAGTCAACAAAGAATTGCAGCTTTCATCTTACCCCAGGTTTCGGGCGGAATCGGGTTTAGCTCCCGACAGGGATTAAATAGTTCTAGTCGGACGATTGTTCTTCATCTCCCGCATCATCATCACCCGATTTCCCCTCAACAAAATCCCCTTCTCTCGAGCGAGTACAAGTATCTCACGCAAACATCTACAAATGCATCACTCATAATGGTTAAATTCTACGAGTCCTCCTATTCCTACGACTACTCTTTCCCCGCCGTAACCCTCGCGTACTTCCTGCGCTACCCCAATCCCTACAGCACCCATGTGCTCTCCACCGACGTGATCTCGCGTTCCATCGACTCCGCGGGCCGTCTGCAGACCACGCGCCTGCACAGGAAGAGCTCGAAGCTGCCCTCTGCGGTCTTGAACCTGCTGCCGAAGAGCGTGCTGGGGAGTGTACGTGGTGGGCGTTCCGAGACCTTCATCTTGGAGACCAGCACGATAGATGTGGAAGAGGGATGGATGCGCACGGAGAGTAAGAATCTGGATTGGACGGGCATCTTGAGCGTGGTGGAGAAGCAGGAGTATAAGAGGCTGCTGCCTGTTGACGAGGGTGATGATTTTAGTGTTGGGGCTGGCACGACGAATGTTTTGAGTACGGTGGTGTGCAGGAGTCGGTTGGGGGATCGCTTGAGGGCGAGGGCTACGAGGAAGGGGGAGGCTGCTCCGGTTGAGGGAGAGGAGGAGCCCAAGAGAAGCTTCTTTGCTAGTTGGAGTAAGACGGGGATACAGCGAAGTATTGAGGCGATTGCGAGTCGAAAGACTGAGAGTCAGTTGGGGAAGAGTAAGGAGGGTATGATGGTTGTGTTGGAGAGACTGCGGAGGGGTGGTTTGGTTGGGGTGTTGGAGGGCATGAGGAAGGACCAGAAGTTGGTTTATGGACAGGGAGGAACTTGAGGAAATGATGCAACGAATGTACAACGTCGACAAGGGCTCCATATCTTTTGAGAAACCAACGAGCACATTTCGGACTCAGGTTTGGACACTCGTTAGGCAATGCCTTTTGTAAAATACACAAATATTGGGAGCGAGGAGTCTGGGTATGCGGGAGTTTGTTCTATAGCCTCTCCAATTCGATTTGTACAACTTGGATTACGATGTTTAGGTCCTATTCATATTTCTTTCGTGGTTGATTAAAACACTACTGGAGGGCTCTTTGATATACCACAAGGCTTCATACTGAAAATTCGCAGAGCTCAACCAATGCTTCTAAGCTAGCGGCTGTCGACCTAAAGCTGGGCGAATGCCACACATGTTGTCTAGCACGTAAGTTTGTCTTGGGTCCAAGGAAATGCCCTAGTTAAGGAAGACGCCCCTGTCGATCGAGAGAATATGGTTCGGAATAGCTAGACTCAAGAATTACAGACTTGTCATAAATTGGATCACTTCAATCATTTTTGAGATTTCAGTTCGATGTAGGACCTGTACCCAATTAAGTCTCAAGTACCGTGATAATGGAAGTACTGGTTGACTCGAGATGTAGAAGTGTGGGGAAATAGAATGAACAATACTGTTATTGTCCTGTTGGTGTTATGATTCGGCACAGAACAGCCTACATAAAGAGAGCATTGTTCGTATGCATGTAAAACCCCATTCTCAAAGAGCACAGAACAGCTATGTACAAATACATTCGCGCACATATATAAAAAGTTCAATTACCAGTGAATGCTTTCTTGCTCCAAATCATTCACCCACCTAAACTATCTAGCTACCTTATAAATCTTTCAAATATGATCACACCTACACAACATCAACACCGGACCCCGTCCAGAAGTAACCTTGAGTTATTGATATCTATCCTCCGCCTACGTTGCCAACAAGCACCCTCGTACAAAGAAATAGCCTTTCTTCTAACAAAGCTATGGCCCACCGCAATGGTCAAGCTCGCTAAAAAGGCTGTGCCCAAGAGAATGCAAGCGGAAGTACTAGTCTCAGACAAAGGAATCAAAGAATGGGTATCTGGATACATCGAAGAGATATACCTACTGGGAGAATTACTAGAGTCTGACTCTTGGACCACAGCCAGGGACGAGCCGCTGAGTATCGTTAAAGTGGTATTGAAGCTCACTGGCTTGAAACAGCTGGGATACAACGCCAAAGAGATGGACAAGGACGGGCTGAGATGGCAGAAGAAGTGGCAGAGCGAGGGTGACTGGAGGTATGGTTCCACCCCTATTCTACCCGTAGAGGAGACCCCGAAGAAGATACTAGATGTGCCTCTCCCCGTTGTCCTCCACCCGACTACCGAGCAGAACGCATGTCCACCTAGCCATATCCCTACGGCCCAGAAGACTACCAAAAATGATTCTCCCAACCTGCACTGCTCGTTCTCGAAGGAGCACAGAGGAATGTACAAGGCATTTAACAATCCATGTAGCTACTCCCAAGAGCAACGAAGAGTGTACAACCCATTTGGCACCAGCAAGAGAGACTCTGATTGGACGCCGACGTCAGAAGAACTCGTAGATATCAGCTATGAGGAGGCACTCGAAGGACTGGATGGCCTGTCAGTAACAACCACCAGGACTAATATGAACTGGATGAAATGAAAGCTGCAAATGTGTGATTCGGTGCGAGGCACTGAATGATTTATGCGCATCTCCGATTTTCATTTGGCTGTATGGATAAGGGGGACGAAGAGATGGATATGGATCAGGTACTTGTTATTAGCTGCTGGTGTTCAGCTCTAAAATTATCAATAAGATATGAATATAGATTGATCCATACAAACTATAGCCCCCAAAATGTGACCCATTCCTTAATTTGCCTACTGTACCTAAGTAACGAAAATGACCGGCCGTGACCATGGCCACTTAAATGGTGGCGCCTCGATGGAGGAGGCTACGCGCCGGGCTGCGTACCTAATGAGACGAAAATAGATGAAGAAAGTCACCAATCAAGGAAGGAGACAATGGTGTATGAAACTCTAAAGCTGCCAGTAGCTAGGATTTCGACTATCAAACACTCGATGCGTGGTTCTGCGAAAGAAATGAACAATAATAAATATAGAAAGGAAGGGAGGGGAGCGCATTTGAAGTGAAGCTTTGAAGCGCTCAGCCTTGTACCAGGTCCACTTTACTGACAACGGCCCTGATCCATTGGGCTCGCTAGACGCTTCACCCCACCTCCAATTCAACTATCCTTCCCCTCCCCTCGAGGATACTGCTCAGTACAGGTAAGAACTTACATTAAGGGCTTACTTCCTCCTCCTCAACCTGCGGTCATTTCAAGAGGCCAGCTGCCATTTCTGACCTTCAGCCCTAAAACCCATTCACACTCGCTCTACTTGATAAAGAAAGAACAACTGCACCCGTCTTGTTTCCACCCCGCTACAGTACACATTCCCCTCTTCGAACAACCCACTCGGAACCAACTGCCTCAATCCGCAACCCGTTTCTATCTATTGTTTGCGAAAACTTGCGACTCGACTAGCACGTTTCTTGCACACCGAATTAGATCTTTGTTTTTGTTCTGTCTACGGTCAAAATACACGTCTGATTCACACACTGTTTCAAGTCCCGGAAATACGTACATTCCGACAACATGGCAGACCTTGCAGGTAGAAAGGTGTTCAAGGTGTTCAACCAGGACTTCATTGTCGATGAGAGATATACGGTGACAAAGGAGCTTGGTCAAGGTGCTTACGGCATTGTCTGGTATGTGCTTGTCTCTGCTGTTTCTGTTGGCATTTCGCTAACTGCTGCCTTACCAGCGCGGCTACGAATACCCAAACCCAAGAGGGAGTTGCGATCAAGAAGGTCACCAATGTCTTCAGCAAGAAGATTTTGGCCAAGCGTGCGCTGCGAGAGATAAAGCTATTGCAACATTTCAGAGGACACAGAAACGTATGTTTGTATTGAATGGATAATGGAGCGCGGTCTGATAAGAATAGATCACTTGTCTCTACGATATGGATATTCCAAGACCGGACAATTTCAACGAGACCTATCTCTACGAAGGTAATACGAACAATGCTATTTTCGGACCAGATGCTAATTGGTTTAGAACTCATGGAGTGCGATCTTGCCGCTATCATTCGTTCCGGACAGCCCCTCACGGACGCCCATTTCCAAAGCTTCATCTATCAAATCCTCTGCGGATTGAAATACATTCACTCTGCCAATGTTCTTCACCGTGACTTGAAGCCCGGCAATCTACTGGTTAACGCCGATTGCGAGCTGAAGATTTGCGACTTTGGATTGGCTAGAGGATTTTCTGTTGATCCGGAAGAAAATGCTGGATACATGACTGAATATGTTGCGACAAGATGGTACCGTGCGCCTGAGATTATGTTGAGTTTCCAAAGCTACACGAAAGCGAGTAAGTTTTTGTGTTTTTAGCACTTTGGGTTCAGAACTGACAAATTCAGTTGATGTTTGGTCCGTTGGTTGCATCTTGGCAGAGCTGCTTGGTGGTCGCCCATTCTTCAAGGGTAGAGATTATGTCGACCAGCTGAATCAGATTCTTCACATTCTCGGAACACCAAACGAGGAGACTCTATCACGTATTGGCTCACCAAGAGCTCAGGAATACGTTCGCAATCTGCCATTTATGGCTAAGCGACCATTCCCAAGTCTCTTCCCAAACGCAAACCCAGATGCTTTGGACCTCTTGAACCATATGTTGGCATTCGACCCGTCGTCGAGAATCTCGGTTGAGGAGGCTTTGGAGCACCCATACCTTCATATTTGTAAGTTTTCCTATGCATATTTCACGGCTATTTCACGGGCTGGGTAATGTTTGAGGCTTCTTTGGGTCATCAAGACCCGAGGAAGTCCTGCAGATGTAAACTTTCCAGAGTATATGATTCTAACACTTTCTATAGGGCACGATGCCTCAGACGAGCCAGGATGTCCCACCACCTTCAACTTCGACTTCGAAGTTGTCGAAGACGTAGGAGAAATGCGCAAGATGATTTTGGATGAGGTAGCTAGATTCCGCCAACACGTACGAGTCCAACCAGGCCAAGGAGGCGTGAACCAAGGACTAGCTGTGCCTATTCCTCAAGGAGGTGGAACATGGGGTGCCGAGGATCCAAAACCACAGGAGAATTACGGAATGGGAGCTACAGGTTTGGAGCAGGATTTACAAGGAGGTTTGGATGCTATGCATCAATAGATTTGCGATATGGGACACTCTGGTGGTTGGTATTTGCGATGAATGTAGCGACAGGCTATTACATAGTGTATGTGGGAAGAGGGCTCGCAATAACGAATTTGATGACCTTTCTCTATCCCTCTATTTCCATTCTATAATGATCGTGATCGAGTGATCGAGATGCTAATCTTCAGGGTCCAGTTGTTGTTCTCCGCACCCCGCAATAAACTATGATATCACAAGATATTAATTTCCAATGACATCTTCCCTCCCTTATAAACCTTTATCTATCTCGTTTTTCCTTCATCTTCAAAAAATAAACCCAATCTTCTTACGGTTATTTTATTTCACCTCAAGCAAGTTAAAAATGTCATACGCAGATAAAGACCCCCTCGCTGCCGCTAAACAAGCAGAGCGCGAGCTCAACTCCCATCAAGCCAAGCAGGGATATAGTACTAGTGATTCTGGTATGGATTCCGATTTTCTTCTTCTATAATTTATTTTGAGGATGATGCGTGGGCGCTTTTATGAATAGACAGACATCTAGTTTGATCATCAATTATGCTTGGTTCATGGTACTGGTTAATGAGTTGCTGTTTTGGCTTTCCTCGTTTTAAGTTTGATAACTTGGCATATACATCTTAGAGGATTTTTGTATTATATGAATGGATGGATAGATGGATAAATGGATACTCATACTAACCTACCCAGCAACCGAATCAGGCGTCGACGCATCCGTCGAGTCCCGTTTCCCGGGTGCGAATGTGGTATATGGAAGTGCTGCTTCTGGAGCTGGTGGGAACCGCGAGTGTGTACCCTCCCTTTCCCCATTCCCTTCCATGCTCCTTCTTTTCCTCCCTCCCTGTTCCTGTTATTCTTCCTTCCTTCTCTCTTTCCACCCTCCCTCTTCCCTCCCCTCTCTTTCTGAAGAGGCAGAGAACGAAGAGGCAAAGAGAAATGCTAATCATGAAAATAGGATCCCCCCTCAAGAAGGCGGGACCATCACATCGAGCGGCCAACCTACTAAAGCGCGGGATTTCGAGGGCGTAGGAGGGCCGGCGGATAAGGCAGTTCTGGAGGCGAGTGAGAGGGGGGGTGAGGATGGGGTGCAGGGGAATGTTAGGTGAGTTGCTCCCAAGCTTCTTTCGTTTCTTCTTCTTCGTATACCGACTTGTACCATTGGGGGGATTAGTGAAGAGGGGTGAGATGGCGAGTAAGGTCCAAGGAGGAATGAAAGTGCTAATGTATGTTGTGGATATATAGACAGGGAGGGATTCGTGATGGTGCTGTGAGGGTTGCTGGGGGGAAGTGAATGGTAAATAAAAGACGAGGTGTGTACGAGGAGAGGAGAGAAAAAGGAGAAGGGAAGAGGGAGGGTTTTTGGAATGATTGATGTATGTATTATTTATAGGTTGCTGTCTTTTGTCTGCTCAGTCAAGAGAAATATGTACACCAAAAAACTAAAGCCCAATCGCTTTTCCTATGCTCCAAGTGCCCTCCATATCACATGATATCTGATTGTCTTCTGCAGAAGCAATCTATCTCATCATCCGTCCACCTCATTCCGAATGTCTCTCCCGGCCAACGTGTGGTGTTGTCGGACTTTATGCTTTTCATTCGTTTAATTTTCTTTTCCTTTCACTCTTCCTCTTTGCTTTTCCTCCCTGCACAAACATCACACCCCATTCATTCAGTCGTAAAACCAATACTCAGCAGCATACTGCACGGTCTGCGTCCCAGCCGCCGTACAAGCAGGCGCAACACCACCTGCCGTCTCAACCCGATACACCAGGCTGACCCCATCACTGACATACGGCGCAGGCTTCGCAGTCAAGGACAGCCAATCCACCGCACCAGTGCCAGCCGGTCCCTTGCTGGAAGTAGCCGGTGCTTTCACATCGCCCGTCTTGGCAGCAAAGAGGATCTTGTTGGCAGCGCTGAGGTTGAATGTCGGGGTCCCGCTGGCGTCGAAGAAGTGGTTCCCGAGTACGCTGAGCGGGCCGCTGCTAGAGTCCAAGGAGCCCGAGGGGACGGCTTGGTTGACAGCTATGGGCGGGATGGCGTGCACGGCGCTGATGTTGGCGTATGCGAGGGAGGTGGCGTCGAAGAGGGTTGCGATTGCGCCGGTTGCGGTGGAGTTTGCGCCTGCTGCTAAGCAGGTGTAATTCTGTGTACCCCTACCCACAGCAACGTAAACGAGGGAAAGAGTGGTCGATGGTAAATCAGGCGTGTCTGCGTTTCTTATTAGATGTGTCTGTCTGGGAAGCGGAGGGTATGGGGAACTTACTACCGCTGGTGGGGATGGTGGGAGCTGCTCCTGTTGGCGTGGCGGCGGCTGACTTGCATTCCAGGCTGGGACGAGGTGGAGCGGCGAATGGGGAGGCTGTAGCCAGAGAGAGAATGCTTGCAAGCGTGAGGCCCTTGAGGATGGTGGACATTGAAGGCATCTTGAGGTGGTTGGGGGTTGTATCTTGGAAGAAGAGGTTTCGAGATGTGTTTTATGAACAACAAGAAGAAGGTATTCTTGAGCAGACCGAGATTGTATGCGAGAGGGTGGAATTTGAATGTCAATATGAGATGGAGATATACAATATTCGTTTGGTGTAGTAACTGCAACGTTGGCCGTGTGAATTGGCGCCGGAAGTAAATGAATAGCAAATTGGACTTGTACAACCAGTTGAACAAGCTTTCTTGGACGAAAGAGATGGTATATTAAGAGGAGATGTGGATTGGTGAGGTTTGAATATGAGGTTGAGATGCAATTCATCAATGAGGGACAGCTTCATCTTATACTTTCTCTGCAATCTGACTTCAAATGCATCGGTACCCATGTGTCTCGACCGGCTGCAAGGCCCACGCATCCTTGCTGTACTGCCAGACCCAGACTGATCCTTGGAGGAAGGTCGAGGGAAGGTCGGTGCTCTAGCCTTACTTCCCTCCCACTACTGTTCGTACTACAGTACTCGGTACCTCACTCCCAGAACGACAAAAAATTGATGCTAAAATTGCACATACTACCCTGCACCTGCATACGGAGAACGCTTAACAGCGAGACAGGTAGTCCAAGACGCGCTAAGGTAGGAGTAAGGCGTCTTCCCGTTGGTGTATGAACAGGGGAGAGAAGGCGAGGGGAGGGGTGAAAGCGGCTTCATCGCGCCTCTCAGCCAATTTTTCCACTTCACCACCACCATCCTTCTTGGGACGTGTACATGTTGTACCAAGGAAAACGTACATACACCCGCGCCGTGCCACCACACAAAGGACAAACATAGAACGGCCGCTAAGAAAGGGAAGTGTGAGTGAGACCAGATCACTCACAGGCTCTGATAAACGCAGAACACTACTAAGAATCCCTACCTAACTAAATACTCGTACAGTAAGTACAGCGTGCCGGCGGCAATTCCTCAATTGAAAACGTGAGAACATAACATCAGCGTTAGACGGTGGAATGCGTGGCGCGATACCCTCTCTTCCTCCGAATAGAATATTATTGAAGGCTGTTTTCATCCGAACTACTCTACTACTACCAGGTTAAGTTTCGTCTGAAGCATTGAGCCGTATGGTTTCTGTGCGTCTCGTTCTGGATGAGAATCCTTGTCGAGATCAATTCTTCCGGTGCATACACACATGGCTTCTGTAAATTTACCTAGATTATTACAGCGAGCATTCCTTGAAGACACGCCTATTCATCGTGTTGTGTGCCATGCTCGCCCTGCCACGCTGTTGTTATTCAGCCGTGCGACTCGTCCTGCCCTGCAATTCTCTCAGGAGAAGGTGCGTGCGTGTGCGTGCGGCGCGTTTGTTTTTTCCCCTCGCTCGTCTATCAACCGTTGTTTCGTTTCGATCTTCACCTCAAACGCGCATCGCGTTTGATATTCAAACATCAGACGAGCACCTACCTACCTTATATTATTCTTCTGTCCGTGTCTGTGTCTGTGCAAACATTCAAACACGATCCTTCCAGCACTTGCTATCTTATCTCCTCTCCTCCCCTCAAGACTTTTAGCTTCTGCTCTCGTGGAGGCAGGCATCTAAAACACACTTACTCCGTACCTCCCATCCGTGCGTGAAGCTTGTGCTCGTGGTGAGCTACCCCAACTAGACCTAACTCTTTAGTTCAGGAGAAGTTGTCTATCTGATTCTTCGAAGCCATTCCTAACTTCCTGGGGAAGGGTTGGTGGTTTGAAGTTGTGTTTCTGATAACTGCTCGTCGGTATCCTTCAAAACATCACCGATTCTCCACGGAGCAAGCCTGTCATTTCAACCCCTAACTTTAGGCTATCCTATCTAAGCAATTATGCTCTACCGGGCACCGATGGGATGAGAATACCGGCAATATCAGAATCAGTCGTCAGTCGTTAGCATCTATCAATCAATAAAAAGATTTGTTTATTCTTGTAATACCTATCCATCCAGCCATTCCAATTTCCACCTCTACACCCGATATGAGGTACATACAGCAGTAGAGAGATTACCTAGGCGCCACCTCACCAATATTGCAACTCAACTTTACAGAGCCTCTTTTCCTCTCCTTCCTACCCGGAACATTCTCTTATCCACTATTCTGGAAAAAAGCATCCCCATCTCCACGTCCCATCGACAATTCTTACCATCTTAGACAAAAAGCACTGTCTGCTTGACAGTACCTCCCCTCCCCCTGTTTCCCTACTGTACCCTAACTTACTCCGCAAAAGCCCCGCCCCGTCCGTGCATACAATCAATATCCATACTGTAAATTAAAAGCGAGCAAATTTACCAGACTTTCCATGCCGTGCCAGGACCATGACACCACTTCCCCATTTAAAGTTCTATTTTCATACCTCACAAATTAGTAGCAATTTATTTTCTTCTTTCTCGCTTGCGGCCCGGGTATGGTAAAGTAAGGTAAGACAGCGAGCGAGTGCTAATTCATTGTTTCCTAATATAGAAATACTACTGTACTGTACATCGATTGCGCTTGTTCGTGATTCGGATCAGACAGATACTTTCCATTTTTCACTTTTTACGCGTCTGTTACTCGCGTCACTTTTTGCTCTTCAACATGAACTCAAATACATGGCATGACATGGCCATAAAGTGAGATAGGATGGACCGACCCATAGCTACGGGCGCGAGGGGTATAGTGCTGATCTCCATCCCCATCCCCATCTCCATTCCCATCTCCATTAAGCGCCGTTCGCTGATCCGGTCTTCCTACGAGTATGCGACCGCGACGGTGCCTCGGGTGCTTGGTACCAGAACTCAAATAGAAGCGCTAGCTACTACCGCCATAAGCGGCCGGCATATCCAAAAAGTCATATACCGTGACCCTTAATCAGCTAGGAACAAATAGCTATGTATAAAATTAGCCTGGCGTTTTCTTCGTCGAGGCATTTCTGAGCACCGAGTAGTGTAGTAGTGTAGTAGTGACTAACTAGTATGTAAATGCAAATTCTACGAGTAGGTTTAGTATGATATAGGGAGGGAGTGAGGCAATGAGCTGGTGTTTTTGCTGGTAGGTTGTGAGGATATGGCACTTGGGTAGCGTTGGGTGAGTAGTGGCAAGAGCGACAAGACGAGCCAGTCGGAATGGGAGTGAAGGATTGGGTGTCTTCCTTTGCGGGGAAAGTTTGACACAGTTGATCTTCATACAGCTATCAGCTTGATGGGAGGAGGTCCCATTTGTTACCTTGATCGCGAAGTCTGCGGCACGAAAGATACAGAAAAGTGCGTCGTTCGTCTTACTGTACACACTCTTCTATGAGTGAAAAGCGGAGTATTAAATACATGTAGTAACGGGTTTTCATGCAGTCTTGTCAACCCCACTGCCAATTTGTAGCCGTAGCATCCATCGTGACATCTTATGTATCTCAAAAAGCCTCGGTGTTCAAATCAAAACCCCCTCCCCAGCACCACCTCCACTTATCGCATACCGCCACCGAATCCACCGCTCATGCCCTGCAGTCTGTTGGCGAGCTGGGGATACTTTTCTTGAACTTCTAGTTGCGTGCGTGTGGCTTCGGCATATGAGAGCGCGTTGACAATTTCTCCCTCGGTTCGGGAGAGCTCGGCGGCTCGCTCGAAATATGTTAACGCCTCTGTTACCTTACCTTGCTGCAGTAATAGTTGGGCCATAGTGGCAACGGCAATGTCGCACTCGGGATCGACTACTTATGGTTAGCAATCTATTGATCAATATATTGAGTGGGAGCATATACTAATAAGCGCTTTCTGGCAAAGCTTCTCAGCCTCGGCGAAGTCTTGTTTCCATTGGAAAAGAGCCAGAGCTTTGTTAATAAGAGGCAGGACGTTCATTCCTAGAGGCTTGGTCTGCTTCTCCATCTCCACAGCTGTCTCAAACTTCTCAATTGCTTCTTGGTACTTTTGCTGATCTAACAAAAGCTCTCCATAGTAGTTGTAGACATCTGGCACTTTGTCGAAGTTCTTGATACATCTGCGGAACGTCGCCATTGATGATGCGATCGACCCCATCTTGTATTGCGTAACACCGAGCTGGATGTGAGAGAAGATGAAGTCCCGGTCGATATCGATGGACTTTTGGTAATCTTTTGCGGCATCTGCCCACTCGCCGAGGATGAAGTGAAGCTGGGCACGGTGGTAGTAAATATCAGGGTCTTCGCTGTTTTGTTCCATGGCCTTTTCGAAATCATCTGCAGCAGCGTCCTTGTTGCCTATTGAAACATTAGCAAGGCCAATATAGCATCATGCTTTTACCAACCTATTTCCAGATGCATGCTTGCACGTTTGATGTAACTCTGTGTCAAGGAGGGCTGGAGATCGATACTCTTGGTCAAATCAGCCAATGCATCAAGGTTGTCACCGCGAAGGTATCTGAATGTTCCGCGCATATTATAAGCAAAGGCTTCGAGATCTCCAAGTTCGTTCAATTGCAATGCTCTGTCAAAGGCAGCTGCCGCCTCTTCGTATCCATCAGCAGTCTTCGAATCCATTGAGCGAAGTCCATGTTGCAATTGTCCTTTGCCAGTAGATTCTGACAACTCCTCGCTGTCTTCCAATCCTACAGGGGATGGGCGAGCTCGGAAACTTTGAAGGTAATTTGTGACAAACGATGAGCTGGGAAGTTTCTTGTCCTTGGTCGTAAGAATGACTTTCGCCTTGGCCTCGGCCACCTTCTTCAGCAATCGCTCTACAGCTAGGGCACTGGCCTCGTTTCGGAATCCATCAATAATACAACTTGCCGTAAAGTCAAGGAGCGCTTCGCTGAATTTCTCGAGATGCTCGTATGCATGAGCTCGTCGGTTTAGAGCCTTGACGTACTCATTATCGAGGTTGATAGCAGCAGTTGTGTCCTCAATAACCTTCTCCCATTGTGAAAGGGCATTGTAGCATGCGGCTCTGTTCGAGTAGAAGATAGGATCCGGTTTGCAGATGATAGCCTTTCCGTAGAGATCGATCGCCTTGTTGTAGTCTTTACTCCCATAAGCAGTGTTACCCGCAGCCTTCAGTTTTCCAGCATAGTCTTTTCGTTGTTGTTCGGAAAGGCTTCCAACTGTTGTCTCGTCAACTTCGGGAAGCTCCTCTACAGTCTCGACAGTTGGCGTCTTTGGCTTAGTCTCCGCAGTTCCCTTTTCTAAGTCCTTCTTCTCTTCTTCCTTCTTCCTTCGCTTCTCTTTCTTCGACTTCTTTGGTGTACTGGCTGTGGTGGTACTCTATAACAGGTGTTAGCTAAAAGCCTGATAATCTAGGGGCAACTTGGCCCTCATACCGAATCCGTTAGATAGTATGCAACACCAGCTCCTGAGACAACCACTGCGACACCTGCAATTGTGTAGACAACTGCCTTATTCTCCGATGCCCAGGTCGATATACGGTCCCAAACTGAATTAGGGGGTGTTGACAATGCGAAGTCTGGGGGCGCCCTCCCAACGGGTATTGGGCCTGGGTTAGACATGTGGAAGAAAATATGGTATTAAGAGAAGGTAAAGAGCAATAATATGAAAAGAAACAAATACTCGATAGACGGCGCTGGCAGACTTGTTGATGATGGAAATGCAAGCTGCCTGCTTGGAAAAGTAAAAAGATTCGCGACATAGGGCATAGAGCACAGCTCCAAAAGTCATCCCGTCCCCATCCGTGATTGGTCGTGCGTATAGCATTATCCACTTATCAAGACACACCCTATTTGAATGACTAATAGAGCCTTCCTTTCACTCCGGTACAGTATATGTTCAACGAATCTCTCCAATCCTTCATGAATTGTCAAGCCGTTCAATAAAATTTTCTTTTCAACCTAAATTACACGCCGCAGCTCACCTTTCTACATCTGATCCGAGTCCTGGATTAAGGACGTCTTTCTTGGAGCCGAGCTTTTAAATACATACCTACTCTTCTTCTCGCTAGCTAAGCCTCTTCGAGCTTCTCTGTTTGTAAGGCCTTGATTTTTCCTCTTCTCCTATCTATGTATTCCTTTTAAATCTGTCCTGGATTTACAACGATGGTGTACTTTCTCAAACCCTTGGGAAGATTTGCTCTCCATTGACCTATTAGACACAAATAAGTACGCCCGAAGCATATCGCAGATTACCAAAAGGGTAGTACATGGAATAACCAATATCCCTATTGCTCAGTTGCAAATACAGATAGATGCACGCCTTGTCAAAGGCGAAATAATTTTGTCTTAGGGAGTACCCTCGGAGTCACGTACATCGTTCGCACTAAAGCTGTGGTTTTATACTAGAGCATAAGACGTACTGACATTCTTCACATTCAGTCCACAAAATGGCGGAACCAGAGTTACAGCTTTATTCCTCTCTGCGCTACGACCTGTTGCTCCCCCCAATCTCCGCCAACACCGAGGCATGGGATAGCGAGATCAAACATCCCAGCCCCTTTTATATGCTCACGTACCACCGAGACCGTTTGTTGCAAGCCGCTGAACATTTCGACTGGAAAATTGCCGCAGATGTTATCCGTGGCCCCAATGGCTTCAAACACCTTCTCATGAAGCTTACCGAGACCGTTGACACCCAATCTACCAAGCCCGTAAAGATTCGGGTATTGCTGAGCAAAGATGGCACGATCACCATCGAGCTATCACCTACGCCGGATTCTAGTAAGGAAGCACTATACCCTGCGAGACTCCCACCACCAAAGTCTGCGAGCAAAATGAAAGTCAGCCCCTTGACAGGCGGAGCATTAGAACTCGGGGATGGCGATAGCGTTCGTGGCGATCCTCCCACAAACCAGCCGTTTGAGGTGATCCCTGATACCATGAAAACGACGCCGTCTCCTTACACGTCGTACAAGACCACAAGTCGAGACATGTATACTAATGGTCGGCAAAGGGTTGGAATTAAGGACGTCACCGCCAGGCAGGAGGTTTTGCTTGTCAGTGATAGTGGGGAGATTATGGAAGGTAGCTTTACGAGTGTGTATTTTTGGAGGGATGGGAAATGGACGACTCCGAACGTGGCGAGTGGTGGTCAAATTGGCACTTCGAGACGATGGGCCCTTGAAAAGGGGTATACTCACTTCTCTACCCGTCTTCAAAAGTTTGCAACTGATATAAAACTAGATTTTGCGTTGAAGGTGTGGTGAAGGTCGACTCTTTGGCTGATGGTGAAGAATGCTGGATTAGCAACGGTGTCAAGGGTTTCCTGCCCGGAAAGGTGAAGCTCCTATAGATGAATCTGGAACGACAGTAAGGCTTGGATTATTTCTTGTGGCAGCTGAGACTATTTGGCTACACCTATTTTCTGACCACATCATTCGGTAAATTGGGCTCTGTATGTGTAGCAAGATTCGGAAGATTCGAGGCAAAAGGCCTACGAGGCTCGTTCTGACATCCAGACTGAGTCCTTCCATTCTCGGAGCACCAGTGCAGGTCAAATGGTTTCTCGGCTCCTCGGAGTTTCTCTCGAAGCCCGAGACTCGCCAGACATTAGTATTACTCAACTTAAAAGAAGAGAAAAAGAAACATTTGAGGTCAGCTTTGAGGAAACTTCAGCAAGCTAGGAAACGTCCTAGAATTTTAGAGTAAGACCACCCGCTGTGTCTTTACTCCAGAAAACGAACTCTTTTTATATCTAAGAATGGCAAACTTCCATCTTCTCGAATAAAGCCAAAGGAAAGACTTTTCACTAGCATCTCTGCTGCATACTTTCAGCTCCCTTTCGTCATCTAAAATCCCTTTCCCAACCTCACCGTTTCCCCATCCCCATACCACAGTGTACCTTGCCTGCAATCCAACCCCTTCTCCATACCTACCACCCACTCCTTCGCGCCATCCCTCTTTTCCCCTTCTTTCGGCCACCACTCATTCTCTAACCACTGATTTAAATCCTCAATCTTCTTGATCCACTCCCGCATCTTCTCGGGCGAGTCATGATCAGCTTGTGTCAGGAAACGACCGAGCGTGATATGCGATGAGGGAACGACGTAGCGGGAATCTACGGATACGCCGGTAGATTTTGCGAGGTTGAAGAGGTCGCGGCGGAGATGGTGGTAGGTGAAAGCATCGTCTTCTTTGGTCCTTTCTCCAGAGGGAAGGGTCTCCCCTGCCGCGGGCAAGAATGACAACGCGAGGGCAGCACCGTCGTAAGATATCATGGGCTTGATGAGCCGTGCTCGGTGGGAGTAAGGGTAGTCAGTCATGGCTTCTATGGTGGGGGAGCCGAGGGCACAGAGGATGGAGTAGATTTCGGGGGAGGTCAGGGAGTGGGTTATTTCTAGGGCGGTAAGGTGGAGGTTATTGATTGGCATTACCCAGAGGTCTGGTGGAGTGTTAGATTGACGTGTATATTTGAGTAAGCTATGGCGGAGAGGTTGGACTTAGTAACAGAGATTCCTGGTTTTAACCTTCAGAGTCTTTCCAGTATCACGCGACATGAAGGCTGGATGATACACGTGGGATTTCTCTACTTACTCGGGGCGAGTGCCAAGAGCTCTTGCTGGACCTTGTCTACGAGAGAGCGGATATGAGGTGGCGGTCGAGCCCAGAACACGATACAGTATCTTGGGTCTTGAAAGCCAGGCTCAATGGAGGGGTCTGTGAGCTTTTGGAGGATGGGGTCTAGAATGAGGCCCGAGAAATCTGGTGATAGTAATTTGACTCGCTGCTGCTCGTTCCTCGTCGTTCGATGGGTTCCATAGAAATTTTGTATTCTGGCCTACGGAGCAAATATCAGCTGAGGTATTGGCAAAGCAGTCTAGGGGGGCTTACTGGATCATTCTGGGAGCTCTGGATGAGGGCATCGTATGGGTTGGCAAATGCAGCAATATCTACCCCGGAAAGGTCTTCAAAGGTGTTTCTGGCATCTACAGAATCTGGGTGGTGGTCAACCATCTTTTCTGATTGTTATATGTTGCACAGAGTTGTTCTGAGGGGGGGGTGTAGTGGTGATTTTTAGTGCGCAGCTTGGGGCACTATGGGCATGGGGTAGAAACCACCCACTTTTCGGAATTGACGTCTCCTATAGTCACATAACAACATTGAAAATTCCCACGACTCTACCATTGCTCTAAATCACAGGTCAAGATCACAGCATACATCCTGGACACCCGATAGAATGACCCTTTGGCGGACGGCTGATAGCAGCACTTGCGGCGGCGCCAAGGTCACCATCTCCAAAGAAGGGATATAAACCCAGATTTCCTGCTATCAATGATCTCCTGAAGGTATGTCGGAGAACTAGAATCAGGTATTCCCTCTTCATCTTACTACTACTTTGGTCTCCATCTCAGAGACTCTCTCAATATGCTAGAGAGCACTTCCATCCCAAATCAAGCCATATCGTTGGCGTTGGGGCAACCAATCCGAAACAATTGTCCCTCACCAAACAGGGATACGTGAGAGAAGCGCGACTGATTCAAGAAAAAGCAAACAATGTTGTTCATCATTTTGTTGAAAGTTCTTCTTGGTCTTTTCTTCACCATGCCTTAACATCAGGATACCAGAGAAGAATCTTCATCGCCCCTGAGCTCCAGGGACTTGTGTACTATCTACGTACTTGTAGCTTTCCACGTGAAGTAAGTTCTCACTCTTCCTAGACGTATGCTCGCGCTAAAAAATTTCTTCACGCGGCGACAACTAATATATCCCATTCTCGTACTCGTTCTACATCTATGCCTTTGCTAAATGCAATGGTTTACAAGGGGTGTGTACTTTTACCTCGTGTGGGTCGCACTTGGAACACATCTTTCTCGAAGTACACCATCGGACCGGTTTTTGTCTGCCTCCATCGCATCTGCCAGACTTCACCGTCGAGCTAGCCCCTTAGACAAGCTAGAGGGTTCCCAACCTTTTCGCTTTTCAACTCAAGATTGTTTATGGAAGCTGACCCATTCTGCATACGATCTATCTTCGAACCACTCGGTTCTCGTATCGAGCTACCCGCGCCGACACTTCCCATGGACGAGGTGTTTGCACAAACCCGCTTTTGGACTCAGGAATAATTCTCTATCGTCCCAACATAGGACCGTTTTCATGAATTGCGCTTGAAATAATTCATGTCATTGTGAGGTATAATTCAGCCTGTACTTTGGCCGGCGTTTTCCATGAGCATCTCGAGAGCGTCTAACGAAGACATCTACTATAGCAGAAACGTCCGCCACTTGTGGAAACAGCATCAACGAGGGAATAAGTCTACACCCTAATCTTGCAAGAAGGCTGTTCTTCCACAGCAGAAGTTTCACATCCATAGAAGGAGTAGTCGTTTTGTCACAACATGCGGCAGTCCAGTACATCCAGCTTCAGAATACTCGATTCGAATGCGAGATCAGACTTAGACCTAGATAGAGCCACTCAAATTTCCTCTACCGAATTATTCTTTGGCAGAACTTGGGAAGAAAGAGAGTAGTTCTTATAGGAATGAAAATTTGAATGGCGCTGAGCTCCTTCGCAAAGTTGCTCTATCTCAACAATTTGATGTATCCGGCTTGAGAGTCATGTCTCCAGGAGATCAGGATGACTGGGCTGGACTTTCGTTTTCCATCAAAGCACCTTTCTTGCCTAGAGGATTGGTTCCACCGGAGGCCCTCCCAGTTATTCCGTTGTCAGATCCACGATCTTCTATATGGAAGCAACTCGAAGGTGCCAAGCTCGCCGTAGTACTCTACGATTCCTGCCTACCCACGACACCATGTTTCGAGCACATCTCTGCTTCAAAGCAGGATGCCATTGCTGAAAGCCACACGCACCGTTCGGTTCGATCTGTCCGACAGAAGGAGTGGAGGTTTGAAAGATATAACTTCGGAAGTAGGTTTTGTTTGCTTCGTCTTCTTTGTATAGGTTCCGTATAGCTCCTGGTACACACTTTCGTCTTCTCTATCTGCTTGGTCGTTAGTTATGACAGCAGATACGTTTTGAGTACTTGCATGCCGAATCTCGTCATCTGCCTATCCTTCGTATAGCTATTATGTCGGAGCGGAGATGTATGACTGCTGCTGGTAAACAACCAGTCTTCTATATAAATCAATACCTTCTTGTTGCTGCTATCACAGTATGACAATTACTTCGCAGCCACTATTGGTTGCAACTGCAGAAAGTCGATGGCAATTCTGCCTGGTTTGGCCGTATTTTGAAAACAAAAGGCTATTCTCGAATCAACGAGTCAATATCTATCTATACTTCTCATCCAAACTTCGGGCAGCCTCCCAGCCTGACAAATCTACGCAGGGGCCACTTTATATCTACCACTTCCGCACATTTTTTATTCCCTCTTCACACTTTCCTATTTATTACGATCCAGGCCGTCTTCCATGTCGATTTTCTGCATCGCATACTCCTGCCATCATGATGAGTACTCCTCTCAGAGAATGTAAGTCTTCTTGTTACGATTTGCTCCATCTTCATCTCTAAGAGTATATGCCGAGCCTTCGACATGCTATGGAAGCAGAGAAATCAATTTCGACCGCACCTCTCCTGCCTATTGAGATCAGCACATCCACCACCTACCAGTATCAATATAGAAGAGCTTCTACTATTCTACTACTTGATGGCTCTGGTGGGATTAGTATTGCACTTATTACGTGTTCAGAAATAAATCACTGTTCTCCCTTGCCTTTTCCACCTCGGTGGCTTCGACAGCACCTCATCTTGCATTTGAACACACTAAAGAATACAATGCTAACCCTTTATACCAGATGGATCTCGAACTAGACTGCCTCGACATGCGAAAACCCGAGCCACTAAACGCCGAGCTCTTGATAATAATGCCCTCGAAGATGATTATGATACCGACGACGATTACTCGGCTACATCTACATCTACATCTACATCCCAGCATGATCATCAGCACGACCCTTCCTCCAATGAATCTAGTGACATCGACGATACCGATATTGCTGATGGAAAAGAAATGTAAAGAGCAGTAAATCTGCGGCCGAGGATGAATCCGATGGCGAAGTTGCTACTAGGGAAATATCTAAACCAAAAGGTTTGGCTTCCTTTTTCTTCGCGTCGATGTTTGACAGATACTGATTTTATGGAAGGTAAACAAAAGCCAAAGCTGAAGGACAAGGGCAATCCCAATCCCAATCCCAAGTCCGAAAACCAGACAATCAAAGGAGATTCATATACGTACAAGAATGGTATTGACGAGAATCTACCCCCCTTAACGTCCCTCAATGAAATATTCGAAGACTTGGTCGACAGATGGCAAAGCCTAGAGGGGTCCAAAGTTACCGAATTCCTGGAATTTGTTAGAGGCCGACGCATTCGAGTTGCTACGATGTGTTCTGGCACAGAAAGCCCTGTCTTGGCTCTGAACATTATCGCAGAAAGTTAGTAACACACTCTACCCAAGGCTCGCCAAGTCTAATCTGATCTAGTCTTTCTTTCACAAGCCAAGTCGTTCGGTGTCGATCATCTGCTTAGTGCCGAGATCGTGGCTTGGAAACAAGCGTACATCAACCTTAACTTCAAGTCAACGACGATCTTTCGAGATATCACGGACTTCTTTGGCCTGAGAGGACTCACGGTCGAAGAAATCAAATCATTTGAAATGTAAGTTAAGACTCTTGATGATTGAATTTTCCTTTCACTAAGTATTTACAGCGAAACTGCGTTCGCAGGCAAAGCTATTATACCTGAAAAGATCGATATCTTGATTGCTGGCACCTGCTGCGTAGACTTTTCGTCTTTAAATGGCAACAAAAAAGGCCTTGAACAAGGCGGCGAATCCGGCGACACCTTTTTTGCTATGAGAAGGTACGCCATCGCCAAACGACCTGTTGTCATCATTATTGAAAATGTTGCCAGCGCTCCTTTTCAAGGCAAGGGAAAGAGCAATAAAAACGGCGAGTCTACATTCGAGATGGGCATCAACACTTACATGAGCGAAATTCATTACGCATCACGATTTATGAAGTTGGATACAAAAAACTTCTACCTTCCACATACAAGAGACCGAGGCTATATGATATGTGTAGATATGGAACATTTCATGGACGGCGAATCCTATGCTATGAACGAAGTAACACATCGGTACCGCGAGCCTCAAGAGCTTAGTAAGCTTCTGGACCAGTGGGCAGACATGGTAGTCAAACTACAACATCGAGCGAGTGTCCCTGTCGAGTGGATGCTATTGGATTCCGATGATCCGCTCTTCGATTCTTCTTCCATGAAATGGAGCGATGATGTTGCCAGGGATAAGAAGAGCACGCCGTGGGAGGCGTGCAAAATCGGATATCGTAACTATCGCCATGAATTGGCTCTTGGTCAGGAGCGAAAGCATGTTAAATGGGTCAACGAGGCCTGTTTCGTTCTTCCTGACTGGTTTCACCGGAATGTGATAGGGTACACTGAAAGAATCCTGGATACGTTCAATGTCGCACATTTGCGAAGTCTCATTCGAGGCTTTGATGACCGTTACTATATGTACGTTTTGTATCTCATACTAGTATTTTTCAGACAAAATGTTAACTTGATCATTTTCTAGGAGGATGCTTCAGTTATCACAAAATGTTTTTTTCGACACAGACAGCATGCCACAAGGTCTCATAGGTGCCAACTCCAAGCGGTCGTCCCTTCCCCACTATTCGAGGTGGCCGCTTGTCTGGCCTTGAAAGTCTAGCCCTCCAAGGTCTACCTACCTCAAGATTGGATTTGAGCCGCTTTACTGAGCCGCAGCTGACGAATCTTGCTGGTAATGCTATGACTTCTACTGTCGTAGGAGTTTGCATACTTGCTGCTATATCCCTATTCCATACAAAATTTACCTATTCCGACCCTTTGGGTGAAGAGGTCGTTAAGCATGAACTAGCCAAGAAGAGTCCCCTAACTGAAAAATCCTCGAGCGCAGCATCATATGAGATGAAGTTGCTTTGCGACGACGTTACAAAACA